TTTTTTTTGCTGTTGTGTATTTATTTAAAAGAAACCTGGATGCTGCAAAGGGTTCTTTGGTCTTTCCTGCACCCAGTGTCCTGGTGGATATAGCAATCCATGCTACAACAGAGGAAGTGTAAGTGTATGAGAGATAGGAGGCAGGGGAAAAGAATAAATGATAGCACAGATATAAACAATCAAGAGAGACTAATGGATGAGTCAGTTGACAGCTTATCTAATAGCACTTTACCAGCTGACAAAAAAATCTGAAAGAAGCATTTTAAAGCATTCCAGGAGACTCCATTCCAATGAACTCACTGTAAACAGGGCTAATACATTCTTATTGATTTCTTATTTCAAGATAAAGGAATCTAAGCCTTAGAGATGCTTTTCTGAAATCTGTGTAGCTTCTTGACTCAGCCTTCCATCCTTCCGAGGGTCGGTAAAATGAGGGCCCAGATTGTTGGGGGCCATATGCTGACTCTGTAAACTGCTTAGAGAGGGGGACGGAAAGCACCATGAAGTGGGACAGAAGTCGAAGTGCTAAGAACTATTCTGCTTCCTTGATCATGCCCAGCAGCCCAGGGCTCTATGAAGTGGCACAGAATTCTTAGCCATGTATTAAGTAACACTGTTAGGAAAATAGTTGCAAGAAACTTGCAGATGCATGATGTTGAACTTTGCAAAGATCAGGGAAGAAAAGGAATGGACCGAAAACACATGTCATTACTTCAGCCCCCAAAGAATTTAATATGTAAATACAGAATATGGCTACATTAAGGATCCGAAGTCATTTATAAGTGAGACCTGACTAGGTCAGGAGAATGGTCTTGTAGTAAGCTGACAGAAAGAGCAAATTATCTCCTGTAACATCACATTGGAATCTGATTTTTTTTTCCCCAGTGTAATGACGGCATTCTCGGAAATGGTCAATGCAGCTGCTACGATGGCTTCAAAGGGATTGCCTGCCACATCTGCACAAGCCCAAACAAGCACGGGGAGAACTGCACTGAAGGTCTGAGACACAAATCAGGCAGGAAGGCACTGAGACAAGAGGAGATATTTTGCTGCCTGAAGCAGAGCTAGAAATAGGCATCCTCCTTTCTATATCCAGGTGCATAATACCCAAGCCTGGTAAATTTATCCTGGGTGCTTGAGAGAAAAGGAAAAGATGCCACAAGCTTCCTTTGCCTGGAAGTAAAAATAAATGAAATAATAATGTACAATTAGGTAACTGTCTGAAATGCATAGGGTCTCCTGCTTGAGCAGGGGGTTGGACTAGAAGACCTCCAGATTCCCTTCCAGTTCTATTCTGATTGATTGATTGATTGAACTTGCCACCCCCATCCCTAATGACCAGAAGTGACCTGTTTTTATGCAATATCTTAGCCTACACTAATCATCTGTCTTTTACAGTCAGCACAACAAAGCAGAAAGGGAACTCCACGCCATTATACAGGTTAAATGTCATTAAAGGTGTTTTCAAGAAATCCCAGAATTATAATTTAAATGATTAAGTTTTATCTTTCTTTTCTGTTCGCAATGGAAGATTGTGGCTGCATCCATGGAATTTGTGACAACAGACCAGGAAGCAGAGGTGTGTGCCAGACAGGGACGTGTACAGGTGGCTACCTCGGTGAATTTTGTGACGTACACACTCACAGATGTGAATCTGACACTCTGACACTTTACTGCCATGGCCATGCCACCTGTATTGCGAATGACACTGCGAAGTGAGTCCTTGTAGGATGCATCTGAGATCAGATTCCTTAGTATGATTGGGGAAAAGCATAAATCACCACTGAAAAATCTTGCATTCATATTTAATCTCTTGACTGAAAGAAATTTATGGAAATTTAAAGGCATGATGTTGTAATGTTGTTCATCCTTCTTCCTTTGAAAAGCAACCTTAGTAAAAATGGGGAATGCAACAGAACAGTGTATTAATTCTGTTTGGGTGTTCCTAAACATCCTACTTTGGAGCATGGTCCTGTGAGTTCAACAGGATTTCGTCTACAGTAGAAATGCTTAGGATGGTCCAGTTTTATTATTTTTACCCCTTGGTATAAAAACAGTTTTGCTGAGTGCCTTTTTAGATGAGAGAAAGGGGAGAAAAAGGTTCTGTTCCTTGGATCACAAGGAACATAGCTATTGCCTTGATATCTGCATCATAGTAAGTCATATTTTAGAATATGTCTTTATTGCTTTTAATTCAGAATATCATATGAACCCAGCTAATGTTTTAATAAACTCTGATCAAGCAAAACATGGTTTAGTGCAGGGGTAGGCAACCTCGGCTCTTTTATGACTTGTGGACTTCAATTCCCAGAATTCCTGAGTCAGCTATGCTGACTCAGGAATTCTGGGAGTTGAAGTCCACGAGTCATAAAAGAGCCGAGGTTGCCTACCCCTGGTTTAGTGCAATACATGAATCCAGTTGTAATATTGGAAAGATACAGATACTCTAAGTCAGAGGTCCCCAACCTTTTGTGCATCAGAGATCGGTTACATGATGAGAGGTTTTTCCGTGGACCGGAGGGGGTATGGTTTTGTGCGCTGTCTGTATCCAGCAGATGGGGCTTTGCTTGTTTGTGCAACCAGGATGCTGGCATGCCACAGCCCGGTACTGGTCCACAGACCATAGGTTGGGGACCCCTGCTCTAAATGATTCCAGACATTATAGAAACTATGATGAAACTTCCATTTAATTCAATGGGCATTTGCATACAATCGCCCAAATTCTGGTACAATATATGGCGTTTGCACAATGATGTCATTATGCAAATGTAATGTGCAAATGATACATTGCAAATGACACCATTTGCATGATGATGTCATGGCTTAAGTGTTGTAAATTAGCATTACTTTAATCTGAATGAGTATGCAATTCGTAGGCACCCCAGATTTAATTAGTTGCTCTCTGCCTGTCTCCTAGGTGTGTCTGTCTTGATGGATATGAAGGGAATGGATTTTCCTGCAAGCCCATTGATGCTTGTAGTAAGCCAGAAAGGGGGGGATGTTCAGAAAATGTAAGTGGATCAATATTTACTAACCTAGATCATCTTTTGGATTAATCCAGATAAAAAATACTTTAGTATTATTTGTTATTTATTTATTTAGCGTATGGCATATCATACATGGACTAGCAATATATATTAACATTTCATCTAAAACACAATAAAATATAAATATGAAAAATATCTATGCTCAAATATCATGTCTAGGTTATCTAACCATTGAAGGTTAAAAAAAAAAAGGTTGGGCAATCTGAGATCTGGAAGTGAAACTCTTTTATATCAAGTGACTGGAAAATTGCTAAAACAGGAAGCCCCAGACTTATTGTTTTAAAAGGCTGAGATAGAAAAAAAAATCTAATCAAAAAAAGATATGTGCTAAAAAAAACCCGCTCCTGTTTCTACCAAGTATCAAACTGCAGCCTTGCACTGTTCTGAGCAAATATCTTAACCATTCTGTTAATTCAGCACTGTTGGTAAACAGAAGTTTAGAACTTTTAACAGAATGTATTGTGGGACAAGAAGAATGTGTTTGAGCTGCTTATCTTGAATCTGTCTGTCCATACAATTTAAGTTGTGCATGTGAGATATGTATTTGAGTATCTGTGCACAGACACACAGTCATACATATAGAATTATCCCCAAACACCTGCCTATAGTTATGAAAGTGCTTTCCTGTGACATAACCACAGGGCATTATCCAATGAGAGGATGTGATAGCAAAACAAATAACTTACAAGTTGTTGCCAATATGTCTCAGCCTGGCAGGCTTTTGTTAAGATGGCTTAGAATCAAGATAGCATGAACAAGCATAGCTTAAATGGAAAGCGCAGAAATGCCCTACTTTTATTCTCATCTTGTTTTTCCATTTTTTGCCAGGCTACATGTACCACTACGGGTCCTGGCACAGTCAGCTGTCAGTGTATCCGGGGTTGGACTGGGGATGGAAAAGCTTGCATTGCCATAGACAATTGTGTAACAGAGACCAGAGGAGGCTGCCACATCAATGCTGATTGTAATTACATTGGCCCTGGACAGGTACAATATTGTCATTCCATGCTGTCTTGCTAAAAAGGATCTATGGCTCTTAGGTTTTTTAAATAATGACGAGGCTTTTATTTTTATATGACAGCATCAGATATTTAAAGTGGCTGCAGGCTATAGAATTTAACATTTTCAGTCTCTATTGAATTGCATTGAATGGAACAATAAAAGCGAGAATTTGTAACTCCTTTAAGAAGCCATGCCTTTTCCTAGGATCATATGGTTGTTGCACAATTCCAGGAAAAGATTTGTTTGGGCTAATTCCCCCAAAGGATTACTCATGGCCACAAAAATATAGAAGTATAAGTCAGTCAAGAAGTTAAAAAGTACTGTTATGAAAATCTAGGTTAAGATTCCAAAAAAGCAAACTTGATGGCATAAGCAACCCAGAGATTATACAGTACACATGTTTGGCTGGGTTTACGTTATGGGAATGAGCAACTGTATAAGTCCACAAGAAGCAAACACTGTTTCTGACAAGAGGCTAGTTTCAAACGGAATTTAATACTAGAGTCTTACATATGCTGGTCCTGGTTAAACCTGATTCAACTGCAAGATAATCAAGGAATACTAACGTTGGTTTTAACTCATGTGGTGCTTATTAAGCCTGATTCAACTGGAAAGTTATTCTGGCATGTAGGACCATATTTGAGTAGATTCTGAGATAGACTTGATTACAAGGAAGCATGTTGGTTCGTGTAGCTTTATAATATTCTCTCTGATGCTGCAGCCATCACCAATTTGCATAGGTAGATGACTGTGCTGGAGAACCTAAATCAGAGTCCTGGGAGGAGGTCCAAGGCTCCAGGGATTATTCTGAGCAAAAGCTGTGCTGGTCTCAATGAATGCAAATCACTCTGAGATCCCCAAATCTACTTCTGTCATGAGGAAGATTGTCCTCAGATAGAACTATTATTAATATTGACATGCATAGGAAAGGATGTTGGAAGTTATAACTAAGCACATATTGAGGACTACTGACTGTCTAGCATTATCTAATCTTGCACATGAAAAATCCAATATGTTTCTATTTAGGTCAATTTCAAATTTCAAGTTACAAAGATATCAGTATCAGACTTTAATTTTTTTCCCTACATTTCCAGAAACTACCAAACAAAGGTTAAAACGAAAACTTTTTGTTCTTTTTCTTAGTTCCTATCCAATAGTATAAGTTTTCTAATGTCCCTACTGTTTCAATTTTCAGAGCAGCTGCATGTGCAAGAAAGGCTATGAGGGTGATGGTTACATCTGTGATAGGATTGACCCTTGTATGATGGACAATGGGGGCTGCCACGAACTGGTAAGACATAGGAATAATCTAGGACAGCCTTCCTGGTTTAATACCTTTCAGATGAGTTGTTCTCTAGCTCCCCTGGCTAACAGCCACAATAAATGGGGTGACACAAATCATTCAACAGTACAAAGAATTGGGGAACCTAGGTTGATACTGAAACCTGTAATCTTTTCAGAATGGTGGAAAGTTCTTCAAACAGAAAATTCATTTAGTAAAGTAAGCATAAGCCATCTATATTAATAATAAAATTTACACAATATTATAAGAAAACCAACTACAAAATAGTACATATTTGACATAGTTGCATGCAAAAATTCTTATATTAGAAGAAACACAAAAGCGTGCTTTTTTTTTTTTTTACAGTTTGAAGAATATAGCTAAAATGAGCAAAAAAGAGACCAAAAGCAACTATGGAGGCATTCATTCATAACTGTTCAAATATTCTGCTCTTACAAAGCAATATGAAACAGTTTAGCCTGCACGTAGAAAAAAAATGGCTTGCTTTAGCACAGAAACCCAGAAGTTAAAATGTGTGTTTTATTTTAAAGGCCTAGCCTATGACTTGGACTGAGGGCCACAATTGGCTTTGGACGCTGTGCAGAGCTTGTGTTTCTCAAAGCATATTCTTGAAACTAGGGCAAAGAACGTTCTTTGATTTTGTTTCATATACAGTTTTGTTTAATTAAAATGTAGTTATTAGATTATTCTCTAGATGTGTACTGAATAATTGTCATCAGTCCCATTAAAATTTACAATGTAGTAACAATTTTTGAATATTCCCTGGTGCCATTCCAAAGATTTTGGGGACTACACACCAGCCTGGGTCTCATACCACTCTGAACCATACTGCATTAGGCCTTTAGCATCCTTTCTAGGTGACACTGAGTTCTGTTTATTTTCTTTACTTTGCTTTCCTATTGTTGAGAATTGTCTCTTTAAAACTCAACAGGCTGTATGCCAGATTCTCAATACTGGAGAAAAAACTTGCCATTGCTCTGATGGATATATAGGAGATGGAATTCAATGTTACGGTGATGTGATGAAGGTAAAAAGATACATTTCTGTTCTCTTTCAGGTGGGAGCAGTAAACTGATTTATTTATTTATATCAGGCAAAGACCATAACTCAATGGCAGTGGCTCTGTTCTGTCTGCCATCTTCTGATATGGCCAGGAAAGAACTCTTTGATGGATCATCTTTCAGAAAATGCAAATATCCTGGGTCAACATAAGCCTCAAGTGGCTTCTCTGTTTATGCACAACACAGCATTTCACTTCTCAAACTCAGCTTTTTGCTTATCATTCCCATTAACAAAAGAGCAAGTATAGACCTTAAATATGCCAAAGAACATTTCTCTAAGATAAAAAAGCACTATTCTGCCATTGGCTTCCTTATTAAAAGAAAAAGTTCAGCATTTTCTAGATTTCCCATTCTAAACCGGAAACCACAATGACTAGCTTTGTGAGAGATGATGATCTTTGTGTTGCAGTGTTAAGAGCCTTAAACTAATTCATAGTTTGAATATATTATTGTATGATGTTGAGGTATGATGGCTGAAGAGGGGATCGGAACCTGAATTTCCTACCCGTCCAGTCCAATCTCTTCTTAATTAGACAAAACTAGAAATAAGACAACTTTGGGAAAGGACATCTATAGGGCAAGCAAAGAAAGGGAGGAGGTCATCTCCCTCTGTTCACCCAGTTGGCAAGAATGATTTCTTATGGTGTGTCTGTGATGCTAAAAAATGTATCCAATCCATATTTGCAGAATAAAATCAGATTAAATGCAAACAGAATAACAGAGTAACAGAATTGGAAGGGACTTCGAGATGTTCTAGTCCAACTCCCCACTCAAACAGAAAGCCCTACCCCATCTCAGACACATGGTTGTCCAATCTCTTCTTAAAAACCACCACTGTTGAAGCACCCGCAACTTCTGGAGGCAAGGCATTCCACTGATTAATTGTTCTGTCATGAAATTTCTCCTTGGTTCTAGATTAGTTCTCTCCTTGATTAGTTTCCATCCATTGCTTCTTGCCCTGCTGTCAGGTGCTTTTCTCCAAAAGTTGACCTCCTCTTCTTTGTGGCAGTCCCTTAAATATTGGAAGATTGCTATCATGTCCCCCCAGCCCTTACTTTTATTGAAGTAGCATTAAACCATTGAGAAAGAGCTAGTTCAAAGCAGAGATACAGGGAAAGTTTGCTGATTTGGATCATAAAGTGGAACCAAACCNGCCGGAACGCGGCAGAACCGCGTTCCGGCACCTTTTTCCGGGCCGGCCGCACCGGAAATAGCCCCTCCCACACCGGAAATAGCCCCTCCCAAATTTTACTTGCATTCCTGTTCTCTAAAGGGGCGGTCCTAGGGTTTGATGAGGGCGTGGCCAGGTTTGAGTTCCGCCACCTTTTCTCCGAGAAAAAAAGCCCTGCTTATAATACATGAATACCTGTAGCTTCTGCTGTTATAGTAGGAAAATATCAGAATTCTCTTTTAGATTGATCGCTAGGCAAGTTCCCAAACATCTAACCATCATCTGCCTACATTACATGTAAGATTAAAGTTGCAATGTGGTCTGCTTAGCTTTCTCTTAGCACATTGCCTTAGTTTATAATTAAATCATGGTTAAATTAAACTTGTTTAGCATGCTGTATGAATCTTTTTTTCTTTAAGACCCCTAGAATAATGGTTTACAAATTTGTTGTTTTTTCTTTTTGAAGGAGCTAGTAAGGAATTATCACTTTTCAACTTTTTATGAGTGGATTAAGGTAAGGATTTTCTGTTGAGTGCTATTTTAACATTTCTGAAACAAGACAAAGTTGATAGGATTTAAGCATATTGTTTCATCAGTAGGAAAAACCTATCTACATTTTAAAATAAGAATTTTATCTTAAAAATGGTCTTTTAAAATTTTTGACAGAAAAGGCTCTCTAAGCCTGTTTTAAAAAGGAGCCCATTGTAACCGATTTATAAATAAAGAAGTTCAGCCTACAGTATGTAATTAGGGCAGTTTCTTAGAGAATCAAAGCAACAATATTTCAATCTGCTGAGTAATTTTAAAGCTGTAAATACGTTTGTATTTTTTTGAAAAAGTTTCTTGGTGATCAGAAGATACACATATTTTAATGAGGCATTTGCTTGAGAAAAATGAACCCTTTCTAGAAGGGTTAACTATCTTTTGATGATCGTGCAGATGAGTCTTTGGACCAGAAAGGATGCTAAAACTGCTTTATTGTCTACATACTGTGATTTATAAAGTTAGGTGAAAAATAGTTTTATAATACAAAATACTGGGAGTCTGAGGTACCAGACACCACTGATTTGAGTGACTTTATTGAAGAAGCTGGTGTTGGATCTGCATATTTAATTCTAGGCCTTTTAAACTGAGCACAGAAGAAACTAGCATTAATGCATGTTATCTTTTTTTTTATCAAAAGAAATCCCACTTCAGCATGCCCAGAGGAGCCAATGTGACTGTTCTGGTGCCTCTGAAAGAAGCTGTCCAAAATTTGAGCAAGGCTGAAAAAGAATTCTGGCTGGAGTCCCACATGCTACCATCTCTTGTCAGGTATTGTTGTCCATGTTTGTCAGAATCAGAACTGGTAAAAATAGCTAAACCTGATTTTTCTCTTGATTAGTAAAATCTACTCAGGTATGATCTTTGCCACAGGCCAGGTGACAGGTTTTGTGTATGATGGGGTTGCTTCAAAGATTTTACAATGGGCTGTGCAGCACATCTTTTAGTACATTCATCTCTGTTTGTAGAATACCAGTTTTTCAGCTTTTAAGAATGAGAGTTCAGTGACAGTTCAGATACATACTTTAGTGTGGTACCTGTGATAATGTAAAGAGGTAGGTAACCTTAGTAGAATTAGACATTGTTGCAATTTGAAACACTTGTCTTTCCAGGGGAGACAATGCAAGAAGGTGGGCTCTTCCAATATGAGGTAGTTTCCTTTCACATGAACACAAAACTCTTAGGACAACTCTGCACTTCACCTAGCAAAACATGGTTTCATCTGTTTGTGTTGTACTTATAGCTCATACATGAAATACAGACTTTGTGCATCTTTTTTCAGATATCCTTATTCATAATTCTACATAACATTTTTCTTGACCCAGATGTGTATACTCATATCCATCCCATCTATATCTTTTTTTTTAAAAAAAGAAATGTGGTTACCAATGTAGAAACATACTTACCAATGCACAGGAATGCAAACATACATATCGATGCATAAGAATATCCAGTTTAACTTCCTTATCTTTAGAACGTCCTCTAACATTTTCTAATTGGATAGTGAACAATGAGAGTGATTCGAGACGTTTTAATTTCTGGCTTTGGACTAGAGAAGATAAGAACATTTATTAGGTTCAGGCACACCCAACAATGCATCTATTTTTAGAGCGTATCTTAGAGGAAGATTACCAGACATCTAGCAAAAGGAGGACAAGTCTTCTTTTTTATCCTCATGTCCTCCATTTGGCAGGCATAGCTTTAGATATAGTCTAAATCAGGGATGGGGAACCATGGCCCTTTTAGGATTTGTGGACGACTTCAACTTCCAGAATTCTGGGAATTAAAGTCCACAAGTCCTAAAAGAGCCTTAGTTCCCCATCCCTGGTCTAAATAGTCTGGCTTTTTGAGTATTTCTTCCTGAGCAGCTTTTTCCTGTAAAGTTAACAAGCTCAGCTCCCTGACCCTAATTAGTTGATTAAAACTTTCATGCTGTTTAAAGTGGACTAGATGTTAATCAGTTACACGCTGAAGACTTTTGCCTCCTAACTAGCTCTAGCACATTTCTGTCGTGGAAAAAGTAACTTCATAGACATAAAGGCCTAAGTACATGTTGTTGTTTTAATAAAAGAGAATATGTGTAGCTGGAGGTTAAACTGTGGAATCCTAGATGCGTTCTGAACTAGATTATTTGTTTGCAGATGTTTCATTACCCAACTAGATAACATCTTCAGGCACTGTCCAGTAATGACATGTCTTCAAGCAAACAATCAAGCTCAGAAAGCATCAAGGACTCTATTTATTTATCTACAGTTTTTCACTGTAATTGTTGGTGCTGATGCCAAGAAAATAAAACTGTGTGTTTGGTGCTTTTCTTCCCATTTGTCCTCCTTTCCAATTGTCCCTGTTCTCCTTTGCCTGTTTCAGTTATCAGATACTTAAAGTAATCTCTTGGGATCAAGGCATTCTATGGATCAATTGTACAGCAAACAACTCAGTTCAAACGAAAACCTTTCTCTGGCCTCTATTGGGTTTTTGATGACATGGATTACTAAATGTCCACACTGAAGAAAAATTGTGAGATCAAGTTGATTTGAAGCCAGAAAGAACATTTATTTCTCTTTTAGTGAGAACTTAATTTTTTTTTAATGAAAAATATTCCAAACAAATTATAACAGCACAGCTATTAGCAGGCATTGATACCATGCACTAATATACAAATTCTAAATTTTGGCCTAATCTCACGCCAACAAGGCTGCCTGCAAAGGGTGGTTAAAAAAGTCAAGGTTGATCAAAGCTTTGCCTATTTTTTGTCAGTAAAAAAAAAAACACCTTAAAACAGTTTTGATTATACTGTCACAGCAAAACGTCTTCAAGGAAAAACAAAGGAAATGCAGTTGCCTTTTGAAAAAACATATCTGGGACAACCAAGATCTGGACAACTGAGAATCTCCATAGACAAGATGGCTGATGAACTGTCTTTTTAATAGTCTCCTGACACATTTAAAGGAGGCTATGGGGGTTTTTTTGCTAACCATAACTGAATCTAACTGAAGGTGTTCTCTTGGCTGTTAACCAGCCAACTGTAGTTTTGTTAATATTTTTATTCTATCATAGGTCTCATATCCTCCAGGGTTCCTTCACAACTCAGCAACTCAAGACGTATGTTGGCCAAAAACTCCCCACTCTCAATCCAGAGGCCATGTGGGAAATAAAGAGCAACAATGGGGTAAGCTTGTAGGTTAAAAACATTACTTCCGATACCAAAATTAGAGTGATATTATTGAAATATGCTGATCCCACTTTTAAACTGAAGAAAAGATGCACCAAGGAAAGTAGAACCAAGGTGAACCTGCAGGCTCATGTTTCTTATTGGGAAAATGTTGATCATAGTGTGTGTACCAAGGCATGTAGCAACTGTCGAGATTAAAATGGAACATTTTTGATAAGCCTTTCCCAACCTGTTGTTCTCCAGATATGCTGGAATGCATAGCCCATAATTACAGACCCTGCAGTTTGACAAATCCAGAGGATGTCACATTAGAAAATGTCCAATTCTAAGAAGTGATCCTAAATTAAGGTTTCCCAGTCAGTTCTGTACACCAATTAGAGCAAAAAAAGTGTTTTGATGTAAATGTAATTTGAAGGACCATCTTTTCCTGATCACATGTACCTGACCCACCAGAGTGGGGAGGCAGGGAATGCTATGGGTCCCTTCTCCTAAGTGGGTCCATCAAGGGCAGGGGTAGTCAACCTTGGCTCTTTTATGACTCGTGGACTTCAATTCCCAGAATTCCTGAGCCAGCTTAGCTGGCTCAGGAATTCTGGGAGTTGAAGTCCACGAGTCATAAAAGAGCCAAAGTTGACTACCCCTGATCTAGGGGGACTAAGAAGAAGAGCCTTCTTCATGGTAGTTCTCTCCCTGTGGAACATCATCCCTGAAGAGATACGTTTGGCCCCAATTTTGACAGTCTTTCACAAGGTCCTGAAGACCTGGTTTTGCCAATGAGCCTGGAGACCCCAGAGTGGGTGGAGCCCATCAAATGGCTCGTTTGATTGTTGTCACTGGGGAGATATTGTTTTATTATTTTTCTATTGATTTTACAATGTTGTAAGCTACCCGGAGTCATTGCGAGTGAGTTGGATGGCCATATAAATTTTGTTAAATAAAAAAAAATAGTAATAATTCAGAATTAACATCTGCATATGTTTGATTTTCAGGAAATAACTATTCAGAATGCCAGCATTGTATTGGGTGATATTCCTGCTATTAATAGCACTATTTATATCATCAGAAAGGTAAGTTGATTAGAGTGGCCTGGATCTTTGTTTTTTCTGTTATTCGAGAAGGGGAAGGGGAAGAAATGCTGAATGCTTAATGCTAAGCATATCTCCTTTATTGGTCTTTTATTAAACAGAACAACAATTGTCACCAAGGTATTAAGAAGAGTCTTCTAAAATTCAATTTTTCTCATCTCAAAATCATCCTATTTATGCTATTATTTTTTAATTATTGGGTGAAAAAAAGTCAGGTAATTGGCCTTCCTCATTTCACTTTTTCTTTTGATCAGGTTCTGTTACCATCTGTCAAGATCCCACCTGGTCTCCAGGAGCAACTAAACACTGTGCCCTCGTTCTGGAAGTTCAAAGAACTACTGGAGGTAAAGTCCTCAGTCGAAAGATATTGCCCCATATCTCTTAAAGAGTTCTTTTACAAGGGGCTAGATGAGGAAGATCATCTTAGTATGTGATATAGTGGAAGATATAAACTAAGTTTATACCTTGTTCCAAGTAATGATTCACACAATGTAATAGCTGGGTGCAGAGGATTCAACCCCAAATTGAATCCTGTTACTGATACAAATATGCAGTGAATTTATTTTAGTCTGAATTCTTAATATTAATTATTCGTTGTTGCTATTTTCTAGGTATGGAATTGGCAAAATCTTATATTTAAAAACAATCTTAACATGATTTTTTTCTTGTAGCTATCAACTGCAATCTTCATTGACTTGATTAACTTGCTACGTAATTGTGTTTTTGAAACTTTCAGAGATATCAGTTGGTGAGAGAAATTGAGTCATCGGAAAAATATACAATTTTTGTCGCAGGGAATAATTCAATTGAGAAATATTGCCAAGCATCAAATATTACACAACTGGTAAGAGTTTATTTCTTTAATGAAATAATCCTAATTGCACTCATGTAGAGGTAAGCTCCGCTAATTCAATGAGACTTTTGATTCAACATGTACATGATTGCACAGTTCTTTGTTTATTTGTGGGAAACAACATATCAATAAATAAGAATTTGGATTCAATCTTGAGATAACACATTTGGAACTAACTGTTGTTGGCTGCTTCATGTACCACAAAGCTCCTATGGGAGGGCATTGAATTGATTTTAAAAGTGGAGTTTCTACCTCATCACATCTGGTAGCTAACAACTGCTGTGTTCCCAAGACAACTCATATAAGAGACTGACAATCAATTCACGGGTTAACTCTGAATTGTCATATGCACAGAAATGCTATAAACTCCAGTTGCCTTCCACTGAAAAATGAGATATGGTTGTAACCATATACTTTAAACATAACTGAAAAATTCTGTTAATTTAATAATGATATAATTATAAATGAATAAATTATTCACTATCTAATAAAATATAGTTTTTATATATCATTTAAGGACTTGGTTTGAGGTTGGTATCAGTATGTACCACATATAACGATGAAATTAAATTAGCATTTCTGCTTCATGAATTCATCAAGTGACTTTGGCAACATGCTGAACTTTTTTCTAGATTCTACAACTCTTCATATAAGAATGTTATTATCTGTAAGAAGGGACCCCCACTTAATTACGGGAGGGCAGAACCCCTCCAAACTGGTGGAGGAAAGACCGGACATAGTAATATGGCCCATCACTAGGCTGCAGACAGCTGAAGTCAAACTCCTCACCAAGCACTTCGAAAGCAATGCAGATGAAACTGGGTGAGATCAGATCTTTCTCTTCCTGTAAAAGCTGCCTGAAGTATCTTTCCCCCTGTGAGGAAAGAGGGAAGGGAATTTCTATCCCACCCTCTAAGAATAGCAGTGACTGACTACTCAGGGGAATTAAAGCATTAAAAGAACAACTTTAATTTAATTGGATTTATACGTTCCTGAAACTTGGGGACCAAAAAAATTCCTATTTTTATTGGAGACTCTTGTTTTTATCTACAAAAAAGAAATAAAATTGGAAAAAGGATTATAAAAATTTTGGACTTAAAAAACTTTAAATGTCATCAGTGACATCTTCTGGCGAAGTTTGGTACTACAACTTGTTATTTCCTAAAAGAGACTTGGCTCGAAGCTCAGACCTTAGATAAGACTTTTCTGACCTTGGCACCACCTGTGAGAGACTTAGCTGTAAAAGAACAGCTGGGTGGCATAATTGGCCTACTTGAACTGTGAATGTAAACCTTTACTGACTCTCAGAGTTATATGTGGGAAACTGCTTTCCTATCTCTTTATTTGAGGAATATTGGTCACTATATGAGATGTTGAAATACCTTGGATTATAACATTTTGCTTGACAAACAACTTCTACTAGAAAGACTATTTATAAACACGTGAAAGAGATGGATGAAGACCAGGAAAAGATTCTTTCCATGTTGAAAGCAATACCAGAAACCATTCTTTCAACTTGTGATAAAATAAGACCTAACATAAAAGATCAAGATGCCAGCTTAGATACACAAACCCAAACTTTGACTACAACCAAAGAACGAACAATGAAGAAAATAACAGAAGAAGTGGGACAATGAAATATTAAGACAGAGGACTCAATAGGCCAACAAATACAGCTGATGGAAAATCCAGAAAAGGAAGTGACAATACTGAAAATGGAAATGACTTTCTATATAAATCAGAAGAAATTTGAGAAAGAAGAACAGATTGAATGGAAGACAAACATATTAGGGCAAGCATGGGGAATTGGAATAACAGGGAGACAACTTAACAAATATAAATGGGCTAGTCCTTCCAAAAAAATGGCAATTAAATGGTCTCCATTTTAAATAACATATATAATAATAAAGGGAGATCTATTTGATGATCTAAAAGCACTACTATGGAAACCTAGTTGGCAAAGGAAGAAAGCCAGAATAAGGTTGAAGAAAATTGGGGTTTTGACTTATTAGAGAGGATTTCATATTATTAATTAGAGGGTTAAAGGGAGAAGTTGAGATAAGGGGAATTCTGGTCATTAGATTTAAAATACTTGGAAATCAGTTGAAAATAAGGACTTTATCTGTTTAATATTTAAAAATTAGACCTAAAAGGAAAAAGAAAATTAATTATGAATATGTATGATTTATTGATTAACCCAGGTAATATACATAATGGTTTTGATTTATTAAAGGGGATATTGTATTATTAAGTGGATGATTTAATATGGTGGGAAATAGATAACTCTTAGGAAATAGAGCAAGATTACATTCAAATAGATAAAATATGTATTTTGGATATTAGATTTTGTTATGAATTGAGACAAGGGAAATCTTGGTTGCCTAAGGCTTGAAAATTATAAATATTAAAGGTTAGGTTGGAATATTGATGAAAAACTGGGTAAAAATTAATAACAGGATATGGATTGTTTATGAAGATTGAATGTAATTAAGATACATATAAGCTAAAAAAATTATTGATAAATGTAATAATGATGTTTTTATTGAGTTGATATAATAAGAACGGTACTAGCTTGAATACGAGACAGTAAATGTTAAGGGAAAAAGAGAAGAAATATTTGATGTTGCAACTTAACTATTGATTAACCCAGTCACCACATTGCTTTTTAAATACTTAAAGGTAAAATTGAAAAATTAATAAAATATTATTTAAAAAAAGAATGTTATTATCTCTGAGGGGGGGCAATGGGAATATTTTCTTGTGCCACTTTTTCTGTGAATCTAGATGAACTTGATGTGGTTGAGTGTGACAAAGCAACAGCCTTGTTAAGGCCAATCTGCAATTCAGTCATGGGAGATGTAAAGAAAATGACTCCTCTGTGGTTAATGACCAAGATATTTGGAGGCATAAATTGAAGAGGAATGGCTTATTACTATGCATCTTCTCTTTAAGTTTCTATTCCACTTGCTGTTACCTTGTTGATTCTAATAATTGTCTTTGAGTTTAAGTATTTTGTTTTGTGTGGATTCCAGGATAATGACACCATGCAGTATCATATTGTAATTGGTGATAAGCTGTTTTTGAAAGACCTGAAGAACGGAGTGCACAGAAGCACAATGTTAGGACTCTCCAATTGGCTCATGTTTTCTAATATACTCAATAAGGTGAGAATGAGCTATAAATTACACTTCATTTCTACAGTATGTGGTTTAACAAGGAACATCTTAAAATATCAAATACAATACTTTTCAAATAGTAAATTTGTGTGCATACTATGGCTGCAATCCCTGAAATGTTTTATGTATTTATTTTAAATATTTTATTTGTTTATATATGAAATGTATTCAGCGATCTCTGTAACATAAATTGGAAGATCCCAGAGTTCTGGTTAGTAAACTGACATATACAGATTAAAAACCAAAAGTTTGTTGGTTTCTGTTGGCCTCCACTGTGGATGCTGTATTGGCTCAGGAAGGTTTTAGAATGCTGTCTGGATAATTGTAATGCTATCTGGATAATTGTACTTTGAACCATACTTCATTTCTCATCCCTTTTTTAATTGTAGACGTATGTAAACACAGTTCTTTTGGATGGCCCAGTTGTTGAAACAAGAAATGGAATGTTGATTGGGGTTTCTCAAGTTCTACAGATTCACAAAAACCGTTGCAGTACCAATACCTCCACTGTGCAAAGGGTGAAGTATTAGAGATTTTCTCTCTTGGTTATGAGTACTAGTTGTTTTCTACTATCTCATTTGAGATTTATGATTAAACTGACTGCCTGAGCCCTCAGCCCGATGTAAAGTATATACACTTTTTTCTTCTTAAAATCTGGAATCTTGCAACTTTCAGGAACAACTGAGCTGGCATCAGTAGGCCTCTTCAACAGCATTTGATGTCATTCTATTTTCATTCATTCATTCATCAATCAAACTTCTTAACCGGCTATCTCCCTCACAGAGGGACTCTGGATGGTATACAATTTAATCAATACAATAAAACATTAAAACCCAAATAATTTAAGATTAAAAATTTAAAAATGTATATATGATCCTGGTGAGGATTTTATCAATATAATAAAAATGACAAAACTTAATATTAGCATTTTGTTTTTATAGCGGTAGTTATGCTAACAAAAATAATTGGTCAAGATTTTATGGACCTGATGAATCCTGGCAGGTTCAGACCCCAGTCTTCCATCTGCTTAACTGAAACTAAAACCTCTAGTTTTTAAGTAAATACTTTGATATCTCAGATAGTGTATTAAGTGGTGCCACCCTATAAAATCAGTGAATGGATCTATTAATCAAATATCCCGAGAGCCGGTCTGTGTCATATATTGCCGAGAATAGGGTGAAACATAGTGCATGAAAGTGGTGATGATAAAGTGAAATAATTCTGTTTTTTGTCTAGTACAGTGGTGGCGAACCTATGGCACGCGTGCCAGAGGCGGCACTTGGAGCCCTCTCTGTGGGCATGCGTGCCATCACCCCAGCCCTGCCTCCCCCCGCAGCCTCCTCCTCACCAGCCCCCCCGGAGGAGAGTCGCCCCCGGGCGCGGCCCGCACGGAGCAGTGCAGCCAAGGACATAGCCGGGCAGCAGGGACAAGACTCTGCCCTCGCACCCCATAGCATGCAGATGATGCTGCGGGGTATGGGCGGAGGGCGTGGCTGCCATGGTGCTGCAGGGCTGCCTGGGCGATCTGCGGCGGGCCATGGAGGTGGTGCGTGGCCTTGCGGCTGGGTGGGGCGGGGGCGTAGCAGGCAGGGTGGGAGGCGGAGCGGGGTGTGGGGGGCGGTTTTTAGGCACTCGGTCTCTAAAAGGTTCGCCATCACTGGTCTAGTAGAATGATAAAGTATAGGGTAGCCCTGGAGTATAGGGTAGATGATGGAATTTGATCTTCCAATCTATTTGACTCTGAGGTTTCTCATTGATAAATGGCTTTTCCTGCAGTCTTGAGTTGGTATAATTTCAAACCAGTAGACAACTTGGTTGTTTACATAAACATAGATTTTAAAACCTCAATAAAAAGTGATTGGTTCATTAAGATAAAACAGATCTATGACGTTGAATTGAATAAATCTTGATGTGGGAATAACAAGAGGTTGAGATAAGGATAGATAGAGAGCCAGCCTGGTGTAGTGGTTAAAATGAAACCAGATGACTGTGAGTTCTAGTGCCACCTTGGGCTTCAAAGCCAGCTGAGTGACTTTGAGCCAATCACTCTCTCTCAGTCCCAACCCACTTCACAGGGTTGTTGTTGTGAGGAAAATAGAAGAAGGAAAGAATATTATGTATGTTCGTTGTCTTGAGTCACTTATAAAGTAATAAAGGCAGGATAAAAAGCTAATAAATAAATTTATAATCTTGACAATGCTAATATCTCTGCTATCACAGAATATGAAAAATAATAACCAGGTAATGATTAATGAGGGCTTCTGCTGTGTTATGATTTGTTACCCTTCTGCAGTTGATGCCAATATTTTTCCGTGCTCTGAAATATCTATTAATTATCCTTTATCCTCCCCCCCCCCATACGCCAGTCAAGATGTGCTAAATGCAACAAAAGGTTCAAGTGCCCAGCAGGATCAGTGCTTGCGGTAAGTCTTGCTTTATTTCATTTGATACTTTTTGGTCTATCAAGCGCGTCACCAGAAAACTTTGTAGAAAAAGCAGCCGTTCTGCAGAATTTTGGAGCCAATAATGTTTATTGTGAGAAGGTTAGAAAGAGTTAAAATAAGAATTCTTTCTTGATCATGCCTAGATGTTATCTGTTTGGAATACATATCTGCTTATCAACATTTTTACATTTTTTTTGACAGCAATATCCAGGCAAAGGAAATCTTCCTCACTGTATATTTAAAGCTGGAGGCATGAAATTAGTTGGCTGCTACTTTACTTGCATCAAAGTTTCCCTAGTAAGTCATCCCTATTGATTAGATACCTGCACATATGCCAACTATGCAGCTATTCCCCATGTAATTATTTTCTTCTGGTTGGCCCAGAAATATTTATTTCTTTATTAGGAGACTGAGATCATATTATGTATAACTGACCACCCTGCTGATGCATAGAAGTATATCAATATTACTGGTGCCATATTAGAAATGATAAGCAAGAAGATGCACCACTGAACTTCAGTGGTTAGAATGCAGCATTGCAGGCTAATTCTGCTGACTGCCGACTGCCAGAGGTTTGGCAGTTCGATCGTTACAGGCTCAAGGTTGATTCAGCCTTCCATCCTTCCAAGGTCAATAAAATGAGGACCCAGATTGTCGGGGGCAATGTGCTGATTCTGTAAACCGTTTAGAGAGGGCTGTAAAGAACTATGAAGTGGTATATAAGTCTAAGTGCTGTTGCTATTATGATACCATCTCAAGCCCTAAGCAATATCAACTTTTGAACATGGCATCAATTCAAGATTTTATGTGGCCATCCAGCTCAAACGTTATGACACTGGATATCTTATAAGGAAGAATCAAAATAAAAAGACACTCAGCAGTAATCCTTACATTTGTACAAAATCCCTGTTTTTTTTTCTTTTCCTGGTCTGACTATCAATCTCTCTGTTTTCTGAGGTCTCCGTCTGCTGTCCAGGCTACTATGGTGCTATGTGTGAGATGTGTCCTGGGAAGCCAGGCAACTGGTGCTCTGGCCAAGGGATGTGCCAAGATGGCATTGAAGGCAATGGAGATTGCCAGTGCCAGGAAGGTTTCCATGGTACAGCCTGTGAAATGTGTCAGGCAGGAAGATATGGACCCAAGTGTCAATCAGGTGATTATGGCTGTTATTCACCCCTATTTGTGGCATCTGCACCTGATTTTTCTTCTTTGTGCTACTTATTTCTTTCAAAATACGATATAGGCAGTCCTCGACTTATTCACAGATAAGCCCAAAATTTGCATTGCTAAGTAAGACATTTGTTGAGTTTTGCCCCATTTTGTGACTCTTCTTGCCACCGTTGTTAAGTGAATCATTGCAGTTAGTTAAGTTGGTAACCCGGTGGTTAAGCGAATCTGGCTTCCCCATTGACTTTGCTTGGCAGAGGGTCACAAAAGGTGATCACGTGACCCCAGGATACTGCGACGTTCATAAACACATGCAATTTGCCAAGCATCCGAATCTTGATCACGTGACCATGGGGATGCTGCAATGGTCATAAATGCAAAAATGGTCATAAATCACTTTTTTCAGCGCCATTGTAACTTCGAACAGTCACTAAATGGATGTTTGTAAGTCAAGGGCTCCCTGTACAGGGAGTCCTTTACTTGAGACAACAACTGGGACCAAGATTTCCATTGCTAAACAAGGCGGCTCTCAAGTGAGTCATGCCAAATTTTTTATAACTTTTTTTGCCATGGTTGTTAAGGAAATCACTGCGATTTCTAAATGAATCACCCAGTCATTCACTCCAGGATACTGCAATCATGGTAAATACATGCCAGTTGCCAAGTGCCTGAATTTTAATCACATGACTATGGGGATGATGCAACGGTTGTATGTGCAAGGACCAGTTGTAAGTTACTTTTTTCAGTGCTGTTGTAACTTCAGATGACAGTTGTAAGTCAAGGAAAAACTGTATAAAGAACTGGGGGGGAATTGTTATCAAATCTCTATGCTGCCTCTGCCATCTATGGCTGGAATATCAGAATAGCATCTGTGCTACTGCATAGAGAAGCATTTGGTCAAAAACAGTGATGCACACAAAAAGACTTGCATGCAGTCCCTGGGGTTTTCTGAAACTTGGGGCCACCCTCCGATTTTTAATGTGTCCCAAATCACAAGTCATCAAACAGATAGCCAAACAGTTATCCTATTACTTATATTTAATTGCCACCTGCAAGATATCCAAATGCCCTGGGTTATTCTAACACTAGAATAGAGTAGAGTAGAGTAGAGTAGAGTAGAGTAGAGTAGAGTAGAGTAGAGTAGAGTAGAGTAGAGTAGAGTAGAATAGAATAGAATAGAATAGAATAGAATGGAATGGAATAGAATAGAGTTGGAAGGGACCTTGGAGGTCTTCTATCAAGCCCCCTGCTCAAGCAGGAGAACCAATACCATTTTAGACAAGTGACTGTCTAGCCTCTTTTTAAAAACCTCCAGTGATGGAGCACCCACAATTTCTGAAGGCAAGTTGTTCCACTGATTAATTGTCCTCACTGTTAGGAACAGGTTGCTTCTCTCTTTGGTCAGTTTCCAACCATTGTTTCTTGTCCTGCCCTCTGGTGCTTTGGAGAATAATTTGACCCCCTCAAATTATTGGCAGCCCCTCAAATTATTTGGCAGCCCCTCAAATACTGGAATACTGCTATCATGTCGCCCCTGTTTCTTCTTTTCTTTAGACTAGCCAAACCCAAGTCCTGCAGCCGTTCTTCATATGTTTTAGTCTCCAGGCCTTTGATCATTTTAGTTGCTCTTCTCTGAACTTTTTCCAAAGTCTCAACATCTTTTTTTGTAGTATGGTGACCAAAATTGATTGCAGTATTCCAGGTGTCGTCTTACTAGGGTTTTATAAAGCGGTACTAATACTTCGCGTAATCTTGATTCTATGTCTCTGTTTATAAAAACTCAGGATTGTATTAGCTTTTTTGGCTGCTGCTGCACACTGCTGGCTAATATTCAAGTGATCATTCACTATGACTCCAAGGTCCCTCTAGATAATTTGTAAACTCCTAGAACATTATTGTATAACTATTGTGTGCATTTTTCAAATACTTTCACTCACATTTCATTTCTAGGGCCCTGTGCAGTTATTGATAGTGATAAGCGCTGCATAGAAAGAGGCAGCTACATATAATTATTAGGTTTTCTGTTGGCCATGATGGTGCAGAAAAACCAGCATAGGTAACATTGGGTGTATTCATTTCTACCTAACAAAGACTTATATTTCTTCTTAGAGTGCAATTGCAATAAAGGACAGTGCAACGATGGGTTGTTAGGTGATGGAAGCTGCACATGCAACTCAGGATTTAAAGGAGTTAATTGTGACCAAAGTAAGTTGAAAAACAAGGCATATCGGTCCAGATTTGAACCTACTGAATTTTTAAAAAAATCAAATTTAAAAGAAACAAGAAAGGACTATATTCAAAATTGCAGAACTGGAGTTTTGTTATACCAATGTGTCCCTTTTCTTCTCCTGCAGTCAAATCTGCAGAAAATGCTTGGTTTTCAAGACAAATCTAGGAGATGAATACAAAGTGTATTGCAGATATAAGGCATAATCAAATATACCAGAACAACTATTGCTATCGATCAAGGAACACCATAAAAAATAAACGTTGTGCAACATTTTGGACATTTAATCAATTAATGAGATAGTTATAAACAATTCTTGCTTTAATTAGGTTCATCAAGTAGAATGAGAAAATAGTAATATCATCAATCAATAGTGTGACATACACAAAAAGCCCAGTCTTTTGGGGTCAGTGGGCACATATGAAATGTGAGAACATGCAATGGGCTTTCTCACAAAAAAGTTACCTTGATAGTGTGACCAATCATAAAACATCCATATATCAGAAGGCAACCCCCCCCAACCAACCTCAATTGGATAGCAACCACCTGCCTTTTATTTTCTAAGCCTTATCTTGGACCCAGAGTCCTTGCTGAAAGTAGAGATTGATTTGAGAATGTGTTTCATTCACAAGGTTCTAAAATTACGTTTATTTCCTTAACATTAAACAAATATTTTAAAAAATTAACTAAGAGCTTAGAATCTAGGCCAATGTAAATAGTATGTGGGAAACTCCACTGGCCATATACTTTTCACATTGAGCTGTGAAGGCCTGGGACTGATCCTGCCCCCCACCCTAAATTCCTCTGTTAAGCCAACATAAGAATGCAGGAGGATTGGCTGAGCTGTGGTGGCACAGTGGTTAGAATGCAGTGTTGCAGGCTAATTCTGCTGACTGCCAGGGGTTCAATCCTCACCGGCTCAAGATTTACTCAGCCTTCCTTCCTTCTGAGGTCAGTAAAATGAGGACCCAGATTGTTGGGGACAATATCCTGACTCTGTTAACAGCTTAGAGAGAGCTGTAAAGCACTGTGAAGCAGTATGTACTAAGTCTAAGTACTATTCATGTTGCTGTGCTGCTGCAGATTAAAGCAAATCCTGTCCCAGCCGTTGTGTTAGTTGTATCATGGCATTATGTAAATTGGTTACCTGTATATCCCTTTGCTGCTCATTTGCAACAATGCTGTCGGCAGGCAGAGATATCCCTGTGGATTGAAGGCCAGTTTTAAAACTCCAAGTGGGATTTTTTGCTTCTCTTAGAAAAAGAGTAGATGTCTTAGAAGACTGATGTTAGTCCTTTGAGGTAGTCCAAACAAAATGTGCACCATGAGTAAGGTAAAGGTATAGGTTTCCCTGTTAGTTGTGCTCATCTCTGTTTCTTGGCTGAGGAAGCCAGCGTTGTCAGAAGACAATTTCCATAGGTGAACAGCATGGCTATATGTCAAAGGCACTTGGTATGCTGTTACCTTCTCACTAAAGTGGTACCTATTTATCTACTCGCATTTGCATGCTTTTGAAGGTCTAGGTGGGCAGGAGATGGAGCAAATAACAGGAGCTCACCCCATTGTGCAGAGCTCAGGTCTCAAACCCAGACTGTCAGCTCTCCAGCTGACACCATGAGTACTAATGCTCTTTGTATTGTAAGGTTACATTAACAGAGTCTTGTGAGACTGAAAGTATTTTTTCCCCCTCCTTTCCTTTTATTCTCCAGGAAACTAGGCAGGGCCCTTTCTGAAATGCTTCCCAGATCACCTCTGCTTCTGAGGTGAGGAGCTCAGGATATCTCTTATAAGCTGGTTGTCTAGCCTGCAGCTCTTTCTTATGTCTCCCAAGATCATTCCCACATATCATTATAGTCAAAGTCCATGGCTATTTGAGAGAATTATTTTTGCTTGGAGATTGGAGAATGTTCTAACAAAATGTTCTTTTGCAGAGATTGAAACTGATTTCTGCAATGGTACTTGTGATGTGAATGCCAAGTAAGTATAATTATTTAAAAGTTTAGAATATGTCTGAAGTTAGATGATTGTTTTCTATAACAACCCCATAGGGATATTTTCCTTCTTTTTCTCCACAGGGTTGTTGTGATAGGGAGAAAGAGGAGGAGGAAGGAGTATCATCTATGTTTATCACCTTGAATTACTTGTATATTAATATAGGACGGATAAAAATCTAATCAATAAATTAAGCAGTATTTCTAGGAAGCTGAGTTTTTAATTAGGCCTCTCTATTATATATTGCTTAATTCCTTAAAAATGATCTGGCGATTATTAAATTCTCTAATGTACAATTAGAGATTATTTACAGATAAAACCTGTGAAACTATAGATTCCATTCATCAAGATCTTGCTTAAGTTAAATATAAATGTCTCTCAAACTATATCTTCCCATTCTGAATGAGAGTAGGCAAGACATGTTTGTTAATTTTCTTATCCAAATAAGTAAGATGAATTATTGCCACAAAGCAGTTTTCATATAAATATTAATGGGGCTATTAATAACCATAACCACTAATTCCTGCATCAGAAAGATTGAGTTTGTAATTGTTTTCAATCGCAATCTCAATTTATTTTCAAGGTGCAAAAATTCCACTTTGAGCATGTGAAAGAAACATATATCTGTAACTTGAGCTTCCTGCAATGTATCTCTGTTGTGTTAACTACACATTTAGACAAATGAGAGAAGGGGAGCAACATGAGGCAAGCCAAACAAGCACAACACAATTAACACTCAATATCATCATAAACATATGTGTGTGATTTTATATATAATTCTCAATCCCTTATTACTCTGTTTCAGTTGCGTTAATGACTCTACTAATTCTCAACCCACCTGCTCCTGTTCTGCTGGCTATTCTGGAAATGGAACCTCTTGTGCAGGTATAGCTGGCAAGTGCTTTCAATTCATAATGCACGCTTGATAGTTTAACACTACAGGTATACACATACAGTACGTAGAGATAGATCTATACTAGCCTAAAACCTATCATATTTTTCACTAATTACATGCACAAGCATTGCCGACAGACACTTGTTCACCATTTGAACATTACAACAAGTAAAACATCGGTAAAATAAGTTTAATATCATTTAAAATGTAGCGTTCAATGCTTTTCTATGGGCTGTGTTCAGACTTTCAATAGCAAGTTGTTGGGTAAAGAGAAATGAGCATTTTTGAAGAGAAATGTTTACACTGTAATCTTAGGAAACTCCTTTTTAATCTACATCCAATGCAAATCTCCTCCAGGTCCATGTCAAAGAAAACGGGCATGAAAGCTTGATGTGCGTTCTCTGGCAGTTGGGTTGAGGAACGCCAATCTGCTTGAAATCCTTGCCTGCTCTTTCATTCAGGTCAAGGAGCAGACAAAATTCTACCAACATTTCTTCTGAATTATAGTTTTCTACATCCCACATGAGCCTTCCCTACCATATTTCACTATAGTTTCACCACACCATTCCTGTAAACCCAATAGCAGATTTGGTAGTTGTAGAGGGACAGCAGAAACATCCTGCTTCATACATGGGGATACGCTGGAGGAAAGCAAAGATTCAAGGCGCAGTCTGAACAAGGTCCCCAAGTGTTCGCAAATGTACTTGCCATACCTGTGTGAAACTGTTTTCTATTTTAGCCCACCCTCTTTTTCTTTGGCAATTCAGAAATAGACCCTTGTGCTGAGGATAATGGCGGCTGTTCCATATATGCCAACTGTACCAAAATAGCACCGGGCAAAAACATCTGCACTTGCAAAGAAGGTTATTCAGGAGATGGAACATTATGCAGAGGTAAGCATCATACAGTTCAAAGCAGATGAAAGGATGGCTGATTTGGCTTTAAAAAGTGGTGGGTTTTTTTTTCTGGCCAGAGTCACTTTTGTGAGATTGGCGACCATATAAATGGGATTAGTAACTAAATATTGGGATAGACCAGTACTCAGATAAATGAGTGGCATTTAAAAGAAGATGAAATATTTAAAATATGATTAAATCAATGGCATTATTTCTCTTACAGAGAAGTTGTCTTTTACTTATTTATTAAATTTATATGTCACCCACCTCCCCAATAAGGCGACTCTATTACATCAGCCCAGGCAGTCAGCACTTTCTTAAAATGTACATGTTTATGTAGCTGGCTACTTCACTCTAACTGAGGCAGATGGCAAAATAATGTGGACATGATCGCTGAATAATGGAGAAGAGGATTCTTCACCAGCGACGGTGATAGTTTACAAGGTTCCCCATTAGAATGAATGCCATTGTTTGCTCCATATGTAGGTGGGATACCTTGTAGCAGGTACTGTATGAATGTTCCACTTGGGAAGGTAAAAACTGCTTGAAAGTTTTCTTTGATATTGTTTTTCCCTAATCAATTATGAATTTTCACTAGGAACATTTGGGGCATTTAGAAAGATGAAAAATGTGTGTCCTGACTTATCCTTGCTCATTGCACTTATTGCACAAGTTAACAGGCTATTCGTCGATTCATATCTTCTGAGGCCTTGTTTTGTAACAGTCATATTTTTCGGTGGAAGCAATCTGATATAATGTGTATTTCTTCGATGTTTAGAACTGGATCGGTGCTTAGAAAACAATGGAGGATGCCACCGAAATGCAAGCTGTATTAAAACAGGGCCAGGTTTGGTAAGCAGATTTTTATCTTACCCTATTCTGAGGTTTACTAACAATATACTTACAATGAAAAACAGTTGAGAACATAGCACTTAATACTGAAATATTCATATTTGTTTTCTATCTTACCCCATATAATTGTAATTTTTATTTTTGTAACATCTGATAGTGGAATCTCTCATTTCCTTTAGAGCCTTAGCTAAATAAAGTTGTTCAAAAGTTCATTTCTTCTACTTGGGATGAGTTTTTCTGTTTCCTGTTTCTATGGCACAGGTGAATCTTCCTGTTTGCCCAAGCCTTTCCTTGGTTCCTCTGTGATCAGCAAAATAAAATGACAAGTTTCTTTATTAAGTCCTGATTTCAATCATTTTTTATATTTATTATTATAATGTAAGTTTATTATAAAACACAGTGCATATTGTATGTATTACTCTTAATGTTGGATGCTTTGGTAGGTAAAAGCTGTGAATGCATACTTAAAAGGCTTGTAATAATCTCTAAACCTTCATAGGAAAAAAGCAATGATACTAACAACAATAATCTGAATTTCTCACTCTCTGTTTCTCAATCTCTCTCTCTCTCTATACACACACACAGGCAGAGAGAGAATCAAACACAGAAATGTATAAAAGGCTGCAGGAACTACTTCAACTGTTATAAATGGTGCTAGGATTTTGATACTGTAAGGTCTCTAAAATTGTCCAGGTGTATATGTTAAGCATGCACAGTGGACCCCAAACTAATAGTTTTCCTATGTTTCTTCCTCTATCTATTGCTTTTGTGATTTTTGCCAATCTCAAGATTGCAGTGATAAGTCTCAAAACTGTCTGTTATGTTTGGCAGTGAGTTTAATGGGGCTTATTTATAATGAAGTAAGGAAGGATTGTATTGCTTGTTCTTAATCACACAGTCAGGGTGTCCATAGAGAGAAACAAAAAAGTCAAGATGGTAGTTTCAAGCATGTGATTAAAGCCCTGGCCTTTTTTTAAAGTGTATCACAAAGCACTCCCCCCCAACATATAACGTCATAGATATCCCTGCAAATAGTTATAAAGCTCCATGTGGCACTAGGGTTTCTGTTATAGAGTTGGCCTCCTAGAATAAATTCAAAGTATGGTCTGCGTCTTGCTTTTTTAATCTGGGGAGGCGGCTGAGTCATTAGCATAAATGGTCACTGCTGAGGCAACAGTAGCATTTCTATTGTATCCTGTAAAATGCGTATCTTCCTTGCCATCTGCTTAATCTCCTTGCTGATGATGGATAGAGAGGTGGATCAAAGTAATTTATGGTCTAATATCTGCAACAATGGTTGTGGATTTCCATCCCATAGATGGGAGGGAAAGGGACACATGAATGGGAAAGAAGGGAGGGGTCCCTTTCTCTCCTATTCATGTGTCCAGGATTGAAAGAGCCCAATGTAGGTATAGGACCTACCAAGGGATAGGCAGTCTGAAGATAGAGCTCTTGTAGTCTGTCCTCTACGTACTCACTCTGAAGTGTGGCAAGTGTGTACCCACTGCTCTGCTTCCCCAGCAGGAACATTCAATGGCTTAAAATGCACAGAGCTCCCTCATTTGCAATGGGACTATTAAGTGATTGTGCTCTCACAACTTTTGGCACTCACAGCAGCTGCAAAGTCTGCATATATAGGACACACTTCCTCTATTTCACAGTTGCAGAAAGAGGCAGAGCAGGAAAGTGACAAATATCTGCCATCTTTATAATTGCTGCAGAAGATGTCTGGCAGTTTGTGTCCCTCTGTTTGTAATTCTGAATGTGAAATATGTGGTGGTGTTTTTATTTCTCTCAGGTTGCCTGTGAGTGTCTTCCCGCGTTCAGTGGTGATGGGATCAAGAAATGTGAATATACCGATCCTTGCTTGGAGGTTTGTTGATGCCCTTTTTTGTAAGATCTCCTGAATGCTAGTTTTCACGTTTTAAAAAAGCAAACAATACTAACCCCAACAGAGATTTGATAATGGTGTGATTCTACTCATCACAAAGGTAATCTAGGTGCAGATCCCAACATAAACATTAAAAAGTAAGTCTTTTTTTAAAAAAAATAACCAAAATATCAGGAGTTCCCTGAAGTCATCTGGCATTGTTACCCAAATCTTACAAGATTTTGAGTGACAATCTTGTGACATTTCTGTTTTTTTAAAAAATATTTTGTTTAATTTTAAGGTCACACAGCTACCAGTTTAAAAGGTTTATGCATGCCATGGTACATTTCCCAGCCCTGATTTATTTGGTAATCCTTAAAAGTTTTCAATAATAAATTCCACAAAGGGGAAAAAAACAACCATGTCACTAGATCACAATGTGTTTTCTTTGGATTTGGCATAATGTGTTAATTCAACCATTAAATTTATAAACAATAGGTTATAGCTTAGTATGTGATGAAATTCAATGGTGAAAAAAGCAAGGTTCTACATTTAGGCAAGAAAAACCAAATGTACAGGTATAGTATAGGGGGCACCTTGCTCAATAGTAGTAACTGTGAGAGGGATCTCGGAGTCCTAGTGGACAATCACCTAAATATGAGCCAGCAGTGTGCTGCAGCTGCCAAAAAGGCCAACACAGTGCTAGGCTGCATTAACAGAGGGATAGAATCCAGATCACGTGAAGTGTTAACACCACTTTACAATGTCTTGGTAAGGCCACACTTGGAATACTGCATCCAGTTTTGGTCACCACGATATAAAAAAAGATGTTGAGACTCTAGAAAGAGTACAGAGAAGAGCAACAAAGATGATTAGAGGACTGGAGGATAAAGCATATAAGGAACGGCTGCTGGAATTGGGCATGTCTAGTTTAATGAAGAGAAGACCGAGGGGGGACATGATAGCAGTGCTCGTTATAGAGTCCCCGACGGTGTTTCTTCTCCCTCAGTTCGATAAGAGGTTTCGTGGACTTCCGTCCTGTTCTTCGTTGCCTACCTTTGATTAGTTCCTCTCTTCGTTGGATCTTGATTCCTCTTTGAAGGACTGTCAATCTTGTTAATTGGTCACCTTGTTGGACGGAGGTCTTCGTCACTTACGAGGTTGTGACCTAGCTTTTAAGAAGAGACTGGACAGCCATTTGCCCGAAATGGTATAGGGTTTCCTGCCTGAGCAGGGGGTTGGACTAGATGACCTCCAAGGTCCCTTCCAACTTTATTATTATTATCATTAATAATAATAATAATAATAATAATAATAATAATAATAATAATAATAATAATAATAATAATAATAATAATAATTGTGTGTTAGTCAATAAACCTATTGCTGATTGATGTAAACACTTATTGAATTAAAGTAGTCTAGCAGTAGTATGGCTTTCAGCTTGGCAGTATTAATTTCATGATGGGGATTATGGGGCTTGTTATCAAACCCAGTAACCTTAGATGGGAACAACAAGGAAATTCTTCATGTAAATCACTAATAATACAAAGTAATAAGTGTTTTTCACAAAGAAGAAAACTATATCCATTAAATAGATAACTTTAATTTCATGTGCTTCAAATTCTTTAAAAGAGGTGGCAAGTGAATTTCCATTAAGGTACCTTTCTCTTTTAAAATCTTTGAATGACTTGACAGGTTTATGGAAAATTTTAGGGCATGGTATTGAGTTTCTGCACACAGCTGTCTTCACTGAGATGGCTACTTTCCACTACTCCATACCTGTTGATAGCTCATTCACTTGTGTGAAAAGGAAAATTGTCTCCTTACAGCTAAGTTTTAAGAAGAGTCATCTAGACAAGTTAAACTTAAAAGAAGAATTGATAACCCCTGAGCATAGCTCCAGTTTATTAGCTCTTCTTTTCTTGATCAGAATAATGGTGGCTGCAGTCCACTAGCTATATGCTCTAAAAATGAAAATGGGAATCCAACATGCCTTTGTATATTGGGGACTGGTGATGGCTTCACATGCAGTAGAAGTGTATGGCAGGTAAGACATATTTTACTAAAACTTTCAAAATTTGTGAGCATCCATTCCCAAATGCTAGAAGAGCAGTCTTCCTTCTTAACATTCCCAAAAATTGTGCTGATAGTAGTACTCAAAAAGCAACATGTGACGTAGTTGAAAAAGGCTGCAAAAAAGAAAAGATAGTTGCAAATGATCCCATGAATTAAAAAACAGTAAAAAGAAAAGAAATTTTAATTAGATCATAAATCAGTTGAACTGTCATTTGAAAGAAAATGTAAACAAAACAAAGCTTTCTTCATGTATGCCAGGGGTGTCAAGCTTGCAACGTCACGTGACGTGTTGCGACGTATCGCAACTTCTTCCCCATTGCTGGAGCTGGGGTGGGCACGGTTTTGGTATGATGCATCTGGCCGGCCGGCCAGCAGTTTGACACCCCTGATGTATGCTATCTGGGGATTCATTGGTAAGGACATAATTTCCTATATTGAATGGTTCAAATATGATTGTTATAATTAATAATTCAAAATTATTCATATATATGAAGAGTGATGGCTTCCAAGTCTCTTGGGGCACATGGAAGCCTTGAGTCAGAATCAAAGGCAAGATCAATCCGGCCACTGCATTTGGTTGCCAGATGTCATTGCATCCATGCCTTCATTAATTCTTTGGCCAACCAGTTCAAGTACCTATGAAGATTCCAGCCAGAATGTAGGGCTCAAAACATGACATGCATCAGATCTGCTTTTCTCTATTATAATTCTGCAGTGGGAGAGTTTTTACAAGGAATTCCCATATCTGCAATTGCAGTATTAGAAGCCTGTTATTATGAATGTTTTTATGCACATAGTTCCTAAAATTTGGAAGAAACTTGTTATTGTGAACATGTTTAATCCCTCCCTCCCTCCTTTCCCTCCCTCCCTCCCTCCCTCCCTCCTTCCTTCCTTCCTTCCTTCCTTCCTTCCTTCCTTCCTTCCTTCCTCAGGAACTTATTGGAAGAAAAGATGCCTCTGAATTTCTTCGTTATAGCCGGGTAAGTATGAGAAGGATTTCTATGTGGTAAAAAACTAGAGTGGGATCCAGAAAGTTCCTTGCACAATCCCTGCAACCATGTAATCAAATTAGAGCTATAGATCCTCAGATTCAAAGGGACTCTGAAGATCTTGAGGTCTGACTCACTTCCCAGGGCAGGAATACGAACCCAGACAAACGTCAGTCATTTTTTTTTTAACTCACCAAAAACCAAGTTATTCTAGTGTTTCCTAGTGTTTAGTGAAGAAATTACTTCTTGTGTCAAGTTTAAATCCCCTCTGTAAAGTTTTCATTTATGGTTCTTGGAAATTGTGGAAAATAAACCACATCCTCTTTCCTATGATAGCCCAGGAAATATTAGAAGATTTTTCTAATATTTAGAAGACTGTCTTTCCTCAGCTTTCTCTTAGCCTAAATATACCCAGTTTCCTAAACCATTCTTAATCATTTATCTCCCAGCTTTCCCCCTCTCATTGTTCTTCATACTTTTTCCAATTCCTCAGCCAGTGACCAAAGCCAACACCATATCCCAAGGACAGGAGTACTGTTGCAGCATAGAGCTATCATTTCCTGCAAACCTGACATTATAATTCTGTTGATAAGTCCAAGATTACATTACCTCTTGCAGCACCTGCAATGCACTGCCAATTTCTCTGAATCCACATGCCAAACGTCTGTAGATTGTAACTTTTGCTTGGTATTTATACTAATCCCTGGACTTCTCCCTATGTTGTAGACTCATCAAGTAATGGAAATAACAGGGAAAGGACCATACACCATATTTGTCCCACATGCTGATTACCTACAGAAAAGGACCACAGTAAGCAACTTGTGAAAGGTGGCATTTGAAAAATCAAGCAGTGCCTTTATTCCTTGCACTGAAATTTGTTTAATGTAAAAGAAGAGTTCACTAAGAGAACCTTAGAGAAGTATAACTTCTTGTTTCAGTGAAACATTATTATTTTTTTTACTTTGCTTCCAAATATAAATGTCTTCAACTAAATTTGAACTTCCTCTTTAACATCTTAATGAAAACACTGAGCAAGATACATTGGACAAAATGGGGTACAGTACCATCAATATGCCATATCCATTGAGATGGCACACAATTTGGGGGGCGGTCCTCCTGGACTCATGCCACCTACTTAGGGAGCGGGTGGCAGTCATGGGTGTGTGTGTGTGCTCTGCACAGATTCATCTTGTGTGCCAATTGTGCCTTCTCCTGGACCAAGAAGCCTTAGTCACTTTCTGTTTGGAATATTGCAATGTGCTTTACATGAAGCTGCCCTTGAAGACCATCTGGAAGCTACAACTAGTTCAGAATCCAGCAGCACATACAATGTTTGGAGCCCCTAGGTTTTCTTATGTTACACCCCTATAATGTGAACTACACTAGTTCCCAGTTTACTTCAGGGGGGCAACTCAAGGTGCTGGTTATCACCTTTAAAGCCCTATATGGCACAAGATTATTTCTCCCTGAGAATATCTACCCATCCCACAAGATCAAATAGGGTAGATGCACTTCAGATTCCTTCCCTGCTGCCATCTAAAGGGATTTGGGAAGTATGCCTTATCCATAGCTGTTCCTACCTCATGGAACACACACACGTTGGCAATCCAGCAGGTCTAGCCTTGCAAAAAGCAATTGTGGCTGGCACTGAGGTAGAGTAATAGGAATTTACAAATGGTTGTTGAGGCATCCTAAGACAATATAGGCACCAGGTTTTTAGTTTTAGTATTTGGCTTTATGGTTTATAGTTGTATTATTGCTGCCATCCTTTTAAGTTAATAAATGAATAATAGTTTTCAATTGAACTGAATTTTGGTTTTTTTCCATCTGTAGTGATGGGTATGATGTAATTGGTTGGTATGTTTATGCCAGTGCCCAACAGCTCTACATTTTTTGGAATGACAAATGGATCACGAGAACTAGGTTTTAACCATTTTTCTGTGTTAGATAATAGAAATAGATGCACTAGACGGCATTCATGATTTATTACTATCGTATCAGAGAGCAGCTTCATTTCAAACACCTGAACAAAATGGATTAACCTGTGCTTGCCTTGTACAACCATATTTTCTTTAGTTTTCAGAATGGGAAAAAGCTGGCTGCATCAAAGATCTGCTTCGCTATCACACAGTCATCTGTCAGAAGCTCCTATCAGATGACTTGGAATCACAGGATTCTCTAACAGCTTTATCTGGTCACAAAATCAGAGTTTCCATGAAAGAGGTGTGTGTCATTGTCACAGTCCTGTTTCATTTCCATCTTAGTCATAAAAAGACTTTTCTGCACTGCCAAGAGAAACCTTATGTGACTGTGTCCTATCAGGTCTTTATTTTTCATGGAACTGGGTTATTTTTTAGGGCCAATGATGATCCCTCTAGAACAGTGGTCCCCAACCTTTCCAGCCTGGCAGACCAGCTCGGCCTGGCCGGGGGGGGGGGGTCATGTGAGTAGCAGGCGCATGAGTGTTCACACAGCTGCATTTGTGTGAGCGGCATGTGCATGCCTTCCACTCGCATGAATGGAGCTTCACGCTTAAGCAGAGGGTGCTTGAACCCACGTGCAAAGTTCCACTCGAGGAAGCAGATGTGCCCATTTCTCCCGTGGCCTGGTTTCAAACAGGCCACAGCCCAAGGGTTGGGGACCCCTGCTCTAGAATAATATTCTTATATTTTTGTATAATGTATAATAGTCTGTTTTTAAAGATGCTGGAAATGTATTCCCTCTTTTTTACCCTCCCAGAACAGTCTGTATTTAAATGATGAAGTTAAGATAATTGAAAGTGACATTACTCGAGAGAATGGAGTCATACATTTTATTGATGGGATCTTAGCCCCATATGACCTGCAGCACCACAACATTTCATGCGACCTATCCCAGGTATGTCTAAAATAAGATACGCTAGAAAAGGTGAAAGAAGCCACAATGAGTTTGCTAGGCTTTAAGCTACGGTAAAACTAGATGTTATTGAAGATAATAATGGCTTTTAATGGCTCTTTATTTCTTATACTATACTTAGTTCTGAGTTAGATGTTTTAAACACTAACTATCCACTTACTAAGGCACTGCGAGCCATAGATCCATCTTATCTGATTGCATATATTTCTATTTTGTTTGAGTGTCCATGCCTGGGTGCACATACAGTTTGGATTATTTCAGAGATGGAATGATCCGCCTCTGATCTATTTTTTGTGTTTTTTCTGCACAAACTGCGTAACTGAAGTAAAATCTGTTAGGGCTGCAGTGTTGCACACAGTTATCTGCCACTGAATATATTTCAGAATTGCTGTATGGAGGATCATGTCATTATCTGGGTTCAGGGCTATTGCAAAGCATCTTATCCTTGTGTTTTAAACAGGATACACATGATATAAGATTTACTTGCCAACTCTGTGTATTACAGCTGCATGTGCACATTTTAGATTGCCAGAAATGGGGAAAGAGGCAGCTTGTTTCAACGTTAGATGTAAAAATTAGGCCACATCTCTTCCATGCACCTTCAAGCAGGCATGATGCTTTTCTGATCAGGCTCTGGAACTGGGATTTTATTGGCAACTTTTCTGATTGATTGCTTTCCAGAAAACCATTACAGAGGTCTCAGAGGCTCTTGGATACAAAACATATAGCAGGCTTCTAAAGGTAATTGAACATTCTCTTTCAGTTTCAATCCATAGAATGAAACATAAGTGAAATAGTCCTTGAGTTGAGTTTGACCACTGGTAATTTCATGGATACATGTATGTAATTTCCCTGACAAGGATATGGAAGTGGCTTGCTGTCATCTTTTTCCAATTATTTTTTTTTAATTCCCAAACATAGCTTAGAGCAGGGGTATCAAACTCAATTTCATTGAGGGCCGCATCAGCATTGCGGTTGCCCTCGGGGGGCTGGGTGGGTGTGGCCAGGGTGGGTGCAGCCTACTGGGTGGGCGTGGATGGAGTGGGTGTGGCCTACTGGGTGGGCATGACCAGCTCTACATCATTCGCGTCAAGGGTGCCTGTGGCGGCCTGGGCAGGAGTGGGACAGATCTGAGGGTCTCTGGCAGAAGGGGATGGGACCAGGGCAAGCGCCAAAGCATGGTGCATTTCTTCATTCCTCACAAAGGGTGACACCTCCCCAGCATGCATCCAGGGGGTGGGGTCAACATGGCAGGGGCTGGTTCCCCGCTGTTTCTGGATGGCCTTGTGGAGCTAAGACTGAATGCATTTCAGCATAGATGGCCACCACAAAATTGTACATTGGCTCCCGGCCAGCCTGGGCCAGGGCCAAGGCAGCGGAGACCATTCCCTCACTGTTTCCAGGATGACTTCGCGGGCCACATGAAACCACTTCGCGGGCCGCATCCGGCCCCCGGGCCTTGTGTTTGACATGTCTGGCTTAGAGTCATGCAGTTTCCTGATAGTCTCACATCCAAATCTTAACCATCACTCGCGTAGCTTTTTAAGATTAGTCAAAGTTGGCTGTGTGCTGCCATCTAGTCAGGTTCATATTAAAACCCATATATTAAAAATACAAAATAATATAATTTTAAAATTTGGTTCAACATGTATTTCAGAAGTGGGATTTGAATTCTGATTAATTGGATAAGGGTTTAACTCTTAATAGAATTCAGGTCTGAAGAGAGAAAACATCTACTTCACTCACTGGCTACAGACATATGGACTAATGCAGATGGTATAATCTCAGCCTATTTGGGAAATAGGGAGTTGGTATAAGCCTATTTGGGGAAATTCAGATAAATAGATAGAAGGAAGACGCTTCACATGCTGTCCTGGATCTCTTTCTGTTAGTTAAGAGAGTGTATATTTAACAGGGAAGAAAAAAAAGTTGTCTTTCTTTTTTTCTTGCACTTCCTTCTTCTCAAAATATAACTTAGACAGAAGTGAGTCTTTTCTACCCTCATGTATTTCTTAGTAATTCTTGGCAATGTATATTAGCATTCATTAACAGCTGGGCTAACTCCATGCTCTGCATCCCAGACAACTATATTATGAGCATTTATTTTAATGTGACATTCTATTATTTCCTTATAATTCTTTCAACACTCTGTTGTTGTACATCCTCTCACAAGGTCTTCTTGATTAATTCAAAATTAACATCCAATGAAGCAGACACAGTCATAAAATAATCATAATAGGAACTGTTGCAATCAACATACAGGTAGAGCACGGTAGCCTTTTTAAAAACACATGAACATTATGATTTATTGAAAGGCAGACACTGTGAGCTGCAGTTTGTTTCATCAGATGTACAAAAACTTTGCCAGCCTGAAAAAATGCTACCAGATTTTTTTTATTTTGGCCACCATAAGTGCCTTGCACATCTTTCTTTCCCTATACTGAGCATTGTACAGCATATCAAAATCCACATTTCTAAACCAGACAGGTTAAGACACAAAGGGAGCCTGCTTTGACGAACGGAGGAAATTTTGTAAAGCCCAAATGGCTTAAGGCATCAGGCATCTGTTTTGCCCCTTTTCACTCATTCCCCTGCCCTAAAACCCTCCAAAAATAATTAACCCAACTCCCAGACTTGTGGATTACATTCCACTCAACAGCATGAAGGTTCTTTCCATACAAACTGTGATGCAGCTCCCCTATTTTTTCAGGACTGACGTTTGGGGGAGGGGGGGTGTTGACCAGTTGACAGTAATTCTCTTAGCTTTGTGAAATCATGTTATTTTACTGTTCTGTGTCTCTATACAGGAAGCAGGATTTCTTAGTCTGGTCAATAATACCTTGCATCAGCCATTTACCATGCTGTGGCCAACTGATGCAGCCTTTAATTCTCTTCCTGCTGAAAGGCAAAAATGGCTCTTTCACAAAGACCACAGGAGCAAACTGGTTGCTTATCTCAAAGGGCACATGATCCGGGACATAAAGGTAAACCCAAGGTTGAAACAAGGTTAAAGAAGCCCTGCTGGACCCAGCTTGGCAGAAAACGCATCTCCTTTTCATGTCATTTAAACCTGGCTAGAAATTGGTTTTGATTTAACAAGTAAACTACTTAACCAACATTTTATCTGATAAAATCTGTGAGATCTGACTGTGGGAGAGAAGTTGCTTCTGGCCTTAGCTTGCTTATTCACTGGAGATGTGCCAAAACTGAGCAATTGCAAGGAGGAAAATTCAAACAGAGAAAATCTTAGAGCAGCTGGTATAAAATCGCATTAAAAATGCCTTTTTATTTTATCAATGAATTACTAAATTATAATTTTATTTATTTATTTTATAGATTTTTAGATTTAGATGGCTGCCCATCTCAAATAGGCAACTCTGGGCATTTTACAATGTTAAAATGAAAATGATTGGTCATCATCATTGCTCGGGCATCTACAGGTGCCAGCTCCTTCATTCTTTTAAATAACATGGGTAATTTAAGATGCATTCTAGCTTTGTAAAACAGAAGTTAGTTCTGTAAAACAGAGGGTGTATTTCAAGAGGAAACATGCATATCTGTTAAGCATGACTTCACATATTTTGAAAAATATAGATAGAGGCCATGGTAAATTTGTTAAGGTGTCTATCTCAACATTGTTTTTCTCTGATGTTTAATTTTAAAAAAAACTTCGAAGAATAGTCAGGACACTGAGCAAGGATTAGGACAGGGGTCTCCAAACCTGGCAACTTGAAGACTTGTGGACTTCAACTGGCTGAAGAATTCTGGGAGTTGAAGTCCACAAGTCTTCAAGTTGCCAAGTTTGGAGACCCCTGGTTTAGAATTTCTTCTTTTTTTTTACCAGCACAAAATAGATGAGGTAGTACTCAAAATGGTGTGGGATTCTTTATCCAGATGCTGATTTTCTTGCAGTGCTTCATATGATCATGCATTTATCATATCATGGATCCACAGGGAAATTTAGTCTCAGCAAGATCTTTTGCAGCCTTAAATGAAACCCATTCCTATTTAACCTTCCTGAACATTTATCTTCCTAGCTGATTCACTGCCAGAAACATTTACTGTCCAAAACAAAGTTTATAATAACAGAACACAAACGGCAAATGAGAAAATGAGTTTTCATTCTTTTGATGAAAATGAAACCTTCCCCAATTCCTGTTTATATGTACGATGAATGAAACATAAGACACAACCTCTCCAGATCTATTTTGGCCAGCTTAAATGTGTGGAAAATCAATCATTATTTACTGTTTTGTTGTTCTAGGTCTTGGCTTCCAAACTGACAGAATTCTCGTCCTTGAGGACTTTGCATGGCTCAATTATTTCATTTAGCTGCAGCAAAACACATGCAGTAAGTAAGCACTCCTTTAAATTGAAGCCACAAGAGGACAAACTGATGTACAATACTGTCGCTGCCTGAATAGATTTTCAAAAGATATAGATAGTCCTCACTTATGGACTGCCTTGGGCAGCACTGTTTGGAATTATGAAGGTGATGAAAAAGTAACAGTTAGTAGTGTTCCCCTGTGCCTGACTTGTTATTTTTTTCCTTTGTCCTCTCAAAGAGAAAAGAGATTGCTTTTGTTTGCCTCCTATGCAGTTTGTTATACAAATAGCTGGTGCTAGTGCCTTCTTTTCAATGAGTATTCCCTATTGGGTGCCTGCTTACTCTCTTGTAATTCCTTCCTCTCCATTTAATGTATAGACAAACATTAACTCCCTTCTTGCTAACTAGCCCAATGCTGGGTGAACATTCCAAGCAATGGAAGAATAGGGCTATAAGATTGCCCTTCATGAGTCAAGTTCCAGAAACTTTCCACCTACGTTTTGGCTCATACGACTATTTGGGGACATATTCTTTCTGATGCTGTAAAGCAAAGGAAAGCTGAAGTAAAATCACAAGCATAGTTGTCACATGATTTCAGGATCGAACTCCTGGCTGTGGGCAGAGTTTGCCTGCAACATTGCATTCTAACCACTGTGCCACCATGACATTAGTTTTGCTCATAATGTCCTAAGTAGGTTTATAAGTTAGGCTAAGGAGTAGGTAGAGAATGCAGCAGCTGCAAGTATTAAAGGTCATGGGAGGTAGCAAATGAAAGGATGCAAAAGAGGCATGGGCCAAGAAAGAAAAGCCAGAAACAAAAAGGAGAAGGGTAATCTAAAGGAGTCCATTATTTTAGGAGAAGCTGGAACAAGCTAGGGAAGTTGATCAAGAAACAGAGTATCTGGGAGGCAGAGATCAAAGAAAGTAGGATGTGTATAAACATTACAGCAACTTTTTGAATACATCTTGAAGTAAATATATGGGATTATCTAGGCATTCTGGGAGCTGTAGTGCAACAATCTTGAGGATACCAAATTAGGAAAGGAGGCTGCAATGCAATCAGGAGATTAAAAGAGTGTAGCAACAGACAGGATCTTACAAGACTGACTTTTAAAAAGAGGCTACAAATGGGATGTTTGTTCAGGTTGGTAAATGTGATTAGATTTACTGTGTATAAAGTTTATACCTTATAGACAGGGCAGGTTGCATAAACTATAGTGCTTCTGACTTGAGGCAAAAAAAGGTAAAAAGGATCAAGAAGCAACAGGTGATAGGGCTGAATTTTGCATATTAGTCAAAACCAAAAGCCTCCAATATTCGTCTTCTGTCTTCTGATTTCACTTTTACTGCTTCATTGGTTTGCAGGGGGATATTGTGGTGGACAATAACAATGCAAGGATTGTCCAGCGGTATATGGAATTCAGTGGGGGCATTGCTTATGGAACTGATCACCTTCTTGAGCCTCCAGATTTGGGATCCCGTTGTGATGAGTTTCAAACTACTGAGATTTCAGTGAGCACTTGAATTTTAAATATCAATGTTTACTGATTTAGATAATTATCTTCATTTTGTTGATTTAATATCATTAAAGGATTCTCTAGACAAAAAGAAGACTTTGTTAAATTTCTTATAATAATGTTGACAATGGCAGCCGATAGTTTCTCCATGCTTTTTCCATGTTTGTGGAACTTACTTTCCAATTATAAGTCGCCTTATTGAAGATATGAGCAGCATATAAATTTAATAATAATAGAGCTGTTCTTTTTTTAAAAAAACCTTCAAAACACTTCTGTTTCTATTGAACTGTACAATTTTTTTAAAAAATTATCCCTCTCACCATCATGGCAATTTAAGTTAAGGTGAGATTGTATAATCTGTATGTATTCTACTTGTTTTGCAAGATTTAAATTCTAAAACGCTGATAAATACATAATATGAACACCCCAAAGCATCTCAACATTGGGGACAGGGCCCAAAATGCCAGCTGTGCTAACCATGACACTGTCATCATGAGTTTAGTAGCCATAGTGCAGTTCTGTGGCCAAAAACGTGGCCCAGCTCTGCCTGCAAATAGGTTGCAGCATTTGTGAGAAAGAAAAAATTAACAGATTTTCAGATGAAATTTAAAATGGCTTCTTACATACTTGTTTATCTTTCCTGCTTTCCTATAATGTCTTCTCAGAATGCTCAATGTGGTCCTTGTGGCTTTGAGAAATCCTGTCCTTTTGGATCAGTGGAAATGGTAAGCCTCCCCAGAGAAATGGTGGATTCACAGTTGACAAGATGTGGATAATAAACAACTTGATGGTGGTTTACCAAGACATTTTATAATCAAGCATCTGACAGGCACAATGCATGCCCTTAATCCCAAACAAGAGAGGACATACAATGGATATAGAAATTCTATACACCCCTGTTAAATGCCAAGTATTTGAGATGTAAAACAAAATTGCTTCAGAATTCTTTCCATCTTTAATATAACATAGAAACTGTACAATTCAGTTGAAAAACAAACTATAATCTTTTTTGGGGTGTGTGGAAAATAATAAACTTACAATACTGTGGTTACATAAAAATACACAGCTAAACTAATACTTTCTTGAAGCACCTTTTGATTTTATGACGGCATTCAGTGTTTCGGGGTAGGAGCCTGTCAGTGTGACACATCTTGCCTTGGGAATCTTTATCCACTCTTCTTTGTAAAACAGCTCCAAATCTTCCAGATTACGAGTGCATCTCCTGTGCACAACCCTTGAAAGGCCACCCACAGACTTTCAGTCGGATTCAGGTTCAGGCTGGGCCATTCCAAAACTTAGATCTTCTTCTGGAAAAGCCATTCTCTTGTTGATTTGGAGGTCTGCTCTAGGTTGTCATGTTGAAAAGTGAAATTCCTCTTCATTTTCAGCATTTTAGCAGAGGCCTGAAAGTTTTGTGCCAAAATTGACTAATATCTAGAGCTGTTCATAATTCCCTCCACCTTGAGGCTCCAGCTGAAGAAAAGCAGTCCCACAGCATAATGCTGCCACCATTGTGCTTCACTGTGGGTATGGTGTACTTTTGTGATGCTCTGTATTGTTTTTCTGGCAAACGTACTTTTTGGAATTATGGTCAGAAAGTTCAACTTTGTTCTCATTAGACCATAACACGTTTTCCCACATGCTTTTGTTAGACTTGATGTAGGTTTTTGTAAAATGTAGCCAGGCTTGGATTTTTTATTTTTGTAAGAAAAGGTTTCCATCTTGCCAGCCTAACTCACAGTTCTATTATATGAAGAATAGAGAGATTGTTGTCACATGTAGCACACAACCAGTATTTGCCAGAAATTCCTGCAGCTCTTTTAATTTGGCTGTAGGTGTCTTGGCACCCTCTCAGACCAGTATTTCTTCTTGTTTTTCATCAATTTGGGGGGAACATCCAGTTCTTGGTAATGTCACTGTTGTGACATATTTTCTGTACTTGTTGATGACTGTCTTCACTGTGTGTCATGGTATAGCCAATGCTTTGGAAAAAGTTTTTTTTACCCTTCTCCTGACTTATACCTTCCGGCAATGAGATCCTTTTAATGCTATATAAGCTCTTTGCAGTTCATAGTGTTTGCTGTAAGAGGCAACTGAGTAAATGTCAGAAAAATCCTACTAAAACAGCTGAACTTTATATGGGTTTGATCAGAGTCACTTTAATTGATGGCAAGTGTGTACTGACTACTATTTATCATCAGTTTGAATACAATTGGTTAATTCTGAACACAGCCACATCCCTACTTATAAAACAGTGTGAACACTTATGCAGCCACATTATTTGATATATTTTTTGCCCCACTAAACAATTTTAGTTTGTTTTTCAGTTGAATTGTACAGCTTATATGCTATATTAAAGGTGAAAAGAATTCTGATGTGGTTTATCTTGGTCTAATTTTTTTACATCTCAAAAAACCTGGTGTTTTAATAGAGGTGTGCAGACTTTCCATATCCACCGTATATATGTATGTACATTGCCATCTGATATATTCAGAGTCTCGGGTTTAGAGTTATCCTGGTATGAAAAGTAAAATTAGTAATATACCCAGATCAAAAGGTAAAGATAAAGGTGTCCCTGTCCAGGCATGTCCAATTCTAGGGCATGGTGCTCATCTCTGTTTCTTGGCCGACGTAGTTAGCATTGTCCAAAGATACTTTTCTGTAGTCATATGGCCAGCATGGCCATATGCCAAAGGTGCATGAAACCCTGTTATCTTACCACCAGAGTGGTACAGTATTAATCTACTCACACTTGCATGCTTTCAAACTGCTAGCTGGGCAGGAGCTGGATCAGGAATGGGATTCACCCTGTTGAGCAGTGCTCGGGTCTTGAACCCGGGTTGTTAGCTTTCCAGCTGAGCCACTGCATCCCCAGACCCGGATCAAGCTTTAAATAAAGGTATATATCTTCTATTAGAAAAGAGTAATAGCACCCTTCCAAAACAATTTGAAAAATGTCCTTCAGACCTTGTCCAAACCCAGTGCCTCTGTATAATAACAGAAGTCCGATGAACTTCTTTAAAATCGTATTATAGTAGTCCTAATTAAGAGTGGCAAAATGATAAATCATTCAGTCTGTGATTTGAGTCAATAAAGCCAGCAAAAGGAAGGAAAAGATGAGCATAGAATGTATTGGTAAGAAAGTTGGGAGGTGCTCTGATAAACTACATGGGGGAACCTAGTTGCAATCAAGTAAACTGAAATTTTCAGAACATTTGAATTACAAAATTAGATACTGACTGGAGAGTTGATGCAATATGATTTATTTTTTTTAAAAGGCATCTATATTTGAATTTCTGCCTATTTCCAGAGAAGAAAGGTCTTGAGAAGTTTCATCCTCTACCTGGAGATTCCCAAATCAACTGAGATTTTGGACTTCTAATTAGGACACTTTATTTCACCTTGTCACCATGACGAAGGAGAGAAGCTTGCTCGGGTCATAGCACCACTGGCTTTTAGTGGTGTTCCAACTTCACAATGCATCCTGATTTCAGAGTTATGCATCTTTTGTAAACAGTTCTGTCTTGGTCATATGAACAATCCCCATCCGTTTGAGGACTTTTGATACAAAGAGAGTCCTGGAATTCTGAGTCAGAAGAAGTGATGGGGCACCAGAGTTTTGCTTGTCCATTAGTTTTTCCTCTATGTGCTCCAAATTCTTAGCACATAGGAATAATAGGAGGAAGTTCCCACATACCTTGCAAATTGAATGTATACTTTCATTTTAAGAATCCAATTTCCATCAAAAGGCAAAAACACTTGTCTTTTTCCAATAGGGGGAAATCCGGACTTGCTATTATGAATATGGCTCTCTTGAGACTCCAAGGAGGTACTTCTGGCCGAAATATTTTCATGCGCCACCCCCTCCAAACCGGCTTAGAAGACATTTCATTAAGGGATGCAAGAGAACATGCCTTGCCACTAAGTGGGTACCCCTATGTTGTCCAAATCACTATGGAAAGAACTGCCAGGGTAAGGAATATTTCTTAAAATTCCAGATAAAATAATATGTTTTTCATTCCTAACTTGGTAATTATAATACATGGTAATAGCAGTTGCTAAAAATAACACAACAATTTGTTTTACCATCTATGGAGGTGAAATGTCCTTGATAGGTCTCACATCTAAGGTTCTGAATCCTCTAACTGAACTACGAGGGCAATTCGGAAATAAACCCCCATTTGGTTATCAATGACAGACATTCGCAGATACAGAACTTTTATTATTCACGTTAGAAAACTACAACCTTACATTAATGTGAACCAACACCACACTGGAAGTCAGCATGCCCCGACGCTTGTTATGGATGGCTCGTCTGAGTTTTCATAACTTTTCACAGTAGACTTCTGAATTGATGGTCGAACTACGCTCCATGAACTTCACTAGCAGTACTCCTCTGGCATCTTCACATTTGGCAGGATTTTCTATGGCACCACTTCCGGTGTGGTGTTAGTTCACGATAATGCTTGCCTGCACACCGTTAGATGCACCCAAGAACTTTTGAAGCAGTTCCGTTGGGATGTTTTTGATCACCCCCGCCTATAGCCCAGATTTGGTGCTAAGCAACTACTACTAAGGAATTTCAAACCATGTAAGACGTTATCACAAGTGTCTCAATTTGAATGGCGATTATGTCGAAAAGTAATGTAATGTTTAGGTTTTCTAATGTGTATAACAAAAGTTCTGTATCTGCGAGTGTCTGTCAATAACCAAATGGAGGTTTATTTCCAAATTGTCCTCATATATCCTTATTTCTAATGCTCCTTTGAATTTGATATACATGCTTAGTTTTCTGTGCACTGCCATTCACCAAAATGAGAACATATCTTAATATTCATACACTTAATATCTTGAATGACTTTCACTTCTCCTCCCCCTTGCCGAAAATATCATTTATCTTCTTGTGTTTGGTAAATATTCCATAGCACAGTAAGAAATAAAACAACATTTCATGGATTTTCCCATTGTCTCTTAGCAATGTCTCTTAAATGCTGAATTGCAACTAATGCTGGACCAAATCAATAAGCAAATAGCTTTTCCTGATTTTCATAGAAGTAGTTATGTGTACAGGAGTACTTTTGCATTTTCTGTGCTGCACAATTCTTAGTGCATTGCAGCAGATTCTGCATCTAACTAATCTTGAAAAACGTGGTTGTTACTTAAATGGGAAACTCCTAAAATGCCAGACATATAGACATATAAACCTCCTAAAGAAAACAAAGGAAAACCACTTCATGAAAATGACCTGTATTTAAGGGTGAATTTGTCATTTATCTTCACTCTTGGACCTACATGCCTATGACTACAATGGAACTCACTCCCTACAAACTTTGCTTAGAATTAGAACTTCAGATTAGTCAGGTTCCCTTATTCTGACCTCATATGATTATAGATCTGAAATCTGACTATTCGGGGAGGCATTCACTATTCACTATTATTAATTCCATGGTTTACTTATTGTCCAAAATAAGGTGGTTACTACATAAAGGACATTCTGGGTTGTCCTAAAGTCCGATTGCTCAAGGCTTGGCTAAACACCAGAAGATATGAGACCTAAGAGGCCATGAAATGAATGATCATAACCATTACTATGGCTAGTTTGGCTCCTATGGCGCACCATGGATAAGCTTGCAGGTGTGAAACCGAACGAACTAGCACTTAGGCTGTCAGGATTACTCTGTAAAGTGTAAATCCCCCTGACAAATGCATGTTATTCAAAATAAATCAGTAAAAACCATTACTATACATGGGTAAATCTATGCCAGGCAGGATACATTAAAGGATGTGATTAACTGGCAGACAGACAATGACAGTAAGAAGCAGAACACCCTTATAGCATCATGTGAAACCTTTCTTTTAGAATGATAGAAAGGTAATCAGCAGAAAGTTACCCTGATTTTTAAAAACAGAATTATTAAACAGAACTTTATTCTTCATTTTCCTAGGTTTATTTTTTTTAAACAGTACATTCTTGAAAGAAGCTACCTCTAATGATAATTTTAGATGGGTGCAATAACTGGCAAATTGCAAACAATTACAGTGATTGTGCCTAAAATAACTGCAAAGCACTGGGGAAAAAATGAAGGATTATACATGCCCAGCACATAAAGTTTCAGAGATGGAGGAAGCTATTTAGCTGTAGCTTATTAAACAGTTGTTTCTAGGCAAGGGATAAAACTATATGACCAAATAGACAGTGGTCTCTTTGGAAAATCTGTATGACTTCATTCATTCTTCATTTCTCAAGCAATACATTTGGTTGAAAACATGTGTCGGTTTTTCCTCTTTCAGTGTGTCCCGGAGGGCTTGAAGCACCATGCCACAATCGTGGTACGTGCAACGATGGGCATAAAGGCTCAGGACAGTGCAGTTGTAATGCATCTTTTGTTGGAGTGGCTTGTGAACTTTGTGCTCCAGGGTACTATGGGCCAGACTGCAAAGGTAGGACAATGTTTTCAACATAACAGAAGCTTGTAAATTAGCTCTTCCTCACTATTTGCCATGATGGTACCCTTTGCACTGTCTTTGTAATTCCTATATATATCTTCTGCATCAGGTGTCCAGGGGTATTTGAAGATTATACTAGCAATTTTCCCCCCTCTTCCACTCAGTATATATTTAGTGAAGGAAAGGATGATTTTTAGGAGATATCTGCATGATACTGTCTTGAATGTTTTGGGTGATGGTGTGATATAGGATTTGACAACCCCGTCCTTATGGACCGTTGCCTTTTTCATGTGTTACCCTCAATTCTAAAAGTCATTTTCATTTTTTTTAATGAGCTACACCTTGTAAGATTGCTGCAACTGTGATTGAATGGTACAGTTGTGCCTATAGGACAATAGGGTGATGAAAAGTAATCACTTTTAATATGGGCATGTTGTTGGTGCTCTAGACAGACATAGTTTGGCACCTATTATGGTTTGGCTTCTCTTCTGACTTTGTTTGGAATTTCAATTAGGTGCCTCTTGTTTCCTTTTTTTTTCTTTGAGTTTTTGAACTTCACACTTAGGATTTTCAACTCCAGATTTTTTTTTTTTTAATTTCTTGGAATTTTTTCATCCTATTTACATCAGAAAGTTACATTTAGCCCCCTCCCCAAGCAGGTGCACTGGCTCACAGAGTAAGCCATAACTGCTTTTCACTTTTTTATTGTGTTTTGGGGGAATCTTTTCCATTTTGGCATCTACTAAAATTTGGCACCCTTCTCTATCTGCTTGATCTAAACCTAGAGCTGGCTCTGTTAATAGTGAGATTGTCCTTTGGATACACTCAACATTTTTTGTTTCTCATTTTCTGCCTCATTCCCTGAATGATTCAATAGTTATTTCCATGTTCTCATTGCAGGGTGGAGGAGTGGTGTGTTCCCCACTCCCTCCTCCTAATAATCTTCTTTCCGTCACTCTGTGATTTCCCTGCCATTACATTCATTGAGGTGTAGGAAGACATAGAGGTTACAGGTTGCCAGAGAGGAGGATTTACAATGAAAGATAAAATACTCAAACATCCATTGGTGACTTAGTAAATTACTGCTTATCAGGACATCACTTAGATGTTTTATCCCTTGATAAAAAAAATAAATATGAGGCGGAATGGTTGGGTAAAACAGGGGCTTGGGACAGCTCCATACACCATACCCACTATGCACTTCTTTTCTTAGCTCAAGATCATGATTGTTGCTTCCTTTTCGTTGCAGAGTGCAGTTGTTCAGGAAATGGGATATGCAACGAAGGGCTGCTCGGAGATGGCTTTTGCTTCTGCTTTGTGGGATGGACTGGAGAGCACTGTGAAACCAAACTAGGTAGAGCAAATCTCAGGGCTGGCACACTGCAAAAGTACAACTCAATAGAACAGCATTTCCCAACCTTGGTGACTTTCAAGTATGTGGACTTCAACTCCCAGAATTCTGTTCAGTGGCCATGCTGGCTGTGGAATTCTGGGATTTAAAACCCACACATCCAGAACTGGCCATGGTTGGGAAACATTGCCCAAGAGAAAGGCCCAGTGGATCTTAGCACATGCCTTCATTTCTCAAAAAGGTAGTAATGCTTTTTTTCCTTTTTTGCCATCATTCCACTGATTTTTTTTGTTCATGAGTTTTATAAGCTTGTATGATATTTCAGGCATGTGTAACATCTTGGGAAGCACTAGAGGAGGAAAAAAACAATTCAACATATCTGTAGTATTTTAGCTTTGTTTAATTGAAGAAACTGATTTTTTTTTGTACAAAATGTAATGTTAAATTTCAAAATGTCACCATCAGCATGCAAGCTAATATATTTTTGAAATCACAGGGTTTTGGGAGTTCCTATATGTATTGGAAGAATCCTGCTCTCTCCCTTAATCACATTAACTCAGAATTGATATCCAACCAATACAGGGAGTTTTATCTCGCTCAAATTCTCATCTAGTTTTTCCTCCAAAATCAAGCAAAGAAAACAACCCTGATTCCCTAGCAGCACATTGGTAACATGGCTTTTTTTTAATGATCAAAAGATTTAAACAATAAACAAAGACAGACTAGCAAATATTTATAATAAGGGAATGTGAGACCTGAATGATAAGCTTTAAACAATATGAGGTTTGCAAGCACTGATGAAAATGTCCCTAAGTAACCTTTTCCATCCTGTCCCATGCAAATAGCCATTCACTGTAAAATTAGGTTAACATAGTTTTAAAGAGCAAAGGAACTTACCAGCAAAGGGGAAAAAACCCACATGAGTCTTGCCCATTTCTGTCACTGCATGAGTTCTTCTCCTGGTGTTCCAACAGCCCTTGGCCACCACTGTACTTGATTTTTTAAAATAATAAAAATAGCAATGACGGCTCCCCTTCCCACAATCCCAATGGACAGAGAGATTACTTGCTACCAGCCTTCTTAAGGTTTTGGCACCAGACAAATCCTGCAAAGTCACGGTATCCCACAATCACGAGATTGCTGTTTGTGACCTCCTGCTAGCTTTCTCGATGACTTGAATTGCCAGAAGCCAGCAGCAGAGGTCGCAAATGGTGAATGAGTGACCACAGGGCACTGTGAAGTCACAACTGGGAGCTGGTTGATAAGCACATAAATTGCAATCAGGTGATTGCAGGGATGCTGTGACAGCCACAACTACCAATACAACTACTTACTATTGTAAGTCCCCCTCATTCAGCACTGTCATAATTTCAGATAGTCATTGAATCAGAGGTCATTCAACAAGGAATAAAATTTTGCCAAGAAATTTGCAGAAATTACTTCAGGCAGCTGCCAAGAGTCAAAAACTGACTCAAGGGCAAACAGTACATACATACATACATACATACATACATACATACATACATACATACATACATACAATCATGCCATGTAGATAATGTTTATTTTTACGTGAAATCTGTTCAGGACTGCCTATCCAAGAGCAGATGAACTTTAATCCCACACAACACAACTTACTCTTCTCATTCTACCACAGTTGTGATAAATAAGTCGTGCAGACAACTGGATGAGAATAAAATATGTTCAGTCCCACTGTATAATACAGATTAGAAGCATGATCTAGAAAGAAAGGATTTCCTTGAAATATAGTGGTGACAGGTTCATAAATGGCAATGAAAAGCGAAAGAGTTGGTTTGGTGAATAAGGTTAATTGGATAAATGCTGCTCAGATATTACATTTAAGGCACTTTAATGCATATTCATTCATAACTGATTTTTTCTTGCCAGAAAATTTGTAGGGTAGCAAGATTCCCTTTTACAAAGTGGGTAAAAGATTTTTCTGTAATGAGGACTTCCCATAGTAAAATCTAGCAGAATTGTTGGATGCATTATTGCATACAGTTAATCAAGCTATATGTCTAATTCTGAAGTGAATTAATGGGTTTGCCTGATTTGTTTACATATATATTCAGCTGCAGTGCCTCAGTGCTCCCCAGCCTGCGATCCAAATGCTGTCTGCCGAGCTAATAATATCTGTGAATGTAACCTTTATTACAGGGGAGATGGAAAGACATGCACAGGTATGGTTGCAATTGCAAAGGGTAAATCTAACATTTGCAAGCTCCATCCTATTTTTAAAATGTTGGCATAATTTCAGGATATAAGGCTATATCCTTCACAATAACATTGGATGCTTTTCTGTTGCATTACTTTAAATTGCTTTCATTTTCACACAAGCCCTTCAGTATAGGTATGTCTGGTTTTTCGTGTAAGTGGTATTCATCTCTTTAGAGTTATTGGAATCCGAGTAAATCTTCCTCTGAAAAAGTCAGTTTATAATGTAAATGAATTAATTCATAATTCCCAAATAGAGAAGAATCATGAATCCAGATTTATAGATACCAAACCACGTAGAAAACATTCTGGAATGATTCCTGAAGATATCATCTTGCATGAATGCCCCTTTTTTTCCTTTTTGAACATTAAATTGTGCATTGATCAGAATTTCCAATTTCTCAATGAGCAACTTGTGTAGGATTGCAGGTGTGAAATCCTGCTTCTTGACAATTTTATTTATTCATTTATTCACTCAATTTCTATAGCTGCCCATCTTAGTCAATCATTCTCGGGATCTTACAATTCAAAAATTTTACTGTTAAGAGGTAAATAAGAATGTGAAAATAGGGAACTTATTTTCCCATGCAACTTAAATCATTTCAGAATTATTTTAAAGTTGTTTCATCTCCCAAAATATCTTCTGAAGTATGCAGAAGAGTACCTATTACAGCAATAGATTCTCAAGTATAGCATCTCTTCTTGTTGGTGAGATCCATTTTGAATCTACTCAAACTAAGAGGTGTTCACTTTGCATTAAAAGCTTGCTAAAAAGAAATGAGTTTTGCTTATCCATAAAAATGTAAAATAATATAACAATTAAATGATTGATGAACTGGAACATTTTAAAGATTGGGTTGTTTTTTTTTAAAAAAAATCCTATTTTGATTGCATGTACAAACTTTATTCTAATGTTCCAAAACTGACTGGAAGTCAACCCAAGCAGTATCAAAATCTGAAATTTTAGAACAATTACAGAATGACTCCCTAAGCAGAGTCAAAAGTTATGCATTACTGAATGACCCTTTCTGATGTAGTGATTGACCAGTGTGGAAACAACAATGGTGGCTGCAGCAACCATGCTACGTGCACACAGAAAGGAACGGATGTCTCCTGCACCTGCTCAATGGACTACCAGGGTGATGGCTACATCTGCAATCCTGTTGACAGATGTGCAGATGGAAGGAATGGACAGTGCAGTGAGCATGCAACTTGTATTAGCACAGGTCCAGTAAGTATCGGACATACTTTCTGCATGCTCATATTTGCAACAAGCCTTGGTGAAATGAGATCATGTCAAATGTCTATGTGGGGATCTTCTTGCGGAGATATTCTACCCAATGGGTTGAAAAAGAAAGACAATGGTGCACAGTGGAATATGGATTTCCTCTTCTCCAAGTACCAAATATTCACTCCACATATTAAACACTATCGTTTGTGTAACTTATATCAACTCCATACATTCATGTCACATAGGACGTTTCTTTCACTTCTTAGGGTAAAATTTCACACTCTAGAGAAACTACTGTATTTAACTGGTTGGCAGTCCATTTCTGAAAAGCAAAAGTAACTTTCAGGTCAAGAATGGATCTTACTTTTGAGAAAGCAATGAATAGCAATAGCAATAGCACTTAGACTTATATACTGCCCCATAGTGTTTCACAGCACTCTCTGGATGGTTTATAAAGTCAGCCTATTGCCCACAACAATCTGGGTCCTCATTTTACTGACCTTGGAAGGATGGATAGCTGAGTCAACTTGAGCCCGTCATGATCAATCTCCAGATTGTAGGCACAGTTTGCCTACAGTATGGCATTCTAACCACTGGAGACCAAGGAGACTTCTGAGTCATACTGTTTCTTTGCCTTGCTGCTGAGTTCTTTTTGTATTCCACTCTCTTTGCTGTCTGTCTCTGATTTGATTGCCATCACTGGCCATAGGACTGCAGTAACGCCTGGCTTCCTTGCCTTACAGAATACCCGGAGGTGCGAATGCAAGGCGGGTTATGTTGGAAATGGAATGCAGTGCTTCGAGGAAGTTATTCCCCCTACAGACCGTTGCTTGGAAGAGAACGGGCAATGCCACATGGAGGCTATTTGTACTGACCTGCATTTCGAGGGTAGAAATGCTTTTTTCTATTCAGGCATCCCTTGGATAATTCATGTCATGCTTTCTATTTTCTGATGTAGTACTTGGGGAAGGGGGGTTCTCACTTTTGGAGGGAGTGCCCTTACTACACAAAGATGCTCTTTGTGTTCTGTAAAGACACATAATTGTGCCAAATCAGATTTTTTTTTTGCCTCTTGCTTTGGAATAATCTAAATTTATTAATTTGCTTCTCAATTCTTCCCCAAATTTAAAAGTCACCTGTTTGCTTCTTGTGGCTTACTTCTTTCTTTGGAGGAAAAGAAATGGATGGGATACCGTTCTGCCCATAAGGAGACCATCATCTGATCCAACATGATTTTTCTTATTCTTTGGATGCAATTTATCCAACAGAGTATTGGGTTTAGTCTTGGAATATCCTCATTTTGTTGAACATGCATGTAATTAGCTTCCTTTTCTAACATCACTTCTATTTTTGCCATAATCCTTGATGTTTTATATTTTTGGGGGGCATTGGTTAAAATTGAGGCATTTAGAATAAAAATATTGAGCATCTGTTCTAACATTTCAAAGGGTCTTTTTCTAAATCTGAACCACATCTCAACAAAGCTTAGTAGATGTAACATTCTATGATTGTTCCCCAGACAAAACCGTTGGTGTGTTCCACCAGCAGTCTCCCACAGGAAAGTACAATTTTACCTATGAAGAGGCTGAAGCCAGGTGTGCAGCTGAGGAAGCTACCTTGGCCACCCTTCAGCAGCTGTCTGCTGCTCAGCAGGTAACAAGGCAGCTCAGTGATATCAGTTCAATTTGTGTCTCAGGTTTTGATCTGTGCTAAGAATCACACTAGATATGCTTTCCTGGTTGAACTTTATCTCCTTTGTCTGAAGAAGCTTTAAAACTCCCATTGGATCCCACTGAATCCTCACTTTTTTATCTATTTCACATTAGAATTCCAAATTAAAATAAATTTAAACCAAAAAAAGTGAATGACTCAATGTGAGGAAGTGAGTGTACTTGTTTTCGTACCATGAAAAGCTGGCAGCCACTTCTGGCACATGGGCACTAGAAAAATGGCATGCAGAGGAAATGAAAAGCTAAACAGGGCATAGCCCATTGAGTGCCACATTAAGAAAGCTGCATTTAAGCTTATTATTGTACAAGATAATCTTGTCAAGATATGAATAGTCAGAAATATTTGTTGAAATATATCTGACTATTGAAATAATGTTTCAATTGTTTTGAAAAGCCTGTCTTTCTCTTTTTCTAGATGGGGTTCCACCTCTGTATAGTAGGTTGGCTTTTTAATCGCACAGCTGGTTACCCAACTGTATACCCAAGTCATAACTGTGGTACTCATCATGTGGGCATTGTAAACTATGGCTATCGAAACAACTTCAGTGAAAAGTGGGATGCCTACTGCTATCGAATTCAAGGTGAGAAAATAAATGAGGTCATAAGTGTCATCTCATTTATGCCTTTCCACTGTATAACAGCTCTTACAAAATCTTAAACTTTGTCTCCAATGCAAATGCCACCAAATTTTATTTCTTTTTCAGATGTACAGTGTAACTGTAAGGATGGGTTCATTGGAGATGGCTATTCTTGCATAGGCAGCCTTTTGGATGTGTTGGCTCAACAGGCAAACTTTTCAGTCTTCTATTCAGTAAGTATTAGTAGTACCTTCATCCTCTAGCTTTGCTACTATGAATATATTTGTGAATGACCAGAGAAACATGTGGTAAGTATGAAGATGATGGTTTTTTTAAAAAAATAATCATTAGTGATCACTATTCCTTCCTTCAAACCTGGTCCAGATACATCTACCGTATATGTCTCACACTACTATGCCAAATAAGTGCTCTGAAATTAAAGTAATTTATCTGGAAACTTTGGAGAAAAATATTTATTGATACCAAAACTTACCAGCATGTAAGTCAATGTTCACTCCGTGTTGACTGCTTTTCAAATATTTTTGAATTTGAAGTACTGTAATCCTGACGGACTGAATCCGAGTTCGGCTTTTGATTGTTCTTACAACATTCAATATGTTAGTTCTAGAATTACGTGTTCTTGCTACATATTGATTTTAAAATGTATGTTAACTGCAACTTAAACTTTCTCTGTTGTTTTGCTATAGATCAGTCTAAAACAAACTCCAGTTTGTTTTAGACTGATCTATACCACACTTGCATCTTTTGCAGAGAAAGCCTGAAATATATTATATTTTCTTAAGGAACTTGTTTTTAATAAAACCAATTTGTGCAACCTTTCTGAATACTCCACAGCAGTGTCTCATTATTCAGATCAAATTCCAGAATTAATGGAATTGTATTCAATTATTCCTTAAAGGATCCTGCCTCTGTCTTTTATTTCTTTGAAGTGAAAAGATAAGCTATATTGAAAAGCAAGTGGGAGATTTAAAATTTGATCTGTCAAATTGCTGTTATCAGATAGTTTTTACTCAGGGACAGTCTACTGTTTTGCAAACACCCCTCAGTTTAGGAAGGGAGGGAAATTCATATTTGCTATTCCTTGTAGGAGCTACTTAGAAACGGTCCCTTTGATACATTTGAGTTGAACATAGTAATAGTAATATTCCTGGTTAATCATGGAATTGGGTATGTCTAATTTAATGAAGAGAAGGACGAGGGGTGACACGATAGCAGTGTTCCAATATCTCAGGGGCTGCCACAAAGAAGAGGGAATCAAGCTGTTCTTCAAAGCACCTGAAGGCAGGACAAGAAGCAATGAGTGGAAATTAATCAAAGAGAGAAGCAACCTAGAACTAAGGATAAATTTCCTGACAGAACAATTAATCAGTGGAATGAGTTGCCTCCAGAAGTTGTGAATGCTCCGACACTGGAAATTTTTAAGAAGAGACTGGACAACTATTTGTCTGAAATGGTATAGGGTTTCCTTGCTGAGCAGGGGGTTGGACTAGAAGACCTCCAAGATGCCTTCCAAACTTTTTTTTATAAAGTTTTATTAATTTTTTTTAACAATTCAATACTAACCATTCAACAAAAACGTGTTGTCTGAGTATCTTATTCACTAATACAAATTAAATTCCTAATTCCTAAATCTTTTCTCCAACCATTGATAAAATAGGCCCCAAGTTTGAAAGTATTCTGTTTCTTCTTTTCTTTCAACCTTAAAGTAAGTCTGTCCATTTCTGCACAGTCTGCACCCTAACCCTAACCCTAACCCTTCCAACTTTGATGATGATGATGATGATGATGATGATGATGATGATGATGATTTCTTTCCTCTTTTTCAGATAATTCTGGATTATGCTAACACCACTCAGGAAGGAGTAGATTTTTTAAATTTCCTCTCTGAGGACATAGCTTATAAAACTCTTTTCATACCCGTGAACTCTGGCTTTGGAGATAATACAGTAAGGACCACAAAATGGACACTGGTGGGGCAGTCTTAATTGGAGGAGTGAATAACTTTGTGCCATCTCAACAGCAAAAACAAATCAAAAATAAATTGAGTCAAGCTAATAACTTTGATGTACAACCTACAGTATATGACTTGTCTGTCTTGAATGGGCCTTATTTTCTAGTAAAGCCATTAATTGCAGCATAGCAGGAAATTCAGATTCTTTTAAAGCAACTGCAGAAGAAGATAACGAATAAATATATATTCCATTTTTCTCATGAAATCCTGGTATTTTAACTTTATGACAAAATAACAACTGGAAGAATTTTTACAATTTTCTCCAAATTTTTAAGAGCTTTGGTACTTCGGGGGAGCAAGAACAGCTAAACTATAAAGGAAATGGTGTTATTTTGTTCATAGGCTAAACTACCCCAGTGTGAATTTTCAATTCAATTATAATTCACGTTTTAGTAAAAGCAATGAGATTAGATAATCATACAGAATCCATACATGCATTGTTTAAATGTGAATAATGGCTTTACAAGTGAAAAAACACTCTGTAATATTATAAAACATAATCTTGATAGAACTCCAGATAATCTTCTGAACTGTCTGCCTTAAATGAAACAATTTAAATTTGTTTCGTTCTTTAATCTGGTAATGAACAAACTTTAAATTTAAGTGTGTGCAGGCTAAAAGCACATTTAAATTTAAATTTGGTTCATTAGCAGATGAACTGGTAAATTTAAATCTGGTAATGAACGAAAAGGCAGGAAAAATGTCTTAAGGGTTTTGTTTACATTTTCTGATTACCAAAGTTGACTCCCAATGAGAAAAAGGAGAGAAAGTCTCACAATATGCCAGTACAAGGAAATCCTGCATTAGAATTTTTCAAATGTATAGACAGATACACTCAGTGGTGGGATTCAAATATGTGAACAACCAGTTCTCTGTGTAGATGCCGCTTCTGAAAGTCCATTCTGGGCCTGGGCAATAAAAAATTAGCTACTGGTTCTGCTGAAGTGGTGCAAACCGGCTGAATCCCACCCCGGGATACACTTATGCTACTTTGTGGGCTTTACTTGAGTAAAAAGTAATATGCTCAGCCTCAAGAAGAAAGTGAGATTAGAGCAGTCTTGAACACCTCCTATTTTAACTACCAATGAGCCATTTGCTCTCACTTTCTCTCTTTACTTTGAAAAAAGGACGATCCTTTTTACTATATGCGTGGAGGTTGCCATTTTTCCCTATATGTTTGTGGATATTAGGTCTTTGGTCCTTTCATTTTTGATGGGCCTGCAAGCTCACATGTCAGCAACCAATGCAGGGAATGGATCCACTATAACTACAGGGCCCTGCACTTTGTTTTGCCCCTTTGACATCAGTGTGTGCAGGCTAAAAGCACATACAGTACAATGGAATCAGTGTTAAGATATAGAGGGCTGAATAAAGGCCACAGTCATTCTAGGAGGTGGCATACAAATAATACAGCGCAATACAATATTGTATATCATGCAGTTGGCTTTCTTCTCATCAGTAAAATAACTTTTGGTTGAGCTGTATCTTTTCTTTGTTTTATTAGTCTTTATCACTGAAGGATGTAAAACTTCATGCATCGCTGCGTGGCGTTGCCCTCTCAAGCTTCAATCTCACAGCTGGAACAATAATACCTTCCCAAGCAGGATACAATCTTTCCATTGCAGAGTCATTGAGTCATACTTTCCTCATTGTAAGTATCAATTCTCTTTATGCAAGCTTCTTAGCCATGAATTTCTGTGCCTTATCTTTTTGGATAATGTTGAAACAGTCTTGGATTTGTAGCATTCCTTAAGTCTTAAACTCTTTGAATTACATCTCATTTGCAGTGAATGATAAATTAAAGCTCTTTGGTTCACTTTTATTGCACCAGGTTTCTGAACCAATTAACAATACAGCGATTGTTGAATGGGATATTCTGGCCTCCAATGGGATCATTCATGCTATTCAGAGTCCTTTGAAGGTACCTCTGCAACATAACCAGGTTAGTTACCAGTTTCTTTTCTTGAGAAACTATCTGTTTTGCATTCCTTCCCTATGTTATAATGAAGATCTGAGTAGTATCCTGTAAGTTTTTGTATTTATTTATATCCCACCTTTATTGTTTTTACAAACAACCCAAGGCAGTGAACATATCTAACAAATTTTCCTTCTCTTGTTTTCCCCAGAACAACAACCCTGTGAGGTGGGTTGGGCTGAGAGCGAGTGATTAGCCCAAAGTCACCCAGCTGGCTTTCATGGCTAAGGCAGGACTTGAACTCAAAGTCTTCGTCTGCTTTCTAGCCTGGTGCCTTAACCACTAGAGTAGGGGTAGGCAACCTTGGTTCTTTTATGAATTCTGGGAGTTGACGTCCACGAGTCATAAAAGAGCCAAGGTTGCCTACCCCTGCACTAGAGTAAACAAAACTATTTTAAAATGGTAGCACTCACAAGAGTTGATCATTTTAATCCTATTTTTCATCAACCTCCATACAAACTTGGGAAACTTCACAAGATTTGGTAATGTCATGGAATTTAACCAGGTCTCTAACCAGGTCTCTGATGCCAGTACCAGTTGTACTGAGCATTGCAAATATGAGTCCAAATTAGTTTTTTTAAAATACAAAATTATCATTCTCAGTCTGTATCATTGAACATAAATGTTAGCATCGTTTAGACATAGATCTATCCAATTCTTCTTTCCTGCTTCAGAACTTGCTCTTCCCCAGGATGGTAGTGATCATAGGATGGCATGATGATGGTGGTTTTTTTTCCCTCAAGTAGAAATAATTTTCTACTACTAAATACTAACTAATGAAATACATTTTTTGAGCGAAGGTAATACGATAGGAGAAAGAATCAGTTCTCCCTGAGTTCATTATTAGTTCATAAGACTATTTAAGATGCAACATAATTATGAAAGATGGCAGTGATAACTGAAAAGTCAGAGAGGTTACAGAATTGGAAGAAGAGAATCCATCTCCTTGGGCGTCAGAGACATGGTTAGAGACATGGTTAAATTACACGATAGTACCAAATCTTAACGAAGTTTCCCAAGAGTTCATGAAGTTTGATGAAAAATAGTATCATATGTGGTGGGAGTGCCCACGAGCCTGTGACTTTTGGAATAAGATTAAAAAATGGCTGGAAGAAATATTAAAGTTAGTGGTAGAGTTAAAACCAGAACTCTTTTTACTAGGCATAACCATGCAGAAATACAACAAAGGGGTGTTTTATTTCATGTTACACATTCTCACGGCTGCTAGATTGGTGTATGCTCAAAGCTGGAGGAATTCCAACAGAAGAAGAGATTATATATAAAATGTTATCGTGTGCTGAAATGGATAGGCTCACAATGGAAATGAAGGATAAGACAGAATCAGACTATTTCGAGATCTGGGACAAATTTTATCACTGGTGTGGATCAAGGAGAACTGCTCGGGTTTTAAATTAGCGTTAAGATAGAATTATAAATAACTGTATATATAACTGTATTGTATAGAAGAATATGTTTATAAAGAGATCAAGAACTATGTATTAATTACATGTATCAAGAGGAACAAATTGTTAGGAATATTTATTTTGGAATGTCACGTTATGTCCATCTTTGTTTTTAACTGTACTATAAATAAAAAACTTTAAAAAAAAGGAAAAAAAAGAAAAATAGTATTAAAATAGTCAAATCTTGTGAGATCTACCATTTTAAAATAGTTTTGTTATTTAATTTCTGGAGGCGCTGGTTATTATTTTAGGGCAGTGGGTGCCAAGTTGATGTTTATAGAGGATGAAATAGGTCTATTTGGTCTTCATTGCTGCTGTTCCCACTCAACTTTCTCTGCTGATTTTATTGCTTTTCTTAAAAGTTCATTTCTTGCCCTTTTCAAAGACAAAGGGGAAGCCTGTCACTAAGCATTGAAACATTCATCATCCCTAGGATATAGTCTGTATATTTCCTATAAAAATACTACATTGCACTTCAGAAAATAATTCAGTGCCTTTATAATTTAGCATCTTGGAACTGAATTACAGTACATTCTCAAAGCACATGTTTCCTTACAGCATTAGCAAACAACTAGACATAATGACATAATCCTTCAGAGACACTGTTATCTGTCTAATTTTTTTTTAAAAATCTATAAATTAAGTTGTATACAATTTTCTCCAAAGCCAGATGAATATTTCACGTTGCTTTTTCACTCTAGCCAATGTGAAATATTAGCGGAGTAAAACAAAACAATAAAAAAGTATTCCAGTAGTGAAGGTTAATAGTCATACAGACTACTTTTATATATATATATATATATATATGTCTTTTTAAATACAGTTATACATAACAATCAAAGTGCAAAGTACAAAAATATCACAAGAAGTCTAGCTTTTAGTTTGCTGTCTTTTTTTAATATTAGCTATAATATTGTTTGAAAAACACATTCACCTTTAAACAAAATCAGCAGACTCCTCTTTTTAATATCAGATTGTGCCTTGCAGATATTTTGCTATTCTGAGCTACATAGGAATTTAATTTGGGATCCAAAAATGCCACTTAACAATAATAATTTATCATTAAGATATGACTTGAAATAGCATTGCTTTTTACAGACTCCAAGTACTGGAAAACCATCTGCTGCTATGACAATTGGCATAAGCACCGTTGTTGCTATAGTTCTGTTCTGTGCAACTATTGCTGGATTGTCCTATCTCTGTCTCAAAAGGAGAAACCAAGAAGTGCACTTTCGCCATCTTACAGTATGTAAATCCAAGTCTCAGTTTTGATCATGACAAATTATAGACTTTAATGTTCTTTCAACAGAACTCGGGTAGAAATAATTATGTAATTTTTGTTGTAATTTCATTAGTGGTTGTAGAACCTCATCCAAATCAAACACCGCAATTTAAATTTTATTGTTATAACAACCTTCTCTAGCCATGTCTGTTAGTTTTGTTGGGCAATAACATCTGTAAGTCCTTCATCAAAAATGAAAGATTATTAGTACCTTGAGAGAAAAAGAGATTCCATAGCCGCAGTTTCAAAACTACATTACTGATTCCTTATCAATTTGAAAGTTAACTTTGAGATATATATACACAGTATAAGTAAACTTTATAGAGCTGTTCTCAAAAAGCTCATCAGGATCAAACCTAGTTAGAACTTTGGTGACGGTCACCAAATGGCCTGGAAAGTTGAAAAGCAGGAAGGCAAAAACAAACTGCCTCCATATTGTTGCCAAGGAAATTATATTTTTGTGTCCATGCCATCCCTAGGAGTCAGACTTGGCTTACAGGGGATTTTATCTAATAATGTAGTGATCAATTTCTTTCCAGCTAAAAAACTTATTGTTGTAAGTTGCCTCAAATCACTGTGTGTGAGTTGGACAGCTAGATAGATTGTGTTTAATTCGTACATAAATACATACATGCATATAAAATTTCAGATTAGCTTTAAACTCCTTGGCTAAATCACTGTCTCAGCTCTCTATTCGAGTTCGTTGATTCATTTTTACTGTATAGTTTGAAGAACAAAGTCATGCTTAGTCTGTTTACTTATAGACTGAACTAGATGATGATGAATTTTCCTGGCAGGAAAGGAGCCCACACTTAGTATCCATTCCAAATCCTATTTATGAAGCAGATAGCTCTATCTATGAGCCATTTCAGGTAAGACAACTGAAACATTAGTGCTGAATATTTTCAGATACCAACCCATCATGCAGTTGTTACCTACATGCAACCAAAGCTAGTTAACTCTTAGGGATAGGCAAATTGTTCTCATACATGGCATACTCTGTGCATAAAATGATTGCTTCTGAATGATTCCTTTGTGGAGCCAAATCCATCGGCTCCACCTTCAGCATACTGAGTGAGAGTCGCCTATTTTAGATAGAATCTTGCTGCGGATGGGAAAAAAATGTATTTGAATATTCCACTTTAGTTCCTCTAATTCAGTGTTTCTCAACCTTGACAATTTTAAGGCATGTGGACTTCAACTCCCAGAATTCCACAGCCAGCAATGCTGGCTGTGGAATTCTGGGAGTTGAAGTCCACATGCCTTAAAATTGTCAAGGTTGAGAAACACTGCTCTAATTGTAACCAGAACATATAAGATGTGTTATCTTTTGAACGCATCTATGAAGTCCAATATAACTGGAGGAACTGGTCACATTCCGTTATTGGTTTTAGCTGTCTGAATACCACTATGAAATTAGATTATTTATTATCTATTTATTACATTTATATGCCGTCTGTTACAGATTAACTGACTGTTTTTGTATCTTTGTTTCAGGAGTCTCTCCACAGAGAAGATTTTGTTGATACTGAAGACGTTTTTGGACAAGAGTAATATACTGTAATACAAACCAGGATAAAAAAAAATTTGAGAAATTTTGATATTTTGAAGAAACATTTTATATATATCTCAATTCTATTCTTTTTAAAGTTATGGGAAAGAATTATGATCAAAAGAGCTATCGGCATTTGCAGTCACATAAAGAATTTCCCATTTTTTTGTTCAGAATTCATTCTCTCATGTTGCATTGCCTCTTTTTAGAGACCTTCAGGAATAAGTTCTGAGTGTAACCGTAATATGAATGGAAAGAACTTAAAAACATATGTAGCATGCACAAAATCCTTTGGATCCTGTCCATGAAATTTCAATCATCTACTTAGGAATGACTCATGAATGTGTCTGGCAAATGAATACTGTGAGAACCCTGAATGGGCCAATGAAAATTTAGTTCAGATTTAATGAATGGATAAACTGCACTACTGAGCTTTCTTTTGATTTTTTAAAATCTTCTAATGAAAGACTGTCAAAAATTGTTACCGATAAACTGTAGACAGCACATATTTGTAAGTATCCTGAATTATAATACATTGGAAAGTTTGAAAAAGGGACCTTACAAGCAATTCTTAACATTTTTCACTATGATTACATCAATATGCTACCAGTAAAGATGCCAATTATCTCTCTTTGCCTTATAATTAGTATTGTTTCTTTCCCCCTTCCCATGAAGAAAACTAAAATATATTAACATTAGGACTATTCCATAATGAAACAATGTATTATTTTTGTAAAAAAAATAAATGGTGTTATGCCTAGTAACCAAATGCAGCAATATCTCATCCTTGCAACAACAAATATTGTCATTCCAGTATCAAGTATTTGAACATTCCATTGGAAATTATTCTTACACACACAATTCTGGAAAAGATAAACACAATATTTTATTTTGTTATTCTTACACACATAATTCTGGAAAAGATAAACACAATATTTTATTTTGTAGACAGACTCAGGAATCAGAATTAACAATTGTACCCAATTCTGGAAAAATATCAAATTCTTATCCATGTTTTTGATCTCCTACTTCTAAACTATCTAGTTTTTACTGATCAGTCTACCTTTAAAAGTAACAGACACTATCTCATTGTCTTTACCAAACATAGTTTAGGAAGTGAATTGGTATTTTAATGATTTCACATTTAAAAGATAAATCAATTAGGCCTCATCGGTGTTTAAAAATGGCACCTATTTTTCAGAGAAATGCTTAGCTCAGGCTACAAAATTGCACTGTTCTGGTATTCCTATTTCTTTCATCTGCCCTGATGCCTATTTCATGATGCAGCTGCTACCTTTTGCTCTCAGTGTCATTTTAGAGGCAAAATATGGATGTAAAAGTGGTTCATCAATGAAATATTTCCCATGAATTGGCAAAGCTAGGACACTGTCTCAGAGAGAGAAGGAAGGGACAGGTATCTCCAGATAAAAGTTCCAGAAATCCAATCCAAGTGATGGCAATATCCATGGTCTTCCCTAATATAATAGTTTTCTATAGAACAAACACTTGCACAGAACCATCATAAACATTCCTATTTTCCATATGTAACTATGGTTATGCGCCCTGTGGTTCTTTCCACTGAAGTGGCAGTTCAAAGTGCAGAAGTCTTAACTTGGATAGGGGATTAATCTTCCCCAAGTCTTCAAGTTGGTTTGATGGGTGGACAGAAGAGGAATATCAAATAACCAACAGCATTCTTAGCAAATCTGTCAGTCTTACCATGATCCATATGCTATAAGGTGCTGCAATCTTAATCATCATTAAACAATGGAATATTTACACTTCTCAGAAGCATGTATTCATCAGAATAGGAATGATGAAATGATTTTTTGTTTCATCTAAGCTTCCTGAATTTAATGGCCTTAATGACATAGCAGTCCTGGAAACAGATGTGGCTACTTTAATGAGTTGTGCATAGAAACTGCATTGGTGTTCTCACCAATGTGCTAAAGAACCTCTACTGAATTAAACCTGAAGCAAGTTTAAATGTTATTATTATTAAAATACAGTAGTTTTTTTTTCAATTTGATAATGCTTCAAAACTTTGAAAAATAGGCACATTTTGAAAAACCTGAAAAAAATTCTGGGAAGGAGAACAGTGTAGAACATCTGATTGCCAATTTGTAATCATCTTGCATCCAGGAGATCACCTGATGTGACCCTAACATGAAATCACAAACTACAAACATAGTAACAAAGATTTCTTTGGTTCAATATATTGTTGGAATATTCAAGTGTTCTTCAGTTCCTTGAAAGCCAATTCCTTGAAAACCATCTCTAGTGAGAATCTGAATAGTTTTAACAATCTAAATAGCCTCAGTCAATCATTATTTTATTTATAGATATAGCTTGAATTATAGCAGCATTATAAAACTTAATGGGTAAAACCCAAAACACAACAGTTTGACCTTAATATAAACAGTTGTCCTAAGTGCAGCCTTAAATAAGAGCCTTCAATTCAAGGACATTCCATTATTAATATGTATTTTTTATATCTGATACAGTGATGGTCCTGACTGGCAATAGTTCATGATCGAATGCAGAAAAAATAGAGTCCCACAACACTTATATCTAATCTAAGACATAAGCCTTTTATGGGTTAAAAAAAAAAGCATCTCTGAACTAAGTTTAAAAGATCATGGTAAGTCCATGCAAATTCTGATGCATAAAACAATTTAGTTTTGATGATTCACCATTCCTAAGGGACCACTATTTTTATACTAGACAAGTTTCTGACTTGTTTTCTGATGTTGTTTTAGCTCTTGCTGATATGAGTGTTCTTAGGGATAGAGTAAAGGAAATATCCTTTCCATTATAGTTGGATAATGGCTCTAGCAATCACTATTTTAATCTTTTATTATCCTAGTCATGCATACAATATTTAGAGGACAGGTTAATCTGTAACATCTATTTGTGCTTTAATGTCTAAAAAATATTATAAATCATTAAGTAAATTGGCATTTTATGAAATAGGTTATTCAACTAAAGATAATTTATTCACCTGCTGTTATGAAAAACTGATTTTGGGTATATTAAGTAGGGATGATTTAATATATAAATATACATCATCTGATAAATTCAGTATCAAGTGATGGCTTGAATTTGTAAATGAGCCATTGCATATTTAATATCCCATTAACTAATGTTATCAAATAGTGAATCTGAATGAGGTCACACATGAACGAATGAGTGTGGTCTAATGGCATATCTGGTTTATACAGAACTGTACCATACTCAGTTCTTTAGAAATACACAGGTTAGCATCTTCAAGTTTGTAACTGAATGTGAACTGATTGGTGAAATGATTAGGAACTATTTAAATTACTATATCATATACTGTAAAGCTGATGTAGCAAGGATTTCTGTGGAAGTTAAATGTGTAGTTCTAAAGAAGAAATAGATTTATAATCTATTTCTACAAGCCTACCAACATGTAAAACCCTTCTCAGCACAAAAAGACAGCTCTGACTAAGTTACAGATGCCAGATTTAAAACTTATTCTTAGAGAATAATCAAGCATGGATAATATATTTTACTACCAGAATTTCAGATATAATATTAGTGCCACCTTTCTATTCACTTATCTCAGGTACCTTTCTATTAGGAAGTGCTCAGAACAAAAGTACAACAGTGGTCACATAGTAGCAGCAGCCTCCTAAAAGGAAACTAAGATTCTACTATGCATATCATAATCCCTTTTATCGAATATGTACCATTTCTTCCAAGAAAGGAGTCTTCATACAACCTGTGCAGAGCTGATCCATCCAAAGGGGAGCTTCATGCTGTAGAGGCGTACGGCGAGGATAAAAAGTAAAATTCACATCATAATTCAGTAGGCAACTGATAGACGCCATGTAAATATCAGAAAAACGAATCAGTCTTCGAGAAAAATAGGTTGGGTTGTGGAAGGTTCGAAAAATGCTACCGAACTGGGGGTTAAACAGGTTCTTTGCAAGTGACCTGAAAGGAAATAAGTTGGTATAATAAAATTAGATAGAAAACCTGGGAGAGAGAAAAGAATATAGAAAATTTCCTAATATTACTGAAGCATTCCACAATGAATCACCTTATTCCGCTGCCCCCAGAAGACAAGGAATGTGTATTATAAATGTTGGTCTCTAGTTTTGGTTGGAGACTTTATTAGAGAGTTTATTGTATAGGTTCTGCTGCTTGAGCAGGGGGCTGGACTAGAAGACCTCCAAGGCCCCTTCCAGTTCTATTCTATTCTATTCTATTCTATTCTATTCTATTCTATTCTATTCTATTCTATTCTACATGTGCCTGATTTTTTTTTTCTAAGAAAATGGTTTGTTTCTTCTTTAGAGCCACAAGGAACAAAAAAGATGGGACAATAGTAAGGAGATATGAATGAGCTTTTAAAAAGTGAAGCATAAAGAAATTCAAAAATTTTGAGAGAAAACATAATTTCAGAAAAAGCAAACAAAAGTCAGCAATGAGGGAAAGTAAAATCAAAGAAATAAAAAGCAAATCTTCATCAAGGCCAAAAATGAGAAATCCAGAAGTTCCAATCCTGGCCAACACTTTGTCTTCCCACAACATAAAAATTTTCATAACATAGAAATACATTACAGGGCACAAATTAAGAAGTTATAGTAGTATGTTACTTAAAACAGGGCACATTGTATTTGCAATTTGTAAAGTGTACATTTTAAATCACCCCTAGCATATTTCATAAATAAAGGAACACATACAGTAATAATCAAGAGAGCTCACCTAATCTCCTGTCGCTCTTTCATCCACTCTAAAAGCACTTGCTTTGACTCTGCATCTTGATACATCTAAAATTAAAAGAAGAAAATTAAAGCAAAAGACCAGTGACTGAACATGCTATTTCTTAAGATGAGCTTTCTATCAGGAAAAAAAACACATATTCCAATATTTGCAGAAAATATTTCAGAATACAACATAATGCAGAAAGCATATCCAGGAACTGTGCTTCATCCAGTTGAAGGAAATGACAACTATGCAGTGATGCCCATGTACTACTTATTCTAGCCCACTCTCTTTTTTACCTGCATTCTCTCCAGAAGTCCTGTAAGAGCTTGCTGCCAGGTCAAAGAGTGCATATATTGTTCTGTATTAATGATACGTATTTCTGTTTCTAATTCTGGAACTATGGCACCTGTCCTCCAACCGTGACGTAGCATGAGGTCCTTAAAGAGAAGGTGAGAGAGGCAGTGGAATGACTTACTGACTTAGGATCCTGTGATTCAGCCTTATAGAAAAAGCCTTCCACTTACATAGCTTCCCTTGCAGAATGGGGCACATCAAGATCATAAGGGGGGGGGGAGAGACACATTTTTCATTCAGTATACAAAAATACCTCTGCCTGCTCATTTGGGGCATTTCTTTTTTGTCCAACGCAATCGGACAGATAACTATAAATCTATAAATCTTACAAATCTACGGGTTTTGTCTAAGTTACTAGCCTTGTTAGGTAAGATACTCATATGGCAATTTTGGACTTTGAACTTGGAATGACCCTCCAGGATCGGAATGCATTGGCCCTGTTACTAACACCACCCCCTAAAAAAAAAAAATAGATCTGTTCCTCAAGAATTACAAAAATGAGATGCCTTCCCCTCTTTCACTTAATCCTTTCTTTCCCTAACATTTTCATATAGAGAAAAACCCCTAATAATGAAGAATGTTTAAAAACCACTATTCCTTGGGAACTCCTCTAAGAATTTGAATACTTAACAGTTAAAAAAAATATATGGTTGAAGGGTGGTTTTAGCTTAATCGTATTAACAGAATGTTCTGTAAAAATGCCTGATGTTGCTGTACTATTTATAAAACAGCATCAAAAGAAAATTAATTAACCTGACACAATAATGACATGCATTTGCAGAAAAGGTACCCGCACTCAAACAGATCTTGTCTAGCCCAGTCTTTCAAGTGGTTGACATCCCAAGGCCTGTGTTTTTTTTATGTGATTAGAAAAAATATCCAAATGAAATATCAAGATTGTTTCCATAAAACACAATACGTGCCTAAAATTATGACACCAGATACTCTAACAAGGAAGCTAATGTTATCATTGAATAAAAATTAAATAAAGCAGTACTCTGAAGAGATTTCATAATGGTATAAGTCTCAAGAAGGGTGAATAGGTAGCTATAGAAGCCATCTACATGACATAAATGCAGCAACCTGAAGTCTCAAGCAGCAGGCTGGAGCCCTTCAGATTTATGTGTATGATCCAATAGTCATGGTTCTGTAGGGCTCAGTGAGGTGCAAGCTCATAAAAGATCAAGACTCACTGAATCCAGTGGAACTCATTTCTGACTGAACAAGCCCAGCTATGGACAGCGCATAACAAGTGATCCCAGCAGCATAGATCCATACTCCTCAGTTTGAAAAGATACTGTATCTTCAAAACTGTGAAACATTAGTTTCAAAATCCATGGTGAACTGCTGATGCACATGACTTCTTCCATTTTTTTGTGTTAGCCGCAGCATCCTTCATTTTCATGCACCCATTCTACCTCCCCAAAATAAATATAACAATAAGGAATGCTGTAGTACTGCTATCATAAGAGATGAGAGTGGGAAATCACAACAAAATATTTCATTGCTACACTGTGCGCTGAAATGTCTATAAATCAACGTTCCATTTACATATGAGGATGAATCCTGGTAGAGGATTAATTGGGGCAGAAATATTTTCCTTCTCAGATAAAATTCAGTTTTGTAAACTAGATAGAGATAGAGATAGATAGATAGATAGATAGATAGATAGATAGATAGATAGATAGATAGATAGATAGATAGATAGACAGACAGACAGACAGACAGACAGACACAGACAGACAGACAGAACAATTTTAAGTATGATTTTAAAATAAAGTTGTTACAAACATGTTAAAGAAAAAAAGAACTATTATTTTTTTAAAAAGATGTTACATATGTGCTTAGGATGGAAAAGATATTCAAAAGAATACAACCTAGGAAATAAATCTTTTAAACTCTGTCTTGCTGTTTTAAATTTGGTTAAAAAAGGAACTGTGTAATATAATTTAATGGGTTATGAAGGCTGCAAAATCACAAGCTCTAAGATCTGGATATTTTCCATTATATATCTTGATAAACAATACTGATTAATTCAATGAGCAGAAAACAAACCATTTGCTTCCCTGTAGCAGACACAGAACATTAAGTGACACTGACGTCAGCTGGTGCAAAAAAGGTTTGAAGCACTTACTGCAAGATCACTGTACAAATGGTCACCAAAATAAAGGACTTTGGACCCACGCCAGCCTGTTAGCCGCAGAAAATCAAACAGATTGCCCTGATATGTAGAAAGGAAAAAAAAGTGAGAATAAACCAAATATCCAGTTTCTTTACTGAAAAAGAAAACATTGCATGCTTGGTTTGAAAAGGTCAAGACAATATATCTCTTAGCACTTTGATTTTTCTACAGAGCAAAGGAAAAATATTTCTTCATCATGAGCTGCTGATTTAAAAATGGCTACAGATAGAGGCTTAAGGAGTTCTCACGGGAACTTGAAGCAAATTAGAGAAAATGGGAATTCCTTAAAACCAAGTTTATAATCCTGTCATTTGTACCAATGATTAACTCACTTCTTTTTCTTAGACAGACACACACACACACACACACACACAACTAGATTTTTAAAACAATTTATTGCAGCTATAATTTTGTAAATTAAGCCACTGCTTCAGTAAATAAACTGAACAAATGTGATAGCTTGTTACATACAGAATTTGTGCTGAAATATTATTTTAAACTTGATATACTGAGGCTAGGTCCTGCTGCAATATTTCATACCTCAAAGCAAATGTTTTCAAAGCAAGTTATATATATTTTTAAAAGGATTGCTGCAGACCCCTTATTTCATGGTTCAACCTTTCTGTGAACTTTGGCTGGACTAACACTGACCTGTCAACAAACACTCAAATAGCATAATGTAGTCTCCCTCTATTATGTTTTAAAAATTGGAAACCAAGTCAAGTTGCCTCTTTTTTTATTATTATTGACATAACACATTCAACACATCCAATGTATACCTGAAACTATCATGGGTCATGCTTGAATCTCTCTGTTTAACTCTCTAATCAAAAGACATTTTCATGCTTGATACAAAACAGAGAACCATTATGCCAATTTCAGTGGAAACGTTAACCAGACATGCTATTATTCACCCACCGTCCCAGCGATCTGAAAATTTTAATTTGTTGACTTCCACATCACAGTCTCTTATACAGGCAGTTAGGAACAAATATAAAGATTCAGGCCAAAATATTTTCCAAACTGAAAATCTTCTGCTCGCGTATAAGATCACATATGGTATGAATTTATAAAGTAGATTCTACTTTCCCAGCCTCATTCCCAGAGTGTTCCATTAGTAAAATACGTCATTTCTTCATATTTTGCCTTTATTATATATCTGAATAACGTTACAGTCTTTGGCCTGGATCTCATACAAGATTCCCATGGAAAGAAGGTCTTCTTCCAGCTATGGAAGGCTTCTGATTCAATGAGATTCCACTAACAGAAGGCAAGAAAGTAACCTTTGTTGATTAACTCTTTCTGAATCTCATGCTGTCCAAACCTGACTTTAGGGTTGATGACTCTCTGCAACAGAGAGTGACTATAATGGAAATTTGGATAGACCTCCCCATTTCTCCTACTGATGGAAAATTCCGAGCATGTCTCTATTAATGTGAGTGACTCTTGCTGGCTGAATAAAAGCAAGATTTAAACCCCTGTTCAATTAGCATAAAATCACTATGCCCCAAATTATATTGTTTCAGCAATAAAATGTTCCTGTAGTGTTCTATCTCAAAATAAGTCCTGAAGTTCTGAAAGTGTATTACTAACAATTTTTCATTATCACCTTCTAAGTAATAATCTTCTCAGCCCTTCTCAGGATTATACTAATTCCCGGGGAAAAGAAAATAGGAAACAGATTACTTAGCCAAAGAAAACATAAAACATTTCCTTTTTGAGTGAAAACAATGGAGACTGAATAATTTTAAAATAAAGGGCATGGACCTGAATTAGAACAGTTAACAGTCCAGCACAGACTGCACATTATTTAACTTTTGTCATATCAGATGTTTAATGTTAATATCAGGAGATGCTAACAATTTAAATGAAAGAACACATGGAATAGATTAGAACATTAAGCTATTAGAAAGGACAGTAACAAAGATTATTTTTCATGGTTATCCTCATATCTGAAGTTAACTCCAGAAAGTCAGCATTATTAAATACCCCATGAAGTAAAGACAAATTACTAAGTAATTTTACCTGTCTATAGATTTTCCCCTTTTCCAGTTTGTTTATTTTGTCCCAGTGAAGAGAACCTTCTTCATCCATTTTTCTGAAAGGTCTTCAAAAAAATCAAAAAGGTATAGGCTTCATTACAAAAATAACTACAAGAAAAGCTTTTAAACTGCAAATGAAAAGAATTTCAAGTACATTAATTTAGCTACTAAAAATAATACATAAATAGAAAGTAATACATAGATGAAATGTATGCATTGAGATGTGTACTGGGATTATTATCATGTTAAACAAATTACTGAAAAATGTGTTAACAAAAGCAAATTAGGAAAACTGAGGTCCATGTATATAATGTTGTACTTGTCTTATATCCTTATATTCGAATTTCTGGAGCTTGTCCCAAACCCGAATTTCTCAACTTCAGCAACTTTAAGATGTGTGGCCTTCAATTCCCAGATTTCATCTTACAGTTGCTAAGATTGAGAAACACTGCCCTAACTTGTACTGTGAATGTTGATTTCCAACTATTTTGAAACAGGAAACCCACAAGCAGGGTAAGCCTAAATCTAAATTGTTACCAAGAAGAAATAACTTCGCCACCCAGAACTCAGGAAAAAAAACAAACAAACAAAGAAACCTAAGAATCCCAACCCTGATGATATAATAAAGAGCTTTACCCAATTTATGTTTTCATCCCATTTCTGCAACCTTCCAGTTTTGCAAATGATTAAGTATGGCCCTGCAACACCAAAAGACAAGTCTGCTCCTAGTTTACTTAATGTCACAAGGTGCTCTAAACATTTTGGAAATAGATCAAGCTCAAAACAATATATTCTTGAACTCAGAACTGTTTTCTGTGAGGCTTGAAACACTTTCCCTATGCAGCGAATAGATCACTTGAGCTCAAAATAGCAGTTCCACACTCAAAGAAATATTTTGTAAAATTTCACACATCAGACACTACATACTTGACACGACACTACACGGATGCATGCGGACACACACACACACATACCCATCCATCCCAAAAGAAAGAATAAGCAGACACATGAATGAATAACATCAGCTGCGTGATGGCCTAGAGGTGAAGACGCTCGCCTCCCACTCAAAAGGTTGAGAGTTCAATCCTAGGCAGCAACAGATGTTGCTCTTATCAGGGTGCAAAGAGAAAATATCTGCTGTGAACTCTGCGTAGGCATCAGGAAGGGGATACGGCCAGTAAATGCTCAGCTTCACTCAGTCGCCCTGAGTCCACCCCAAAACAAAGGATTAAGGGGTCATAGAAAGAAAAAAAAAGCTTCAACATTCTTATCATGAGGCTGAGAAACAATTTCACATGCTTACACACAATCTGGAAGCCAGTTTTAGCAAAAGAAGTGTGAATTGACCTGCACAGAATAACTTGGCATCTACTCCTTAAAATCATATCAATTGCAAAATTAATTCCTCTCTCCCACAGATGGTGTTAGGATAATGATCATGGCATGGCATCATGATATGGTACATTTTGGGACCTGTTCTGCTCATGGCAGAAAAGAAGAGAATATCTGTTTGCCGTTTTGGATTATATCTAAGTAATGTAATACAACCAATATACTTACTTTCGCTTATCAGTAAAGAAACTGGGCTTATCTGCTTGCACAATGACCATGTCAAAAAGGTCCTGCCAGTTTTTGCCAACCATGTATTTCATTCCTTTATCGCTATAGGCAAAACAGGGGGGGGAAATGTAAGTAACTTCCTGTTCACTTTCTTAAGCAAAACAGTAGCTACTCTCAGAGTTCCTTCATACATTATTTCTGATTATGAGTCATTCAGTACATACAGCAAGGAGCAGAGGTTCCTAACCACCTTTGTTAGCTGGTAAGAATATGTGGCTTTTCATCAATCTGGGGATTAGTGGAGAATGGCATTTTAATCCCCGTATAATGCTTAACTTTATAAGCATTTGGCAAGAACAAGCGTTGTTGCCAGATGTTTCTTAGGCAAAGTTCAGTGAAAAGCCTCCTTCTTTCTCTAGAATTAAAAAATGAGTTGCCACTAGACGATTTTCCTCATGCAGCTAGGATTTGCTATCAGTCCCACTATTAGAAACATTATGTATATAATGGCCATTAACAACACTGAGACTCTTATAGGGATTACTTAAGGGACAAATTTGTGGGATTATAGACACCTAAGGAATGCAGGCACTGAACAAATACATCATTTGATTTGATCCATGTTTGGAGTTGCTCTACCATCAGATAAAATAAAGAATGGTTTTTATGTCTCAAACACTTTGGTCCCATAACATTTACTAAGAACATTAATGCTTTATATTTCTCATTTTTTTTACAGTTGTTCCAAAACCTCTAAGAATGTGAGACCGTATCACCTTATGAGAAATAGGATATTAGATATTCCAGAATATTAGAGACCTATTATTTTCCTAGAGCACTAATAGGTCTCTCCAGGTTTTTTTTTTAATAGGAAACTGTAATTAGAGAGAGGGAAGGCTAAATGAGATATGAAAAACATATAGTGTGCTATAAAGTTGAATGTTTGGGAAGTAAAAGATTCTACTTCATTATTTTTTAAAGTACATCTTTACAGTTGTGAGCATTAGATTTTAAGACAGGCTTGTATGAGAATGTGTAACAGAATTAATAGGTCACCAAATCGTACGATGCTATAAAGATAAGCTATCTTTACTGACATTTTCAGTCCTCACATTTCTCTCTTTATATCTGCACATGTCTGGTCATTTCAGCAAGATGAATGCATGCACGTTAATACTTACACAAAACTAAAAGGACTGTTTGTGATGAGAAAGAGTTTTTTATTGTTGTTAACCAATCTATTTAAGACAGCATACGTTTCATCTCCATGAAGAATATATTTTTCTGCAAGAAACAGGTGAAGCTAAGCATAATATAAACATTCGTATGTTGCAATGGTAAAAGACACAATTTAGTGATAATGAAATAATTCATCTACAGAAAGTGTGGGAGCTCTCCAAAGAAGGAAGGAATGATAGGACCAAGAATTCTTACTCTCCCTAAATCTCTGCTCTCAATTCACATTTCTTTTGCCAAGCAGGAAGTGACAATTATGTGAGGCTTCTGCATGGATAAAATAATTGTGGGCAGCGTAAGAATGAAATTTCAGTTACTAACATAATTCAGATGCTACAGTACTGTGTGTGGGATGAGACAATCCATCTCTTGAACTAGCTTTGATTGTTCACATCTGTTCTGAAGCACAGGAAGGGATCCAGGGGATGCAGAGCCTTTCTACTCTTCAATGTCTAAACCAGTTATGGCTAAAAATATTGTCCATGTAATTATTGTTTTTTTAATAGTACATAGATTGCAGTGCATAGGTACAGTAATTCTATTAGGGAGAAAAGATACCCCTTTTTTATCTCACTTACTTAACGTTAACATTAACAAATAGTTACGTCGCAGCATCTTTGTGATCACAGGTACGAACGCTAATAAATATATACAAGGTGCAGAAAAGAAGGAATTTATTCTTTGGTTCTACCTCCTGGTGGAATACAGAACTGGTTGGTTAGCCACAAGATAATGTGCATAAAGTTTCACTCCCCTGATCTAAAACCATTACATGCGGTGCTCATTATTATTCACATTTAAAAGATAGGCCTTTACTGACCCATGTCCTTTTCAATCCATTTGTACATCATTCCTTTCACATGGACATCTTTAATGGCATCCTAAAATTGGAAAGAGAAATTCGGTGTTAGTTTTAAAACCTGGTGTTACATATTGTTACAAAGCTACCAAAACGATCAATCCAAACAATATTTATTTGTTAGCGGCCGTGGTGGCTCATGTGATTAGCATGCTGGGTTCATGACCAGCAAGTCCGTGTTTGAGACCAGTGTGGTACTGGGTGATGGGGTTAGCTCTCGTCATTCGCTCCAGCTCCTGCTGACCTAGCTGTTTAAAAACGTTCAAGTAGATAGACAGTTACCACTTCAATGGGCACATTAATGGGGGTCCCCAACCAGGCATCCCCCAGGCAATGGTGAGATCACCAGCTAATTTTTTCAACCCGGAAATAGCTTGATGCTTCTGACACCAATTCGAGCAAACAATATTAATTAATTAATTAATTCATTAACTAACTCATTCATTATTATTTTTTCATCTTTTATGTTCTAGAAGAATTATACTTACACTGATGTCCTTGAAAAGATGAACTTGGTCATACTCAATATTATGAGTCATGAAATAGTCAGTCACGGATGAAAGTAGGGTCATTTCAGGAAGAGAGAAAATGTCCATAAATTGTTTAATCGATGGACCCTGCTCAAAAGAACAAAAGATTATTACTATTAAAAAAATTGAATTGTGGAGTAGACAACAAAACTTGATGTTGTTAAAGACAAATGCTCTCCCTTGTAAAATTAATGTATAAATACACTGGGTTTTTTTTATGGTAGAGCAAAATATATGCTTGGCTTTGTTCTTCATTTAGAATCAGCCCCTGCAACATTCCACTCATAAGTAAGACTTTAAATAAACCAGGCTTATGAAAGACTCATAAAATTAGATAACACAAGAATGAGATGTTTTTGAAGCTTGACACACATTTTTCTATTAGAAATATAAAATACTTTCAAAACTCTTTTTTCTTCCAGCAGAACTAAGGGCTGATTTAAAGAATATGTGATTTCTGTCTGCTTTAAATTGTTAATTCATCTTTTTATATTGGGGAATAATTAGAAATAGCCAACTGCATACATGAATAGCATGAAAAAGAAATTATATCAAGTTCCATGAATTAATTGCACAGAAAACTCATTCATTAAAGATTTAGAAGATTAAACTATGTTCCCTGTCATTAAATTACAAAGCTAATTTTGGACCCAGCAAATTTTGGTTATTAGGTTTATTTGCACTGCTTTTTTCATCTCTTCTAGCAATAAACAATTTTAATGCCATAGTATGCATGTCTAATACATTATAGCCCTTTCTGAAGTAAATTAACCAATAACTATGAAACAGTATAATATTATACATATCCAGAAAACTCTTTACTAAATTGTAGAAAATGTTTAAATGAACTACAATGTTAGTTCCCAGCCTCCTTATTCAGAGTTGAAAACTTTAAATAATTACAGTACAAAAAAAGTATGTTCCCAGGATTTCCCCCCCTTTTGCTATTTAAAATAATTTAAAATGATCTTCGATCTAGCATTGTGCAAGAAATGAAAAACACATTTAGACTGGTATGCAGAAAAAATCAGCCCCTTCAAAATATTCCACCAATTTTTCCTGCTGGCTATTTTCCAATGGAGCAAAAAGTAGCTCAATGTTTCCAGTAGAACAAAGCACAAAACATTTTGAGGTCTAGCCAGAAAACACAGTGAGAATTTGGAAAAAAAAAACCTTGCATTTTTTTTTTAATCTTCCAAGGACAAAAATAAGTGAGGCAATAGTTCCTATCAGCCATTCAACTAACAGAAAAGTATTAAACATTAAAATATAAAGCATTTAAAAATATAAATGGTAAAATATAAATTAAACTATCAAGCATTTGAAACAGCAGTTGAAGCTAATTAGTTAGAAATGATACCAGAATCCAGAATTCTCTGGATTTTCAAGAGAGTCTTTTCAATTGTTTTAAGTACAGTAAACCCTGAATTGGTGAGAGAAATTATCAGACAAATGCCACAACAGCTAGATAAGAATTTTTAGTACATACTAGGATGAAACTAGATGATTGTTTTGTTAATTGAGAGCAAGTTCCTTCTTATGTCCTCTGTGATTTAAATCCCAGGCTTCTTTTTCCTGCCTTTCCCATGCTTAACAGATATCCTGCTTTATGTTTCTCAGGCTGAACTGCTGATATAACCGGCATACTTGCTTTGGGAAACTCTAGCTCTCTACTTCATTCCCACATTCAGCCAAGCATATTAACAAGACAAAAGAACTAATGCCATCACTGTTATATATTTTTCCCCAAGCCAAAAAGCGCTGCTAATTGAGAAAATAAACATACCAGCCAGCCACATTCCTACAGTTTTAATCTTGAGGCAGTAATTGCAAGTGTTCCAAGCTCAGAACAAACTTGGCATTTTCAAACATATCAGTTCCCTTGTTTTATGACTTTTTACTGGATTCCTTCCCCCCCCCCCGCAAAAAAACTTTTTCTAGCCTCACCAATCCAGCTATAGGATCACTCATATTGAAAGTGTATAAATCAGTGGTTCTCAACCTTTTTAATGCCGCGACCCTCAACCAGTCGTAAGTCGAGTACTAAACCGGTCGTAAGTCAAGGACTAAACCGGTCGTAAGTCGAGGACTAAACCGGTCGTAAGTCGAGGACTACCCAACCGGTCGTAAGTCGAGGACTTTCCCTGCCCGGGAGCGCAGCGCATGTGTGGTTCCGCCCCCTGCGCCGGCTGAGGCGTAGCTGGTAAGCGACAGAGACGGAGCAGGCTGGCCACCAGCTGGCCCAGCCCAAGGGAGGTAAGGCACCAGCCGGAAAAGGGGAAAAAAATGGCGGACAGCCTTGCTTGGCAACCCCCGTGAAACAGTCGATCGACCCCAAATGGAGTCGCGACCCATAGGTTGAGAACCGCTGGTATAAATGCACAAATTACTAATACAGAGTTGATTTGCTTAGTTAGTTGAACTTTGGGTGGAGGTATACGCACACTCTGACAATCACCAGTCATCTGGACTGGTTTGCTGGATTTTGAAGTGTGCACTCTGAGCATGTTCATTGATGAGTCTCCAGAGTGTATTTAAAACTGCTAAAACTATGTGTTGTTTGGGTCTTTGTTCCTGAGCTTTGTGCATGATTAAATGTTTTAATGTTTCTAACTATTGTTTTTATGATATTGTAAGCCTCCCAGAATTGCTTGACAGTGAGATGGCAGCATATTTAAATTTAATAAATAAATAAAATCCATGTTTTCCCACTTTTGCTGAAAGCTAAATGTCAGTTACATTGGCAGCAGTATACCCATTTGGCTGATAGCTATCAAAGCCTGGCTTGGCTTTTTCTTTTCAAATATTATGACTGTCTGCAAATCCATGAACTTATCCAAGGGGCTGGCCAAAGGAAAACAGGGAGATAAGAATTTTGGAGTATGTAGACAATCTGTGTGTTGCATACAGCTTAGTGCAAAATAAAGCAATAAAAGGTTACATCCCAGCTATTATTTTTTTTCACAAGGTACATCCACGTAAGGCACCATACCATCCAACAATTCATATTTATTTTCCAGCACACAATTTAACATACTGTAATGATAAAATATTTGATCAAGCAAACATTAAAAATACTTTTTGACAAAGCTTTTAATCATCTTGCCTCTTCCAGATTATTGTCTTGCATTTGGACACTTCCATATTTTTTCTATTATAGATAGTGCTCAATACACAACCATTCATCAAGTGACTGTTTGACACTGCAACACCACTGAAAAAAAGTGACTTATGAGTTTTTTTCACACTTATGACCATGGCAGCATCCCCTAGTCATGTGATCTAAATTTGGACACTTAGGAATTGGCATATATTTATGACTGTTGCAGTCTCCTGGGGATATGTAATCATGTTTGCGACCTTCTCACAAAGTCAATGGGGGTGCCAGATTCACCTAAGAACTGTGTTACTAACTTAACTGCAGCGATTCACTTAATAGCTGTGGCAAGAAAGGTCATAAAATGGAGCAAAGTTCACTTAACAACTGTCTTGCTTAGCAGCTGAAATTTTGGGTTCAGTTGTGGTTATAAGTTAAGAATTACCTATATTTTATCAGCCTTCTTTTCTTTTTCAAGAAGGAGGAAGGGGGGGGGAGAAGGAAGTTGTACAATATATTTAATAATATCATAAGCTCTCTGTTCGGAAGCACCTCTTATCTTGAATTAAACAATAAAAGTGGCTCTTTAAACTATGGGCATTCTTTGTATATACAGAATATCACATACACAGTGCAACCCAAAACATGGCAAGTCAGAATGCTATTTATAAAGGGTGGATCCAGTTAAAATACGGAGAAATTCTGATGATACTGGGTGATTTCCAAGTTCAGGTTCATAGACCTGAACTTGGAAATCACTTCTGCCTAAAGATAGTCCAAGGACAACAGGAGTATATGTTATTCTATTAAACAGCAAGAAATTAAACAGTAACTCATTAGTCCAACTTTACACATCTGAACTAAAAACAAAAAACAATGAGCCAGTGAAATTATTTTGGATGTATTCATTGTAAAAATAAAAAAACTTCCTATATTATATTACATTAAAACTGGTATTATGTGAAAAGGAAAAAAAGAGATCATATTCCATATAGAGGAGATAACCATGTTACTTTGCCATTGACAATAAATTCTACATAGTTTGTTGTCTTCCCAACTACTTTTTCAACCCTCAATAGAACCAGGCAGATAAATAAAACTGTTACTACTACTTTATTCCCATTATTGAGTTGGGCCACTACTAATGATACTAATGAACCTAAATAAAGAAATTGGAGAAAAATTATGTCGTCGAAGCTGTGCATAATATATAATCCTGTTTATAAATCTTCAGAGGGAGAAACAGTACAAAGACTTAATCCTAGACTGAATGCTTGAAAGCTACAATGGCAGCAGAACATTTTTTGTGGCAATTGTATGATCATGATCACTTTCAAAAGGAATAAACAAAAGACAAAGATATGGTCTTTTAGGTCAGATTTTTCACATTTACAGCGAAGCAACAATGATCTTTTGTGAGTCTGGACTATTTAAGAAAAAAAGAAAACTTTACTAAAGTTTGTGTTACAAAGTAGAAAATACTTACTGTAAACAATACATTATTGATTTGCCTTTGTACAAAATGTAGGGAACTAATAACTATTGTTTACTCAACAGGTCTGGTGGATTTTGTTTTTTAAATATTAGTTAAATGTGTTTGCAACTAGCACTTTTGTTACTGTTTTTCTCAATACTAGGAAGATATCATTAACATTTTTCTTATTGAAGTTTTAGTCTGGTAAGATGATCTGATTAAACTTTCAGCATTTAATTCTTTTAAATCTAATACATTTTCAGTAAAGTGAATATACTTTACCTTGCCATAAAAATCACTCATCTGGTATAATGGGATATGCTGTGTTCCACCATACATTTCAATAACTTCTTCATCAGGCACTGGGTTTAACCCCCTAAAAACAAGTTACAATAATTCAGTCAGGAAAATACTAAATGTTAGTTGACACCTATACTCATATTATCCTAAAATCTTTAGGGAGGTTGCTTTTTAAGAGAGTTGTATTATCCTACTCAAAAGCATCTCAAAAGAAGGCATTGCCAAGAAAATAGGCATGTTCATGCCAACACCCCAGAGGACAAGCTTAGGATCCAAATAGATCTTAAGATTTGAACAATGGACCCTAATCAACAACATGAAATTTAATGTAGAGAAAAGCAAGGTTTTATACCAAGGCAGGAAAAACCAAAGGTACAAGTACAGATTAGGCGAAACCTGGCTCAAAAACAGTAACTGTGAGAAGGACCGTGGAATCCTAGTGGACGCTTAAACATGAGGCAGTAGTGTGCGGCGGCAGCCAAAAAAGCTAATACAATACTTGGTTGTATAAACAGAGGCATAGAATCAAAATCACGTGAAATATTAGTACCTCTTTATAAAGCCTTAGTAAAACTACACCTGGAATACTGCATCCAGTTTTGGTCACCACATTACAAAAAAGATATTGAGACTTTGGAAAAAGTGCAAAGAAGAGCAACTAAGATGATTAAGGGCCTGGAGACAAAAAACATATGAAGAATGGTTGTAGGAACTGGATATGGCCAGTCTTGAGAAAAGAAGGAGTAGGAGTGACATGATATCAGTATTCCAATATTTGAGGGACTGCCACAAAGTAGAGGGGGGTCAACTTGTTTTCCAAAGTACCAGAAGACAGAAAAGAAACAATAGATGGAAACTAATCAAGGAGAGAAGCAACCTGGAATTAAGGAGTAACTTCCTAACAGTGAGGACAGTGGAACAGCTTGCTTTCAGAAGGTGTAGATGCTTCATCACTGGAGGTTTTTAAGGAAGGACTGGACAGCTACCTATCTGAAATGGTATAGGATCTCCTGCTTGGGGAGAAGACTTCCTCAAGAACTAGAAGACCTCCAAGGTCCCTTTCAGCTCTATTTTGATTGATTGAACGAATCTCAAGATGCTGATTCAGAGAAGAATTTATCTTTATTGGCACTGAATTTGAAGAGACGTTGTGCAAATGAATTGACATAATTTGGCACTTATCAAGATATTAATGAAAACTGGTGGCAATTTTTTTGCTTAAAATTCATTATTGTTCCGTTGACCCAAGTGACTTTCTAACATTATCATTGTTAATTGAACTCAAGTTTCTGAAGAAAAGGAAACAGCCAATGTAGAGAGCCATAAATTTAAATATTCCATGATTATAACAAAAGTTGCCTATAGAGAAAATGTCTTCAAAATATACAAATAACCTCATATGATAAGATTGTAGGACAAAAGGGAATTTAATTTTTCCCCACTGAGTTAATTTTTAACCAAAGCAGAAAAACCAATTAATAGGGCAACATTTAGTTGAAGAAGCAGAAGAGTATTACTGAAATGCAGCTGCATTAGCAAATACTGCTTCCTTAAATCATGATTTTTTATTTCTCCTTTGTTCAAAGTTTGTCTAGATCAGTGTTTCTTGAACTTTTTTCTTTTCCCACTTTTAAAAATCATGGTGGATCTCAAAAGAGTTTTTATTTATATAATCAATATTTAAAGTATTAAAAATTAAGATATTTATAGCTAAATTGGTTCTGATATGCCCAAAATTTTAGTTATTGATCCTTTAATTTGGCACCGGTTTCCTCTGCAGCTGATTTCAGAAATACTTGCCAGCACACTCAGACTTCAGCAACTCAAGACATTTCTCTGTAGCAAGTAAACAATCCTGTGCCATCACTCATGACCCATATTTGCTTCTGATTCCTATGTTAAATGTTGCATAAAGAACAACTGTTTCTATGCTCCAGAAAATGCATATAATTTTGCTAAACTCACTGATAGGCAGTGCCCAGTTGAACATAGTGGAAAGCATCAATCTTCATCAGAAGACTCTAAAAGAAAGGTAGACATTTGTTGTGTAAATATTTCGTACTTTTAGCTTGAAGAATTTAATGTTACAAGAAAAACAAAACTATTCTTCACGAGGCAATGCATTTAATGCTTCATTGGCAGATACAAATATGATGTATATGATGATGAACCCCCTCCTTTTTTTTGTTTATGTCTGCGCAGAGAGTCATACCATATTTCTACTTCCACTGAAGAAAGAAAGGGACAGAAGGAGTTTTGCAAAGATAGAAGCACCACACTCTTACTATTTTTGCAGAGATAGGTAACTTTTTAGCGCAGAGTTCCCCAACCTTTCGGGGTTGGTGGCAGGAGGGAAAGAAGGGACAGTTTTGTGTGTGTGTGTGTGTGTGGGGGGGTAAATGCATGCCCATGCATGAACACCTATTGCTCACATGAATGGGGCTATGAGCATTCGCGCGTGTGGAGCTGCAAACGCTCGCAGTGACGCTGGTGCACGGGCGGCTGCAAAAGCCTGTGATGCACATGCCAACACTGATATGAGTGAGTCCACAAACACCCGCGACATTCATGGCAATGCTTGCGTGAGTTGGGCTGTGAACACCTGGCACTCGCACAAGTGGGTCCATGAATGCCCATGGTGCTTATGGCAATGGTCATGATGATGCTCACACAAGTGGGGCTGTGCGTGCCCGCACATACATGCATAGCAACCAGCCACTCACATGGCCCAGTGGTCAATAGGCCGTGGTCTGGTAGTGGGCCGCGGTCCACAGGTTCAAGACTTCTGTTCTAGCTCATCAATGTGCAATCTTGTATAATTTCAGGGATCAGTTTTATTTCTGCAGTAAGACAAACTGGGATTCTAGCAGGCGTTATACTGATATCTTCTACTTTAAATATCTAAGAGGGAGAGGTCCATTTTTTAAATGGAAATGCTCTGATGTTACTTTTTGTAACTCCTACTATCTTATCTCTACTTATATCCGAACAGTTGCCAGATGAGAACATTTTATTCATTTACCATCAACTGTTGTGACAATGTCTTCTTCCCAGATCAGTTGCAGTGCTTAAATTTTCCTATCCTGCTTCTAATTTCCAGTAAAAAAAATTTTTTTAATGCTGTATAGCCAGCAAAGATTGAAGAGTGATAGGGTCCCCCTGCTGTAATTATTCCCGACTGGAGACAAAAAAAAATGCTGGCAAAGGGAAAAAATAAGATGACAAAGTACCCTAATATTGTTTACAGAGTTCGTTGCAATTGTGCCTGCAAAATGCTGAAAAAAGGCTTTCCTAACACCCTTCCCATGTTCTTCAAGCCACTTTGGGCCTTATTAGTATCAAGCTCCTCTTTCTTTTTGAAAAAAACAACACATACTAAATGTAGCTGCAAAATTTAGAAAATGTTAAGCCATAAGCAAGACTATTCCACCAGATTTTATTGCATAGCACTATCTGGTTTTTTTAGATTGTCATACTATGTAACTACAGAGAAAAAAGACCTTTATAGGTAGCCCAAGGATTACAATCACTTGTTCAGTTATGCTGGCACTGAACAAAGGAAACTTACGACCAATCTGCAAAGTTATGGCCATTGCAGGGACCATGCAGTCACATAATTGGGCTTTCAGCTCTTGGTGCCAGACACACAATTATAATGTTGCAGAAAGCTGTGGTCACATGTTTGTGATTTCCAATGTTCCCTGCTGGATTCTCACAAACAAAGTCGATGGGGAAGCTTGCAAGAAGTTGCAAATTTCTCTCACCATGGTTTCCTCCCCTCCACGCACTCACTTGTGCTTAGTGTCCACCCTCAGGATCTGGCCTTCTTTCTGTGTTCCCTAGGACCACCTGCCTATAGTTCTCACTCAAGGGCCTGCTTGCCTGGCCTCCTGCCTTTTCTTATGTTGCAGTCACGTGTGTTTCAATGATCCATGTGGTCCTGGGATTACAACAGTAACTAGGACTGCCATTGCCAAGTAATGCAATCATGTGATGTTGTGTTTCACTTTTTTAAAAATAATGTTATTAAACATTGTAGGTAATAAAAATAAATACAACTTAATAAAAAAAAGCAAAAAGAAAAATAGAACATGTAGAAAAAGAGAAAAGATATAGATAGGGGGGAAAAACCATAGCAAATAAAAGGAAAACATATAAAGAAGTAACTTCCCCTGTCATCTCAAGTATAAACAATTTTTAAAATTTGTCACCTTCTCTTAAAAATATAACAAAAAAATCTCTTAATCCCATATTTCATCTCATATCTATGAACAGAGTTTATAACCTCATTCATTCCTGATCAGCAAAAGCCCATCAAGGATTGCCAGAAACAACATATCCATTTTAACCTTGATCAGCTAAACCCACTTTATATTCCATTCCTTTTATTTTACAAAGTTGATCTTTAATCCAGCAAAACTTGTTTCTCTTCCACACTTCTTTCAAAAACTATATATCGTTAATTATTTAAGTTTTAAGATTATTTTCTGGATCTATCACTCACAAATATCTTTGAATATGTCCTGTGTTAAAGTATTTTGCTTCATTCTGTATTAAGAAATCAATTTTTTCTTTTGTTTTATTAATTGTAATCTTTAGTTGCTTCTGACTCCCTCTAGTGTTCAGTATTCAAATTCCCACCTTATCATTTTTTTCCCAGAATTCAAAACAACAGCATTTTTCCATGGAAGGATTCCTATGATCAATTTCAGAAAACCTTATCAAGCTTAAGAAAAAGATACAATACAAAGTAATAGAAAAGGAAAAATTAGAGGGTAGGGGATCGAAAGTGGAAAAAAGTTTAAAAGTGACAAGAAAAAATATGGAGAAAAACAAAAAAGGAATGACTTTTTATTGTGAGTGATTTTAACATAATATAAAAAGTATATAACACTATAAATATATATTTACATAAATATATAATAAAGATATATACATATTTAATAGTAAACACTAAATGTACACAATATTTCTATAATCATAACAGATCAGTGGTAAAATCAAAATTTCTTTTTCTTAAGCAAAATGTATAAAAATGCTCTCCAAGTAGAAACAAAGTCAGACAAACTTGTATCTTTCATCAGGATAGTCAGTTTTGCCATCTCTGCCAGTTCCATTAATTTCACAATCCACTGTTTTTCTACCTCTGTACACACAAAAATCTCACTGCTCAATTTCAAAATCTCATTTTCAGATCTTTCTGAATTCCTATTCTGTTTCTAACTTTTCAAAATCTACGTTCTAATCACTCTTTTGTCATTTATACACACACATACACATACACATACTTTTATATAAATGTTAGATATATATTTATGTCCTTAAACTTCTCTTTAGAGCTTCTTTCACTAAGAATTAAAGTGAACTCACCTGGTACATCTTATCAGATTTGTTGATTAGAATGTTCTTAATAGCTGAAAAGCAGTTAAGAAGCAATTTCTAAATGTGATCAGGACATGAGGTTTAACATAACCTATAGGCTACATTGTGCTTATGAGCTTAGTGGAATCCCTTGATTCCCAACCATTCCACTTAGAAGCTGGCCACATAAATCTCAATTTCTGTAGTTTATGCATTAGAAACAGCTATCTGAGAACAAGTGGCAACCTCATGATCTCTGCTTTATTTGAAGAGATTTGGCTGGCCAGAAAATGCTATGTGGCTGCCAACCTGACCGCACTGCCAGCTCTGCTCGTTTGAAGATGTCTAGTTCACCAGAAGTCTTCACCAGAAGTCACATGATGTTGTGCTTCACAATGCTTAGTGATGGAAGTTTTGATCCTAAATTGCTGTTGTAATTCAAGGATGATTGTTTTCCTGTGTATATGTGTAATGTGTAAACCCACATGAATACATACACCATTATTAATTCATTTCTCCAAGTATAGCTGTAACTTAACAAACTAACTAGATACTTCAACGTTTCCAATTTCCACACTGAACCGAATGATGTACTAAATATGTGAAAGACCAATTGAAAACATATTTACTGTATAACTCACCTTGTGCACATCATAATGAAGTCCTCTTATGGCAAAACCAGGAATGTATTCATATTTCCTAAGTCCCTCTGGGTACTACAAAACATTTCATTAGAAAGAATGAGTATATTCTTCCTAACTGGCACACATGCTATATGGTAGAACTGGTAGAAATCTAGACAACTAGCAAACTGTATGGCAATGGATACATAGAATATAGTTTTACAACAGGAATATAATCAGCAATAAAACTCATTGGACAACTGCAGAGGGTGAAGTGAGGAAAAGTAAAGAGGAGATGTAGAAATCTGGTCTTTTTTTTTAACATGCCCTAAGAATAGAAATGTGAGCTGTTTCCTCTGAGGGGTGATTTTATTTATCTTTGACATGAACGTGCATATGTTATATTCTTTGTCACATCATAATCTTATTTATGAAAATAGGGTGTTTAAGCCATTCATAATTGCAACTGATTGAAATGGCATAAAAACTACTCCTGGGGAGTAATATCAGATTAAGACAGCTTTGTTTTTAGCAGAGCCAATGATTGTGGTAGAAAGCTGATTGTGGAGCTGGTGAAGGAACCGGTTCTCTGAATTCCTTTCCAGAGAAAGAGAGGACTTGGGATTGCCCAGAGCGCTCCTTACAGACCTTTCCCATGATTAGGCCATAAAGTAACAGTTTCTGTCAGGTTTTAGAACTCTGGGTATCGGCAGAAACCACTTTCCCCAAGCTGCAATCAGAGCCCTTCATAAGGATGCTGGATTTGCTCAATAGGAAATGGAAAAAAAATAACAAATTAATTGTGAGATATCATTTGAAGGGATTAAATATTAATATTTTCAATTTTCTAATAGCACTTAATAGAATTTTTCTTGATTAAGTTTGAATGATGAGCTTTTTCACCTCAGTTTATAGATGTAAGACCGTGGGAAGAAGAGTTTTAGAGAAACTGACAAGGTATTGTGTAAAGGAAAGAATTATGAATTACTTGTGTGTATACACACACACCATATATGTGTGTGTGTTTGTTTATTTATTTCTGGTATCACTTAACGAACTTTTGCTGATTAAAATTGAAAGATGAGATGTTATTATTTGCCAGTAGATAATAGCTGTGATATGGGATGAAGATAGTTTTGGCTGAAAAGTTAGAGATGTCAAGCTATGTTTCTATGTTTATACTTGATGAAGGGGAAAATTATTTCTTTCTATATTTTTGGTTTCTTTTCTTTTTTATATATTTTCCCCTTTTCCCATCCCCGCTTTTCCCTTTTGTTTATTTTTTTCTTGTTTATATTTTCTTTAGTTTATATTACTTTACCTTTATCATTTTAAACTTCAATAAAAATGATTGCGATAAAAAAGAAAAGGAGAGATAAATAAAATAAATAATTTAAAAAGTCATGTAGGGGCTCAGCAAGGCACGGGGGGGAAAAGCGGATCTAATTCCATTAACAGGGGAACAAAAAATTAGAGAAAGGTTTGCTGCTTTAAGCCTTTTTCATCAATACTAGCTCTCAATAGGCTGTGGAAGGTAACTATGAAAGTCAGAATCTAGAAACACAAAGAAGTCATGAAATGCAGAGGAAGAAAAAAGTACTTATCTTAAAATCATTTCCACGCCATACTGTCCCAATCTATTATAGATCAAGCATCACACAAGAAGAGATGATGAAAATTGCAAACTTACCTTATACTGTTCGATTAGGATATCTCTGGCAGTGTTGAATATCATTGAATGTAGTAAGTTTGAATATTGTGCCAATGTATAATCGTAATCAAAACCATAGATCTCAACGTCTCCCAAGCTAATCTCATTATTTGCATAGATAGCTGCAGGGTTAAGAAGATTGCAAACTCCTGGTGGAAGCAGATCTGGAGCAAGACAATAAAAATACAGGCACTATTTTGATCCAACATTATGCATAACAGGAATACTGTGTAAAAAAAAATAGGGGGTGAAGGTAGGGTGAGGTGAAATATTCCTTTTTTCCCCTTATAACTGGGTATTGAAGACTACTGACATTTTCTTTCAAAACAGATGGCCCCAAAAATAAATATTTCAACCAATTCAAGCATTCTAATTTTCATTACCAAAAAGACTAACCAAAACAAGGAAAGACTTTTGCTGTAAACCGAAAAGGATCAGCTAAGGATCCTTGGCTTCTCACTGGCAGGAGCAGAATTTTACTCAGAGGTGGAGGTTGCTGCTGCTTTCACCAGACTTTCCTCCTTCCTTCTGTGCCTCCTCAGAAGTATTCCAGAGGAACTAGGGATCCTTCAGAACATTTGAGGGAACATTTTGAGGGGGGGGGGCATAATCACCATCAAGGCATTGTACTTAATTTCATCTAGGAATGGAACAGGATTTACAGTTATTATTATTACATGGGGGGGGGGTGAGGGAGGAATAATTGTATTTCTTTATATTCTATTTACTGAAGTTCTTCTATTCTAGTTGGATCTCCTCACAGATTAGAGATATAAGTAGCAAAGAATAACAGCATTTTGAATTTTTCAGTCGATAATTCTTATAAATATATAGGGATTAGCTGTCCAATAGGAAACAAAATCTCACCAAATATTTGCCTATATGCCTCAACCTGTTCTGATTCAGCCAGTTGTATCTGCTCTTTCACAATGTTTGTTTATTCCAAATTTATGAAAGCAGATTCAGCAAGGGGAGAAAAATCACGACTAGGTACATTTGATGCTTGAAATACTCTTTATAAATATAGGTTGTGGGTGTAGCATCACTGGAGATTTTACAAAAAATAGACTGGACAATAACTTGACTGGGATGATATAAGATTCTTGCCTTGAGCAGGGGTTTGGATTAGAACAGGGGTCTTCAAACTTGGCCCTTTTACGACTTGTGAAGTCCAAAAGTCGTAAAAGGGCCAAGTTTGAAGACCCCTGGATTAGAAGATTGCTAAAGTCCCTTCCAGCCTTATGGTGTTATGATCACTAACTGCATGTTCAATGAGTGAAATTGTGTCCCTCTAGCTATATAACAACAACAACAATAATAATAATAAAGTTGGAAGGGACCTTGGAGGTCATCTAGTCCAACCCCCTGCTCAGGCAGGAAACCCTATACCATTTCAGACAAATGGCTGTCCAATCTCTTCTTAAAGACTTCCAGTGTTGGAGCATTCACTGCTTCTGGAGGCAAGTTATTCCACTGATTAATTGTTCTAACTGTCAGGAAGTTTTTCCTTAGTTCTAGGTTGCTTCTCTCTTTGGTTAGTTTCCAACCATTGCTTCTTGTCCTGCCTTCAGGTGCTTTGGAGAATAGCTTGTCTCCCTCTTCTTTGTGGCAGCCTCTGAGATATTGGAACACTGTTATCATGTCCCCCCTCGTCCTTCTCTTCATTAAACTAGACATACCCAATTCCAGCAACCGTTCCTTGTATCTTTTAGCCTCCAGTCCCCTAATCATCTTTGTTGCTCTTCTCTGTACTCTTTCTAGAGTCTTAACATCTTTTTTACATCATGGTGACCAAAGCTGGATGCAGTATTCCAAGTGTGGCCTTACCAAGGCATTGTAAAGTGGTATTAACACTTCACGTGATCTTGATTCTATCCCTCTGTTAATGCAGCCTAGCACTGTGTTGGCTTTTTTGACTCACTGCTGGCTCATATTTAAGTGATTGCCCACTAGGACTCCAAGATCCCCTTCATAGTTACTACTATTGAGCAAGGTACCTCCTATATTATACCTGTGCATTTGGTTTTTCTTGCCTAAATATAGAACCTTACTTTTTTCACCATTGAATTTCATTTTGTTAGATAGCGCCCAGTGTTCAAGTCTGTCAAGATCCTTCTGTATCTTAAGCCTGTTTTCTGGAGTGTTGGCTATTCCTGCCAGCTTGGTATATATATATGGGAAGAAGAAATCAGAAGATATATATATATAGGTGTTTAGTTATTCGGGTTTTCTCCCGCGTAGAATTAAAAGTACCTTGGCGACGTTTCGACACCACTCTTAGAAGCACGAAGCTGAAGACACCAGCCTGAAGATGACGAATGTGACTTCGTCGAAACGTCGCCAAGGTACTTTTAATTCTACGCGGGAGAAAACCCGAATAACTAAAGACCTACATACAAACACCCGCGAAAACCTCAGAAAACATATATATATATATATATCCAAATTTCTTTTTTTTTTTTTCTTTTTTTTTTCTGACAAGAAATTTGGATATAAAAAATATTTCGCAGTTGCGACTTGAGCCTGCTCTATGCCCCTAGTTGGGGGCGGCAAGGCAAGAGATACTGTAAAAAGAGTAAAACTGCAGTATGCAGTTGAAAATGTCAAGGTGTTCACAATCAGACTGATCTGTCTGAACTCCCTATATATATATATATATATATATATATTCTAATTACTAGTCACTGTTTTGAGATGGGCAGCCATATAAATTGTTTACTTAAATTAGATCCTTTATTTGTATTGTTAGCTTGTAGGTTTTTACACATATAGTGATTAACCCTGTAAAGCTAAACAAGGGTATGCGTGTTATAATGTAGACACAGCCTAGTCTTTCCTGTCTGAGAGAATAGGAATATCATGTAAACTGAATTCTTCACTTATGCCACTTGAATACTGATATATAGGATTCTAGAATTGCTTTATAATAAATGGACAGCATTTTCCTTGTTACAGGGTTTCTCTGGAATTATGTAACTGTTATATTTACACTTCTGCATTGTGAAGATCAAGAGTTTTGCGACTGGGTTATTAGTTCACTTTAAAAGAAAAAAAAATCTCCTTCCCTCTCCAGTGTTGACTCCTGGTGTCTGCTAGTACTAATCCCTGCAGTTTTGTTGGCATGACTTTTTAGAAGTGGTTTTCCATTGCCTCCTTCCTAGAGCTGAAAGGACCCAAGGTCACTCAGCTGGCTTCATGCCTAAGGTAACCGTTTTTTGCCTGGTACCTTAACCATTACTGTATATGACACCAGCTCTCAAATAGATGTTTTTTTGTGCCAAGTCAGTCTTGACTGGCCCAAAGTCATGCTGATTTCCTGCCTAAGACAAAATTAGAACTCAGCCTCTTAGTTTCTAGTCTGATGGTAATTTTCTATTACAAGTACATATCTAATGGGAGGATGAGAAGTATTGCATTTCTTAGCTAACAGGTCAGAACTGTGAAGATGGTATTTATATAGCAAATTTCATTGCACCAAGGAACATTATTAGTTTTTGTCTACAATTATTATATAATCTCAAAAGCCCATTATTATTGAACAACTTGGTTTTTCAAGGGCAGGGAAAAAAAATACTGCGAAAGCAATTAGCTTCAAACTACTTTGATGAGTGAAACAAAATATGCTTCATGGCATGGTACATTTTTCAATTAATACAATGCTTCCCAGAATACTCAAAAAGGCTTTACTAGGAAGATATACTTTGAAAAAAATGATTCTGTTTCAGAGTTGAAGTGGTCCAATAAAGTGGTTTCATGAAAAACAAATTCCACGAAGTAGAATTACTCATCTTCAGAAAACATTTCTATCAATAGAGCACAAATGGAAATACTGTATTGGTAATGAAATCTTCCAACATACTGCTATATATTATGTTTCAGTTAAATTGCAAGTATTTTATAGCAAATATGTATCAGGAGAGGAAGGACATAGCAGATCTGGAATAGACATTGCATAATAACTTCCTACTGTTACTACTGGGGAGCAGGGGGAGAACAAACAGAATAAAATAATTTTCTCCCTTCTTCCTTGCATCCAACCAGCAAGGGTATCAATGAAGTAATTTCTTTTCTCTCGGTTCTCTTTGCTAGTAGTGGTATAGATGTTTTGTTAAAATATCAGCAACTAATTGTTTTTATTCTACCAAATTATGTAAGAAAAACATATTATCACATGTCTTTTATTGGAAATATTTTCCTCCATGCTGACATCTTGCCAAGATTTGTTTCTACTGTCCACTTAAAATCTTGCCAATAAGTTATCTTGTTTACATTTCAGGAACAAACTTACAAAAATATTCAAGTCACCTACTAAATTCCATTTCACATTATGGCTTCACCGTACAATCCTTCAAGTGAATTCTGACAAATGTTTGAAAAATATTAGAATTGCAATGTATTTTTTTTATTTAAAAAATGACCTGGTATCATTAGAGAGAAAAATAGCAGCAGTTCATCCAACATCTGTTATAGTTTTTAAACAATTCTTGACCATTTTTTAAAAAACTAAGTAGCCTTTTGAGATTGTTAAGATAGTGATCCTTCTGATACAGCAGCAACATTTCTCTTGTTCAGACTTGGAAAGATGCTAATCAGCCAATAGAGCAGGGGTAGTCAACCTTGGCTCTTTTATGACTCGTGGACTTCAACTCCCAGAATTCCTGAGCCAGCTAAGCTGGCTCAGGAATTCTGGGAATTGAAGTCCACGAGTCATAAAAGAGCCAAGGTTGACTACCCCTGCAATAGAGGAATGAAAGTGTTTCACAAGGATAACACTGCAACCAAGAACTTACGATAACCTGCTTTAGTTTGAAAGGGAGCTTGAAACATAGCCTTTTCTAGAGATATGAACACACAAGTAGTTCTTCTGAGAGAAAGCTTTGCAAGTTAGCAAGTTCAAACCATTTTCACCTTGAAAGTACAATGCCAGTACATTAGTTTGAACTATATCCAGAAACTAATTGTGGAGCCAATTAAGATGGTTAAAAATGTGTTAAATGCTTCCAACAAATGATGTTGGCATATTCCTTACTCAGCTTAACTGAAATATTCAAGCAACTGAAGAACCAACTTCAAACCTTCAACCTAGAATTCACAAAGTATGTACAACAGAGATTTTAAAACAGACACACACACACACACACACAAGTTCAAGGAGCTTAGAAAGTTAAATTTTAACAAAACACAGAAACAAAACATGTAAGGGATCGCAACCTTACTAATTTTAGTAAGCTGATAAGCAATGTGTACATTACATTGGAAGAATTGATTAAAATGTTTTCCATTTTAAAGTCATCTAGTTTAATCATCATGGTACCCATGTATGTCATTTAGTAAACACAAATAAGTTTTTGGAGAAAATATGAAGAATCCAATTTGCAGCATCTTTTATAACTTGGCATTCTTAGTTACTCTCACAATTAGCATGTCGGCAATAGAAGAGAATAAGTTAGCATAAGTTAGTTTGGCAGCAGATGATACTATTAACAGCAATGCACAAGTAACAGTCTGTAGTGTGGGTGTTTCCTCACTAGGAATACTAACCTTATCATGTAAACCACTTTAAGATCACCATAGAATGATGCAACCACCCAATTATATAATAGTACCAGATGTAAATATGCACCGGGGATAAATACCTTCTGTGTCCAATCGCACACTTGGCCAATAAAGAATTCTATTCTATTCTATTCTATTCTATTCTATTCTATTCTATTCTATTCTATTCACACTCACCCTACTTTTTGGAATCAAACGAGACGAGGGTTTGAACAGCTCTCAAATGTACGTACACTGAGGCATTTTAATTCATCAGAATTAGTGGTCTTCAACGAAATGCCTCAGACACGGACAGCCAAGCCCCCCACTTCCCACTCCGTCCCTCCTTACCATAAACCAGCTTTTTCATTTCGTGGTATCTGGCCCAGAGATAGGACTTCGTATCGATCCCTTCGATGGAGCTGGGCTGGTGGCTGCCCAAGGAAGCAGCTGTCATTGTCGCTGCCCCAGCAGGACCGGCGTCGGCGGTTCTCTTCGCTTTGCCGCCGATCGAAGAGGAGGCCGGCGGCGGGAGACCATGCTCCTCGGACTGCGGCTGATGGGTCCACTGGTGCCTGCATCCCACCCGCCCCGATCCAGCGTCGGAGCCTGTATAATAGCAGCAGCTGCCGTGGCTGGAAACAGGGATCATCAGTTGTTGAAGGATGCCGACGGCACCGCCGCCGCCGCCGCCGCCGCTCTTCCATATGCCGCTGCTCGCAGCCTTGAGTCCAGCCGCAGCCATGGCCTCCCGGGACGAGAGCCTCTTCCTTGAGAAGAGTTCATAAGACCATCATCTCAGATCTCGAACGCACCTCTTCAGCTGCATCGTCCGCCAGACTGGACAACAACCGTCTCTTCCAGCCATCCGACCCGCCTAAGAGCAACCAGTCAGTGCGGATCTGCGGCAGCGCTCCAGTCCAAGACTTGCCAAGGAGGAGGCGGGTCTTCCAGCACAAGTGCCGCTGCCGCCGCTTCGGGATCACTTGGGATTTGTAGTTTGTTAAACATTTTCTGTGTCCTCTCCCCCGCCCCAGCTCCTGTGAGTTGTTTCGGATTGTTGGGACAGACAAGAACTACAGCTCCCAAGATCCTTTTGGTCCTCCTGGCTCGAGGCTATTTAAAATGTTTTAGGGCGGGCATGTTTTCCTTTCGGACACTGTAATTCTGATTCCTTTGAACCGCGAATGAGGCTATTTGAATAAGTCGTATAAAAGTAAGTTCTCGAGACAAATCTTTTTGGAAAAAAGGACATGCTTTCGCTTACAAAGAATGCTCAGTGAAAATGGCCAGTGGAGGAATAAAAGGAACACGTACAGAAAGCCCTATTCTCTTATTTTTCAATGGATAAAATGTGTTCCAATTCAGGCTGCCTGCTCCTGTGATATAATAATAATAATAATAATAATAATAATAATAATAATAATAATAATAATAATAATAATAATAATAATAATAATAATAATAATTAATAATAATAATAATAATAATAATAATAATAATAATAATAATAATAATAATAATAAAGTTGGAAGGGACCTTGGAGGTCATCGAGTCCAACCCCCTGCTCAGGCAGGAACCCTACACCATTTCGGACAAATGGCTGTCCAGTCTCTTCTTAAAAACTTCCAGTGTTGGAGCATCTTATGATTAAAAAGAAAGCGACATTTACTTCGCTGAGTTGATCTTGCATAGAATGAGTTGCCCAGTGTTTTACAAAATGTTGGGAGACAATAAGATACTGGATTACTTCACTTCGGGTCCGACAGGGGGCGGTCAGACGCTCCTAACCGCTTCGCTTCGCCGGTTTTGCAACTGAACTGAGCAGCAGCTCTGGGGCTTTAGGAACGCCATTAGCGTTTGAGAATCGCAACTGGCGTTTGAGAATCGCAGCTGGCGTAGCAGCAACACCGCAGAGAAAACCTCCGCTCATTCCGTTCTTTCTGTTCAAAGACGGGCAGGCCACGCCCCCTACGCACAGCACGTAGCCAATCACTATAGTCTCTTTCGGAAGACGTGATGTGTAGCAGTCAGGTGGGAGGGCGGTCGCTCTTCCGGTTGCTCTCATGTCCTGCGCGCCCTCTTCCTTACTCAGTTCTAAAGGTGAGTGGGCTGGTTGTGAGTGTTGTTCTCCGCTAGAGACCAGACCGGCCTTTTTGATTGACTGTCTCCCACCGAGAGTGGTGGGAGTGGAAAGCAGCATTGCCTTGTATGAGCACGGGTCCTTGGTTATAATAATCAGAATTTGTTTCTTTATATCCCCTTTATTATTTTTACAAATAACTCAAGGCGGCAAACATATGCAATACACCTTCCTTTTTCCACCGTATTTTCCTCCTAACAACAACCCTGTGAGGTGAGTTGGACTGAGAGTGAGTGACTGGCCCAAGGTCACCAGCTATAGCTAAGGGGGGACTTGAACTCACGGTCTCTTGCTTTCTAGCCTGGTACCTTAACCACTAGACCAAATTTGCAAGGTTTTCAGACTCTGGAAATGCGTTTTCTGATGGAGAACTTTTACGTAAAACTAGACATTAGCTAGCCTTGGGTGTTTTCTTGGTATTGGTGACTGAATGGCATCACAACAACTTATTCACAACTGGATCTGAAAGATAGTGAATGATTAATGTAAACCCCGGGAATGGTCTCTTATTTTCCATCAGTCGAATGTTGGAAAGAAATATTATAAACTTTGTTTTGTCAGGACTAGGTAAGCAGAACATGTATAAGTGCAGTGTCAATGTTATTAATAGATACTTGGTTCTGGAATCATGGTTTATCTAGAGATGGACTTCTAAATACAAAATGGGTATTTAAAATGTTTGCAAGATTCGTTGATGTTAGAGTTCTTTGCATTTCAAATTGTGTATGGTATGCTGAAATCAGTAGTTGCCAAAAACAAACATACAAAAGAGTTCTAGGTTCTAGCAGGTTGTTGATCCTCATTAGGTGGCATTGAACAAAATAGGATGATCTTAAGTCAGAGTCTTCATATTGTATTTTATAAGGATGTTGCTATAAAATGGAAGATTGTATGCATCACATACTGATAGCACTGATGATGTTGCTAAATTGGATAATGAAACACCTGCAAGAAAACAACCAAGCTCAGAGCACCAAAAGACCCCATATTCTCAATTCCCCAAGAATGCCCAGGAAGGATTTTAGCAGCTGAGGTGAAAATGATAGAATTCAGAAACGTTGCCGATGTAAACCACTTAGACTAGAGAATGTTATAAAGCTCCATGAAGCAATATATAAGCATCAGCGCTATTGCTGTGCTTTAGTGTTTTGGGATTAACTTACAATAAATTAAATATTACTAGTAATAGTAATATTAGAATAATGCTGCATTTTTTTAGTTTTGTGTCTTTATGAGCCCAGGTATAATCAGATGTGAAATATGCAAAGATAAAACTGAATTTTATTCCTTTCCATACTTTTATATATTTGGTTAACCATATTTTGGACAGCCTTATACATAAAATATTAATTTTGTTTGATGTGTTTCAGAATCACCCTTCTTACAACGAGTCTTAAATTCTTCTTAAAATGTCTGTCAATAGTAAAATAACTCAACTAATGAATAAAGTACCTGGAAAGAAGCGGTTTGGTATATACAGATTTCTTCCTTTCTACTTTGTTCTTGGTGGTGCTATGGAATGGTTTATGATTAATGTTTCAGTTGGCAATCAGACCTTTTGTAAGTATCATTAAACTTTTGTTTAAAAAAATTCTTTTCGATATATTTAAACATGCATGATTTAATTATGCTATATTAATTTCCACATCTTTCCAAATAATTATATTGACATATTCAAATTTCTGTTTGATATTCAGCTTTTATTAAAAAAAGAGCTTAAGGCAACCTTTTAATGGTAATCATTTGATGTATAGAGAAGAGCTACAAAGATGATTGGGGGACTGGAGGCTAAAACATATAAAGAATGGAATTTTTTGCTGGAATTGGGTATGTCTAGTTTAATGAAAAGAAGGACTAGGGGTGACATGAAGGCAGTGTTCCAATATCTCAGGGATTGCCACAAAGAAGAGGGAGTCAAGCTATTCTCCAAAGTACCTGAAGGCAGGACAAGAAGCAATGGGTGGAAACTAATCAAGGAGAGAAGCAACCTAGAACTAAGGAGAAATTTCCTGACAGTTAAAACAATCAGTGGAACAGCTGGCCTCCAGAAGTTGTGGGTGCTCAAACACTGGAGGTTTTTAAGACAAGAGTGGACAACACTTGTCCGAAGTGGTATGGAGTTTCCTGTCTGAGCAGGAGGGAGTTTGACTAGATGACTTCCAAGGTCCCTTCCAACTCTTGTTATTCTATTTCTGCTTGGCATCAAAGGCTTCAAGTGCTCTAATAAAATTAGTAGAATGGAATTATCTTAAAATTGCAAAGTAAAGATTCAGTGTCATCTTAAAACCTATTGGCAGGCATACTGCTCCTGAGAAAACTACAAATCACCACACTGGGGAAACATGGTTTTACTTTTAGCTTAAGGGTTGATAAAATATTCAGGTAATCTTCCAATTGTATTTTGGAGACAGATGAAAAACTACTAAAATACTAGACTGAGGTATTAGCTTCAGACTGAGCATAATCTGACTATTCTACAAAACAGAAAACAAATTTCTAAAATCCTGCATTTTTTAGAAATGGATAAAATTAGTCCTTGGCCTAATTTCAAAATGTTTAAGTTTGAGATTAATCTATCACACTTTACTTAAATAAGAGAAGTGGGTATTAGTTAAAAAGTATGTCAGAATGAAAATGTTCCACCACACTGTGGAATTCATGATTGAATAAGGTTCCCCTTGATAATTTCCTTATTATACTTTTGATCTTGCATGAATTACCCAACGTTTTAAGCTTGAATACTGCAAGTTAATTATATAATGTTAAATAAAAAAAAACTATTTTCAAAAAGTTGATAGAAATGATCACAAATGTTTTGCAGATGACGTTTACCGTAGAAAACAGACTGAGCAATATTACCAGAAGTTGGAAGAAAAGTGAATTCAACACTGAATTATCTGTACATAATGGATTCTAAATTAATAAATAAATCTAAGTTTCAAAGTTTGCTTAAAATAAGACTGAATACTGACTTCATTTTGTTCAGTAAAATGTATTTTTTGTTAGTCTTGCCTTGTTTTAAGTAACAATTATGTATTTTGGTGAACTCAAGTGCCATCAAGTTGGTATTGACTTAATTAAGATCACATAAATGATCTCCAAGTGTATCTGTCCCTATCCTGGTTCTTCAGGACTTCCAGTGGTATACTCTGCTGCTGTAATTGAGGTACTCAGTCTAGCTGTTTCCAACTCTAGGGGGAGGGACTCATCTCCGTTTCTTAGCCAAAGAAGCCAGCATTGTTCGAAGAAATTTCTGTGGTCATGTGGCCAGCATGATTGTAACTCAGACTTACTCACATAATAAGACTGGTTACCTGTTGCATTTTAGAAAATGTTGCTCTGTGTTTTAGAAATTTGTTGTTCCGTGACATATTGGTTTATCATTTTTTGTAAATGTACACAATCACGTTTATGTATTGTCTTATTAAAGTAAAAGGAATTATTTTACCGTGTTACTGGGCTGACCTGAGGAAATGCAAAAAGAAAAGGCAAAAAGAGGAACATTTAATCCCAATGTTTGCAGTAGTTCTCTCATAATCCAAGTCATTGGTTTAGGGGAGCAAGTTATAACGACAATTCTCTCTATCTCACACACACACACAGTGACCATTATGAGAATATGTATACAATATAGATTCATGCTTCAATTGACAAAGTCGGATTGTTTATGGAAGATACATGTGTGGAGTTGTCGCACAGAAGATATTTGTGAATACATTAGATAATGTGGGTCTTAATGGAATTTATGTATTTCTCAAAGCCATGAGATTTGATTTTGGCTTAACGTGCTATTACCTAAACTATGGCTAAGCAAATCATGACTTACCATTTGTGAACTTAGTATGTATGAATAAAATGAACTTGACATAGTAAAATAGAACAGAGTTTATAATACACTGTAGTTAGAGGAGCTTTCCACACTCTGGAGAAAAATATACACAAAGGAATCAGCAGTGTCCTTCTGTAATTCAGGATAAATTTTCCTTGCTGCTTTTCTTATAACATTCTTGTTTTTATTAGTAAAAATTATAGCTTGCAAATTGTATCAGTTGCACTTTCAGATAGCAGAAACTTTAAAGATCTGCTTTTCCATTTATATAATCAGATTAATCAGTAGTCTTACATTGTATGGCAGGTTTCTATGTTCTGTGATTAGACAGAATGAATGAGGATTTGATATGTGAAATATAGCCAAACATTCTGAGAAGTGAATTTGGCCCTAGGAAATAAGAAAACTGCAGGAGTTAAGAGAGTTGCAGGAGGACTGGTTAAAAACATTTAAGTTGATGCAATTAGAGGGGTTCTTGCAGATGGGGAAAATAATAACCAGGTGACAAGAAACTAGCTTTTTATATTGCAATACCAAAAGACACTACCTAAACAAATGCTCAGATTGCCAACTGCACTTAATATAAAATGATTTTATTAACTACTATCAAGTTGGAGTCAGCTCTATGCAACTTCATTTTTTTCTAGCATGATATGCCTTCAGTCTGGCCTTTTAGATCTCTCAATAATTTTACATACTAGAAAGAAAATGCCCAAAATTCTGCAATCCAGGCTTCAATGTGTGATATATGGACTGCTGATATATACAAGCTGAACTTAGAAAATAGAAAGCTGACGTCACAATGCTAGCAACAAATGGATAATAGAAAAATATCCAAAGACAGGCCATAAGAAATTGTGAAGAGCTCTTGAAAAGACTGGTGTACCAGGCCATCTGATTTGCCACTGAAGAATTTGCATGATGACCTGGATGCAACAATTGGAATGAAATATGGAAGAATAGTTCAAATAATGGAAAGGAATGTGCCAAGGCTCTTTACTATGCCTCCAGATTGTATTTAGTTTGTGTTCAGAATGTCAGGAGAAATGTTGGATTAAAATAAATCAAATTTGGAATTAAAATTGTTGGGAGAAACACCAAAAACCCCAGATAAGCTGGCATTGCTTGGATGGCTGAAGTGAAGAAACGTTAAGGATTCTCTTGATAAAAGATGAGAGTGCAAAAGCCAATCTGTTTCTTTAAAAAGAAAAAAAACACTGAGATGCCATCACACAATGCCCATCTAATGCAAATAGGCGCAATAGTAATAATAGACTTCATTTCCAAGGGTTAAAAATTCACAAGGACAGCGACTGTAATTATGAAATAGAGATCTGCAACTTTGGAAAAACCTGACAAACCTGGACAGAAAATTTGAAATAGTTATTACATTGACATGAGAATTTGCTTGTTTTTTTTCTTCATCTTAGCTGAATCAGTTAAATTAGATGACTGGCTTATAAATAAATAAAATGTATTTATTGTAAAAAGCTATACATTTCTCAGGTGGAACTTGTCTGATCAGAAAGGCTAGTTAAAAAATCCTTTGAACTGTAATCTTGGAGAAAATAGTTGAGAATGAATGTACTAGAAGTAAGATCAGATTGCTCGCTAGAAACACTACGTTTGTAAAACAAAGTTTTAAACATAAACATTTTTATCATTATGCACCTCTTCCATCTTTGCCCTTTTTTCAGGTTTGTCCTTTATTTTTTCTAAGAAAATATGGTCAATGTATATACATAATAGATAGCAAAAGAGAAAAGCTACACATAATTTCAAAGAAAAAAAATATAAAAATGTACTGTATGGCCATCTGCTAGATTTATAAATTCATCATCTATGATCAAAGGAAAATATTGCTGTATTTTAAATCTAACAATACTGAGCAGAAATTAAATCTATAACATAAACATAGCTACATTGCAAGACTTATGTTATTTTATCAAATATGGGCAATTGCAATAAATCATTGTTTGTGGTGAAATACAGTGGGGACAAGTTGTGGACTTCCACTCTAATGCTGGCTGTACACATGAAAAAAATGGATCCTTTTGTTCAATTTTTTGATTAGCCCAGATCTGATTAAAGTTGGTTTAAAAACACACCAACTTCCAACCTGGACTTTAAAACCAGGAAAAAGACTTTTTTCCCTAGCCTATAAAATTAAGATTATTTAAATGTTGTTATTTTGATACCATTAATAAACAAGTCTAATAAGAGAGATATAGAATTTGATACGTACCTTTATATATAGTATAGGCTCAGTTCAGACATTATAGTAAATTGTGATGGTATTAATATTGTTCAATGAACAACCAATACCATAGTCCGGTCCTAATGCTAAGCCATCAATCATGGCTGACAAATCACACTGACAGGTTTCACACATCATATGTGATTAGCTTGGTTTTGACTTAGTATGATGCCAGCTGTTGTGACTTAACTGTGAGAAAACAAGTAATGGCTTAGCATACATGTGAACTTAGCTTCTCTATGTGTGTACCAATTTTAAAATTTTGTATTCTTCTAAAGTTCAGTGGTTATGTTTCTTTTTGGAAAGGTTTTTGAATGTAGGATAAACGTGCCTATTTTTCTCTAGATCTTAAACTTGTTCTGTGTATCTAATGTAACTACCAGGATGCACATATTGCATGTCATCATGATTTCTTTACAGAATATGGTTAGAATTATAGTAAAATTGTCTAGAACTAAAAGTGAGACATCTTAATGGAACAATCAAACCTGGTTAATCCAAATTACAAACTATTTTTATTTAAATTAAAAAGCCTCAAAAAAGACAAATTGATAGTACATGCACATGGACTAATTATCACTTTACTCATTGGAGTATACAACCAGATGTAAAAATGAGGCATGGATTAACCAGGTCCAAAAGCATATATGCTGGAAAAAAGTTAAAAGCATTGACTTGAATTCATATACAAATTTGCTCTTTTAAAAAAGTAAGGAATAAAGAATAGGCAATAAACTAATAATCACTTTCGAACTGAAATTGATGTATTTTTACCATTCAAGCCAACCATTTCCCATACTTTTATTTGAATAACCAAAGTCCTTTTATTCTAATACAGTGCATGGCTGTGGAAGATAACAAATAATGAATTCAAGTGGCCACAAATAAAACATGGTTTGTTCTCCTGTTCAACAAATTATAATTAAAAAATAATTCTCTGCTAATTGTGCAATACTGGATTGTAACCATCAAATCTTAAATCCTACACGTTACTGAAATGCCCCAGTACAGATGATATTGGAATAAATTAAATTTAAAATAATTAGGGCCAGCCTAATAGTTTAAGAGGAGTGCTCTGCACTTCCAAAGAAAAGGTCTCATTTACAGTTCTAATTGTTTACTCCTAGGCTATTAGGAGTGGTGAAGCTGCCCCTTAGCTAAGGTCTCTGGGAAAGTAATGCTATAAATTATTCAGCAGTGATCCTTCTGCTTTACACAGCATCCAAAGGGTGTCACATCTTGTTCTTAACAAATGTTTTTAAAAAGAATAAATAAAAATAAATAATTCCAAATTCTTTGGTGTAATTTTATCAATTCTTAACAAAAGTGATTGTATTAGTAAATGTCCAAGGCAGTTCTAAGTACTCAAGAACTAGGATGTGCTACTGGCTTCCTTTAACTTTGTTGTTGAAAATACCATTATCTGAGGTAATGTCAAACAAACTGGCCACAAGCCATAAGAGCAGGCATGCATTTATTTTAGCAGCTCCCAACATTGCAACTGCTTCTATGTTGAAAATTATAAGGTCAACTAAGAAAACCCCAGGAGGGAAAAATAAACTTGGTGGGGATAGGGTAGGGGGTAGCAGCATATATATGTCTCTCTGAGGTTTTTAAATATTTTAAACAATATAAACTAAGGTTCTTTGTACCACAGATTATAGAATATTAAAGATACAAAATATTTCTCCTGTAATGTCAATTAAGTTACATTTTATATTAGTACCTAATTTGATAACTGTGTCTCTTTGTGTGTTTTATTAGATTTGTCAAAAGCTATATCCTAGAAGTATAAATTATATCTCTTTAATAGCTCTGCCATCATTATTTCTGGGGGATCTGCATTAAACCAGGGTTGTATATTGAATATTTTAATTCTAGTGAATTAAATTTGAATTCCTACCTATTTCTACAGTGAAAACCACAGTAGTTTTTCATTTCAAGTAGTTTTTCCTTAGAAATCAAGCTAATTTTCTAAAAACATATTTTCTGACAATGTTAACTTTTAGCTTGTTACTTGCTCTAAACCTCCATAAAATTTATTTGGTGTTTTTAAACTTGTTTTTAAAATTATATTCATACATTTTCCCCACTAGGTCAAAGTATTTACATATTTAATTAAAGTATTTTATAATTAAATGACCAATTAATATTTCTATCAATTGCCAGTCCCATCTTGAGGAAGGCAATGAAACTAGGAAGTTTTATGAAATTAGGCAGCAAATCAGGGAACAACACAATTTTAGGTAGAAGGTAGTCTGCTCAAAATAAATTAACAAGAAACCCAATTAAACTTCATGAACGACTTTTTTTATATTCAAAGAGGCTATCTAAATACTGGAGTTGCAAATGATGTAAAAACTGTGATCCCAAAATAAGATATTTTTGAAAATAGTTTTTTTTTACTTTTTCAACTAAGATATGCAAAATCAGGGTTTTAATACCCACCAAAAACATTATTTATTATGTTAAACCTTTTAACACTGCAGTGCAACTGGTTATGCACTTGAAATTTTCAGTAGCTGCAGTGCAATGTTTATATCAGAGCAATTTAAAAAATAGTATACAAATCTCAATGCCAAATTATGGATAGCATTTAGGCAAGCCTCTCTTGTACATTCCTGTTACTTACCTTCAAAGATCAGTTAAAATCTGCATTATTTGTAATAATACCTTAACTATTCAGATAACAACACATCCATTTTTTTTCCAGTGGTAGAAATGTAAAAGTATTAAAATGTATTAAATATACATAGGTCTTGGCATCCTTAAAAATGTCATGTTCTGTTAAATATATAAATGTTCTGTAAGCGATCTGAGAATGCAAAAGTATTATGTTTACTATCAAAAACTGAATCATATTAAATAGAAAGCAGAAACAAATATTTGCACCCTTGTAGTTATTTATCCTTCCTCAAGTATCTTTATAAGCCCAACTGCTGTGATGATTTCTTTTTCTGGAGAAATGAAGCCGATAACACATTCTCTCCCTAGATCAGAGTCTACTGGCAACATAGGTAAATGTTCATGGTTATAGGACTCTTCACAAATGACAAGTTGGTCAGTACAAACTCACTGTGTTTGAACTAATTGAAGTGTTTGATTATTTTTCTTCATTTTTATTTCAAGCCCTGTGATCCTCCTACTGACCAAACATTTAGATTCTTGTATTTACCAGATTTTTTTTCTCTACTTCAGTAGCTTTTTTAAAAAAAAAAACCTTTTAAGCATATGTGATGTACCTGCCAGAAGTAACTACCGTATAAATACAGCGATGCTCATGCCACTATGGTCTAGGTGTAAATGTATGTTTTTCCAAGATAAACTGTAAACATCCTCCCTATCTTCTCAGAATTTGTGAAGAAAAAAAGATATAACCTTGCTTTGCATTTAGAACCAAGCATGAGATCATCTTTCAAGTCAACCATATGCACAAGTCTGTATATTTAAGAAAAGTCAACATAATATAACAAAAAGTGAAATATGCTTATTAAAAATGTCCTTATAAAAAAACAATCTTGCAATATACAATAAGATGCAATAAAAACAATTTTCTCTCCCTCACCAATAACTAAAACAGCTATGTTCCACAAATTTTTTTTATATGTTGGCATTGAAAGATTAAATATTTTCTATGTTGTATGCCTGGCGGATATTAAGTGTATCTCTCAACATCAAGTCTCGAAGCCGCCATAGTGCATCTGCCATTGTGGTATGAGCCCCTTTGCTTTTCAACCAGTGTGTAGGAAGACGACTTTCTTGTTCTTTTGAGAGGTGGGCATCACGTCTTCGTGCTGAAACAAGAAAAGTACAGAAGCGATATACTGCCTTAAAATATGTCATTATACTTCACCAATAATGCTGATGCATTATACAACCTGAAAAATACATTATTGTTTTAAATGCATGAATACAGGATGGGAAATCTTTGGGTTAAAAATTTTATTTGTAAAAAAGATTTTGGAACTGGTGATGAACATGAACTGAAAAAGTAGTACATAAATGTTGTATCAATAAGAATTAAATTTGCAAGTAACAGAAAGCAATGTGCACTAATCTGACCCCATGTCAATATTATGTTCAGTTCTGGACATCTTGCTGAAAGACAAAATTGGATAATTCGAAATGATTCTATAAAGGACAACACTGATAATCAGGGAACTGAAAATACTGAAACAATGACTGCAAAGCGAGATGTGATAACATTTTTTCATATGTGTGAATGATTATCACTGAGTACATAAAGATTTGTTTTCCATCTATCCAGATGATAAAATACAGAATAATAATTTTAAATGATAGAAATGAAGATTCTAGCCAAGTATTCAAAAAACCTTCTTAACAGTAGTTCAACAGGACAATCAACTACCAACCAGATGCTGGACAGACATACGTTGGTACAATGGAAGATGAATTTTGGGAACAAGTAATTAGTCTTGATGCCTAAATGCCCCCATTTATAATTTATAATTCTATGATTAATATATCATGGTAAGTGTAAGTCAGTTATGGAAAGTAACAGTGCATCCACATAGTCATTTTTCATTTAGCTCTAAAATAAGATGGAACTAAACGATCTTGAATAGGGCCACAGTAATAAAGATCTGGTAGATCTATAGACAGTTCAACTAAAAAATGGAACAAATATGAATAATTTAGTAAGATGACCAAATTGACCTGTTACATGCCAGTAAAAAGGAAAAATACAGAATCAGTGCACAGAAAATAGAATTTCCTTTAAAATTTCTCCACATAACTTAACATTAATCTATGTAAATCTAAGTACAAAAATCTACAATTTACTGATAGAAAAAGAGACGTGTAATTATACTGGACCATGAGTGATACACTTTCCTTTGCAGATGCTGTTCTAAGGTAAGATGTAAGAATGCTAGAATATGGAAAATGTCAACATTCTTTAAGAGGTTCATTTCCTTGTAATTTTACCTGAAAGGGTCTGGTCCCACTTGCTAATACTATTTGAATCAGCACTAAGACCTTCAATATATTTCAGATAAGCTTCTGAATGGAGAAGCCTCTGTGTCTTTGGTGGAGGAGAGACAAACATAGGCGTTGTAGGCTGCTGCATGACCTGTTGAGATGCTGGGTTTTGACCAGGATATGGAGGTGGTGCTTGTTGGCCTGGGGGACCAAGCATACCCATCTAGAAATATAAAGTACAGTATCAAGAGGTTAGGTCAAGAACAGCCAGAAATATTTAGTATTAAGAATGTATGACAAGTATTAGCTTGGTTATTTACTTGCAGACATTTCAATACTTAGCTAGGCAACATTATCAGTCTTGGGTAATATACATCATTGCCTGGGTAGTAGGGATATGTATCTAATAAGTAGGTGGCCAGATAAACAGATTGCCCTCACAGGGACCCTATAACTCCTCATCTAATCACAACCCAGATTTTGGCATAACTTGTGCTTTCTAATATGTGGACAACTCAAAGATTTCATGTAAGCACATTAAAATGTCATTTGAGGCCTCCAAACTCTCCACAAGTGTGCAGGTCTAAAAATATGGAGGTTTTGGAGAGGGGGAATATAAATACCAAATGAAATTTTAAAATCTTGAACCCAAACTATTTTTTCTCATTTTGGATTGTTTAAGTGGCAAAATGGATATTTTAAACTTCTATAAAGTTCCTCAAACCTGGTAGAAAAATTAACTCTCTTCGAATTTCTGTCCAGCCAACACTGCTGATGCTATGACATTACTAGCACTATCCACACGTAAACCAATTTCCAGACTGAAAAGATTATCCAGCATTTGTGACTCCTACAGGTAAAGGGTTATAAGGGAGTAACATCAGCAAATTAGAAATACATTATAAATATACACGTTTGTAATTTGTTGATGTTATTCCCTTATCACCTCTTACTCATTTATTCACCATTAAATAACTGGAAGACAGTTAATTTCTTTCTTTTTTTTAAACCAATATGAGAATATGATTTATTGGATTTTTCTGTACCTACCTGCTGCCCAAATGGACTTCCTGGTGCTGGGGCTCCTACCATGGAAGAAACGTTTTGCCCTAGAACACCTGTATTTTAAAACATATCAAAACCACAATCTCATTTCAATCTAAAAATAAAACAAACAAAAGAATACTGCTCTATTATAACAAACTAATGTCACATCAAAAAAGTGAAAACCAATATTTTCAAAATATATATTTTTAAGGCAGTAGAATTAATCATGTCATCTGGATGTGTGGGGTAGGTTTTGCTTTTGGGTTCCACCTAATTAACTTCATCCAGTAATAAGTAACATCCCTTCCACTGGATTCATAAATAATTCCCAAGCATGACTACAATGGAACTTGTGCAAGTACTCAACACAACTTTTTGGTAATTAAACTGTGCAACAGCACTGCATGATGGGTCCAATGGTTTGTGCTTGGTCCTTCTTCCACATACTTCTCATCACTTTCAGGTGGCTTTGTGAGAATTCTGCCCTAGTCTACCCTTTAAAATCAAACATGCTATTTTACTAAATAACCATCTCTATCTAAGGAGATAATTCAGAATTTTCCTAAGAACAGAGAAGCACACTTGCTACAGGTAGTGAACAGTAAACAGTGTACCATAGAAATGTATGCTGTAATTTATTGTTATTATTCCACTGTAAATGCTCACATTTGTACTCCTTATTTATAGAACATTAAAATATATTTCTGCTTGCAATTAATAACTTCTCAGGAGACTTCTGAGCAAGTCCTGCTGAGAGATACAGATTTTGACTGTATGCACATCATCTTTAATCTGAAATGGAAAGCTGTGGTTTCCAAACAACTCATTTGTGGTTTTACAATAAATAAATGGTTATCCAAATGTAGCATGGAAACCATTTCTGGTTATTACAAACCACAAAGTGTAACTCAGGAGAGATAGACGATAAACCAAATTAAATGTAACATTATTCTAGGTTCATATACCATGCTTAATTATTGCTAAACCACTGATGGATGGTTTGGAAACACTTGTTTAGAGTTAAGTATGACATGCAAACATAATCTTTATTAGTTTCTACCTAAATTTATCCAATGCATGCAGAAAAGGCAAAATAAAAATTAGCGGCAGGGAAAAAAAGAGTAAAGTAACGGGTTTTCATAACTGCCTGTGCATCTATATTTTTTTAAAAGAGGAATAGAAAGGAAAGTTAAATAATCTTTAACTTTTGGTTAATATTATTTTCACCATAATAGATAATTCTTGTCCATGCAATAACATTTTAAGTATGTAAGCCTGGAATGTACTGTAATTAAAAATGTACTTCAATGCTCAGGGTAAATGTAAAAAGTACATTTAACTACTACTACTATTTCTTGGATAAGTTTTGAGTTTAGAATATAGTATATAGGACAGCGTATTGAAAAAAAATTATAATCATGTGTTAGGTGTAAAATTTTACTTGACCTAATATTAAATCAAGTAGTTGAAAATAGGATATACTGTACACATTTGAAGTGATTGCAATGTTAAAAGCTAGAAGTGAAAAACTGATTGATGTAATGATTTCTATTGGTATTATGAGTTAGTTGGATTTAGTCCAGTTTAAACAAGACTTCTGACGTATTCCATGGAATGGAAAATATAAGCCTTTAATATTCCACATCTCTGGTCAAGTCAAGCCCTTAAGCACGAATTGAGGTATTCTTACAGTTTACTAGTTAACTCCTTTTGATGCTGGACCAACAAATTTAATATGCCAGTATATGTATTTTCTGTAGCTAAGAGATTTCTCATTGTACTTTCACATTAACAGCTCAATATCCTAGACCTACGACAGTCAGTAAAAGACAAGCAATGAAGCTATAAGTGCACGCGTCGCAAACTTCTCCTAGAGTAATTGATTAAATGGGGTGAGAACAGAAAGACGAGATAATGAATGAATGAGGAGGTTCATTCTTACCGGGTGGTGGGATGCCTGGCATGCCTGGTGGAAGTTGATGGGGTGGAGGCACCCCAGGGTGAAGTGGTGGCATGCTGCCCATGCTAACAATGCCATCAACTGGGCCTTGTAAAGGTGGCAGCACTGATGGATAGCCACCTATCATGCCTTAAAGAACACAACAAATTTCAAACATGCATCAATGACATGCAAAATGGTCAAATTAATAATGACGTGCACTACCCACACATAAGCATCTTCAGAATTGCCATACGACACTACAATTAGTACTTTGCAAAAACAAACAATGTTACAATGATAAATAGAATATTTATAACAGATTAGTATTAGCTTACTGGCATATTTTTTAAAAGAAACAAACTCTACATCATTAAAAGAATATTAACTGCAAATATATGCAAATGTCCTGTTGGTTATATGAACGTATACAACATTGTTATAAGCACATTCTGAATTTATGGTATAGTATTATAGTTGCATGGAAAATAAATAGTTAGAAAAAAAGCACTCAGTTTCACTATTTAACATGCTTGACACAATCATTTAAACAAGTAAGAAATTAATTCAACAACACTGAAGAAAGTGGGCTATTCTGCTTCATCTCATTCTCATCAAGACCTACTGAGTATGAAGACAATTTAAAGAGAGAGGAGACATGATCTTTCACACCTGAGCTATCATGCAATTTCATAAAAGTTATCATCGTAGACAATACGTTCTACAATTATAATTTCAAATTTTTGAATTGCCAATAGTCACACTGACATTATTAATACCTAATGCCAAGAGTTTTAATTAGTATTTGCTAATAACGATAAAAATTTTGACAAAAAGGTACAATGTGGCAGAAAAGTGGGCATGTCTCTTGAAGAAGAGAATAAAAAGAAGGGGATAGCTGAAAAAGAAAGATTAATATAGGGGAAGTTTGGATTGTTAGCAAGGATTGTTCTTGAAGATTCATAAGGAATCAAGTGGGGCAACATCAGAGAGGGAAATAAGATTGTTACCCTGATAGAAATAATGGATGAGAAGATGTTCCATTAGATAATCAAGATAATGGAGGGGGGGAAAGAAGAATTTGGAAAAGTTATCTTTGCAAGCTGTTTTGTAGGCTTCCACAGAAGGTCAAAACAGCACCTCTGTACATAAATTATATGGTACCATCACAGTTGGAACCATAGTTGTTAATTCAAATGTAATTATTTGTATTATCGACTTACAGGAGAAAAGGACTTTGGAAGTAATAAATCTTTTGTACAGGATGACTTTCATTATTTACAATGGCTGTGTGAACCTTATCTAATAGTGAATCTAGTGAAACAAACATCTTCTATTAACTGTTGAAATGTATAGGCATATGCGCACAGTCACTCAGGCTCTCGTCACCTCCCGCCTGGACTACTGCAATGCTCTCTACATGGGGCTCCCCTTGAGGAGCATCCGGAGGCTCCAGCTAGTCCAGAATGCGGCCGCGCGGGCGGTGTTGGGAGGGACTCGTCGCTCCCATATAACACCGCTTTTGCGTGAGCTGCACTGGCTGCCGGTAGCCTTCCGGGT